GCCAGCACCTCCAGCTCCAGCACCCCCAGAGCTAGCGCCCCCAGACCGAGCACCGCTAGAAGCTGCACCTCCAGCTCCAACACCAACCGAGTCCACAGGAACCTGTCGCGGAAGCGCCGAAGGCTGCTGAGGGGGCTGTGAGGAGGACTGCGGGGAGGGAGACGCTACCTGACGCGCGACCGAGGGTAGAGGGGTAGCGTGAGACACACCAGACGGGGCAGGACCAGGGGGGGGCAGGGGTACCGGAGGAGCGGGAGCAGGAGGAGGAGAGGGTGCGAGGAAAAGAGGGGGAGGGGGTACCGGGAGACCTCGACAAGGGTACCGGGTGTAGTAGGACACGGACTCGTCAAACCGGACGTCACGGGAGTCTAGGAACTGGTGGAGGGGCGGGTGGTAGAAGGACCAGTCGGCCGAGTCTACCGGGAAACCAAGGAAGACACAGGGAATGGCGCGTGCCGAGAGCTTGTCCGCAGAGGTGTCGCGGACCTGCGCAAGGCAGCCCCAGACTCGAAAGGCCGACCCGACACCAGGGGAACCAGTCCAAAGACTGGTCGGTGAAGCCTCGGGCCGCGAGACACGCGGCTGGAGGTTCAGCTGGTGTGCGGCGTAGCGAACCGCGTGGGGCCACAGAAAATGGGGCGCACGGGCATGGATCATGGACGTGCGGGCGATGTCCATGACCAAGCCTATGCGGCGCTCAGCAACCCCATTCTGCTGTGGGGACTCTGGCAGAGTCCAGGACTGGGTGATGCCCTGTTCGCCGCAGAATCCGCCGAGAATGCCGGAGCGAAACTCGCCCCCACGGTCGGAGTGGAGACAACTGACTCGACGACCACGAGTGCCCTCAGTGGCTAGAAGCCACCTGATCAGCGTAGCAGTCACCTCGGACTTCTTCGCAAGAGGGAACACTGTGGTGTACCTGGAGAAGTCGTCGACGACCACCAGAAAGTAACGCTCCCTCCCAGACCCCTGCGTCGGGGCAGGGCCCCAGACGTCCAAGTGGAGAGTCTCGAAGGGAGCGGTGGCCGGACGAAGGGAGGAGGAGTGGGGAGTGGCGCGTAAGCGACCGGCGACGCACGGAGAGCAAGGAGGGGCAAGCGAGAGAGGGAGCGACGGGAAGGTGCGTGGGAGACCTGTGACTAGTCCGTGACTGAGCATGCCACGAAGGCGAGGGATCGACGGGTGGCCAAGACGGTGGTGCCACAGAACGGTGCGGTGGGCGAGAGAGCGACAGGAGCAAGACGCAGCGACTGGACTGGACACAGCGACCGGACTGGACACGACTACCTGGCTAGACACAGCCACTGGACTGGGGACCTGGGTCGGAGGGGACGCAACAACCGGAGGGGAGGACGCGACCGGGGAGCGCTCGGTGTGGAGAACGTAGAGACCGGAGCGGGGCTCCCTGGTGAACGTGGCCAGAACAGCACCTGTGGTAGCGTCAGTACAGACTGCAGTCCGCCCACCCCCCAAGAAGGTAACCGTGATCCCCCTGTCCTGAAGGTATCCAACACCCACCAAGTTCCGAGTGAACGAGGGGATGTGGAGGCCACGCAGGACACCAGAGGGGACCACAGGGCACGGGAGGGTGGTGGAGCTACGCGCAACGGCTGGTCCAGAGGTAGGATCAGCCAGAGCCACCGACACAGGTGTGAGGAGAGGCGTAAGGGTCGTGCGGTCGCGGAAGAAACACTGAGACGCGCCCGAGTCCAGCGTGAACGAAAGAGAGGCCTCAGCCGGTGGGTCACTCGACCCAGTCGCTACACAAGCACCTAGAGCAGCAACACAAGCACCTAATCTAGACAGGCACAAGGCTACACTAGCAGGAGGCAAGCAGTCTAACCTACGAACACGCGAGCACACAGATCCATCAGCACTAGAGTCAGCATCAACATACAAAGCATATTGACGCGCATCGTCCATGGACAAAGCAAATACATCAATCTTACGGGCTAACAGACGAGACCAGCGAGGCGTGCTCGCCAAAGGGCCCCAACGAGCCCGGTAGAGGTCGTCGAGGCGGCGGAAGCACCGCGCGGCAGAGTGGTCGTCGCGACCACAGAGACAGGGGCTACCCGGCCCGGTGACGCACCAGTGAGTGCACGGGCCAGCGTCACGGCGAGGGGGGCGAGGGGCCCAGCTGGAAGTACTGCTGCTGCGGCTGGTGCTCCCAGGGCCTCCCGGACCCCACTGCGGCGGGGGACCCCAGTGCTGCTGCGGACCCCACTGCAGCGGGGGCCCCCACTGCTGGAACTGCTGCGGTGCCTGCTGCTGCTGCTGTCCCTGCTGCGGGTGGTGCTGCTGTGGCTGCTGCTGCTGTGGGGGAACGCCCCCACCGGTCGGGCCTCCACCTGTGGGTGGGCCTGTCTGTCCAGCACCTCCTCCAGGGCCCCCTCCCCCTGGTGCACCACCGCCGCCGCCTCCGCCGCCTCCGCCACCACCGCCGCTCCCACCTCCACTGCCACCTCCACCGCCGCCTCCACCGCCCCCACCTCCCCCCTTTCCGCCCTTCTTGCCACTCTTGCCCCGTTTCTGCCAGTCTGCGGCAGAAACGGCAGCGGTGTCCTCAGAAACCGACACAGCAGCAGAAGCGCGGGTAGCAGTGAAAGTGGGAAGCTGAGGGGCGGCACACCCCGCAAAGAGACGGGGGGCCACCGCATCAGTGGCGGAGGCAACGGTGAGGAGGCTGCTCTCGATGGTCCCGAGAGCAGTCTGAAGGAGGTCTATAGTGAGCTCAGTGGGGTGCTTCTGAAGAAGCGCGTCGCGGGCAGTGGCAAGGCGGTCAGGGAGGCGGGTGACTAACCAGTGTACAGTGAGCCACATGGGGGGGGGGAGCAACAAGGAGCTGTGCGTCGGTACAGGCAGCACGAAAACCGGCGTCAAGCGAGCGGAGGTGAGTCACTAGGTCGGAAACAGTGGCAAACGAGCCTAGGTCGGGAAACACAAACGGCATGAGGAGGCGACTGAGGGAGGCGGAGGAGGGGGTGGAGTAGCGGGCAACAATAGCATCCCACACCCCCTTGGCTGTCTCCACCTGGTCAAAGTGGGCGGCCTCAGTCGGGGGGAGAAGCTCCGACAGTGTGAGAGCGGCGGCAGCGTCACGCGAGAGCCACACGTCCCTGGCCAGGACCCGACGGTCGTACTCCGCCTGGGCCGTAGGGGTCGGCTCCGGGGTGGTCGGCAGGGCGGCGGGGGACGGGGGGGCCTGTAGGGCACCAGACGCGTGAGCCCACAGAGTGGCGCCGTCCTGTCGCTGGCTGGTGAGGAAGCGTGTGGTCTGGCGCTGCCAGGTACCGAACTCGATTGGGCGTCCCTCCGCATCGAAACGGAGGCGACGGGCCTCCATAGCGGAGCCCATGCTAGAGGCGGCTGGAGCACGGCGGAGGCGGAGCTAAGAACGAGGAGGAGGAGGACATAGACTAGGCGTGAAATCGTGGATCGCCAGCTACAGGTGCGAGGAGCGAGGTATGAGTGGCTAAAACGGCTCTAACCTAGGTGACCGGCGAGGGAGAGCGGCTGCCAGCCGCTGAGGGATAGTCCAGTGTCATCAGATTTGGGGAGGGCCTCGCGCACAAGGCGGCGGTGGGGCTAAGGTGATGAACAGTGAGAGAGGGGAGGGGAGGGCGGTTTTGACGGTGGGAATGGGCGGGAGGGCGGTTTTGACGGTGGGAATGGGCGGGGAGGGCGGTTTCGACGGTGGGAATGGGCGGGAGGGCGGTTTGGACGGTGGGAAAGGGCGGGTGGGCGGTTTTGACGGTGGGGGTGGGCGGGGGCCAGGGCGTACGGGCTAGGCGCGGGCCTGGGCGACGGGCTACGCGCGGGCCTGGGCGACGGGCTAGGCGCGGGCCTGGGCGACGGGCTAGGCGCGGGCCTGGGCGACGGGCTACGCGCGGGCCTGGGCGACGGGCTACGCGCGGGCCTGGGCGACGGGCTAGGCGCGGGCCTGGGCGACGGGCTACGCGCGGGCCTGGGCGACGGTTGACGCGACGGGCAGGGGGAAGGGAGGCGACGCGACGGGCAGGGGGACGGGAGGTAACGCGACGGGGAGGGGAAGGGGAGGGCACGGAGGGGGGGTTACTAAGGGGCGCGACGTGGGGCGGGCTGAGGGCCGCGCTAAGGCGCGAGAGGGCGCTAGGAGCGCGGAGAGCGCGGAGGGCGCTAGGCGTGACGGAGGGCGCGGAGGGCGCTAGGCGCTACGGAGGGCGCTAGGCGCTACGGAGGGCGCGGAGGGCGCTAGGCGTGACGGAGGATCGATACCTACTCGTGATACCATCGATACCTACTCGTGATACCCCTTTTCACAATACAAAATTTTAGAAAGTGTTACATTTCATTACACTTTCAAAAATTATCATATCGTATAACCAGAACACCCAAATATAAATTACAACCCAATTTAAGACACTCCCTGTCTTCAATTCGCCACTGTCTTATATCCGAGCATTTACAGTATACTATACATTCGCTGTACGTTGGAGCCAGAGCTTCAGTCGACATAACAAGGAGAGCATAGCATAGGCTAAACCACAGTTGCTTCAGACTTAAAGCCCGCAGCTAAAATAGTGACCCCCCCTTCTAGTTGGGTCCACTTGAAGGTTGAGTGCTGTTCTGTTATTTTTTTTTAGACAAATGCGTTTGATACTTCAAGAGCCTTCACAATGTTTATCCGACAAAAAGCGTCGCAAGCATGTGCACTGCAAATGTGTCGCAAGTTTGCGACACGGAAGTCCCATTCAGATTGAGTGCCAATTTCACAGATGTGCAATTCAAGGACAGCAAAACGCTTCGGAAAAAAAACCTGCTATGGCGGCAAAAACAGCATACGAGAAACAAAAGGAGGGAAAAAACAGAGAGTTTGCAAGGTGATCAGAGTTAAAAGAGACAGGGCGACGGAAACGAGGGCGCGATGGGTAGGGTGATGGGAGGGAAGGGAGGAAGGGCGCGGAGAGGCCGTTTCATAGCAAGAGCAAAGGCGATGAGGTGGGCCATGGGAGGAGAAATTAGCTGGGTGACGAGAGGACGTTTCGGTGCAAGCGCGAAGGTGAAGGGGCGGCGTGAAGGGAGGGGAGAGAGCAGGGGTGACGGGAAGGGAGGGGAGAGAGCAAGGGCGACGGGAAGAGAGAGGAGAGAGCAAGGGCGACGGGAAGGGAGGGGAGAGAGCAAGGGCGACGGGAAGAGAGGGGAGAGAGCAAGGGCGACGGGAAGGGAGGGGAGAGAGCAAGGGCAACGGGAAGAGAGGGGAGAGAGCAAGGGCGACGGGAAGGGAGGGGAGAGAGCAAGGGCGACGGGAAGAGAGGGGAGAGAGCAAGGGCGACGGGAAGGGAGGGGAGAGAGCAAGGGCGACGGGAAGGGAGGGGAGAGCGCAAGGGCGACGGGAAGAGAGGGGAGAGAGCAAGGGCGACGGGAAGGGAGGGAAGAGCGCAAGGGCGACGGGAAGAGAGGGCGACGGGACGGGCGTCAGGGCGGACGGCGAGAGGGCGACGGGACGGTGACGGCAGGACGTCAAGGAAGGCGACGCGAGGGCGACGGGGGGGCGACGGGAGGGCAGAGAAAACCGGAGGACAGGATTGCAATTTGAAGGGTGACTGGGGGGGATCGCGAGGGCGACGATGAGGGTGACGCTTGGGGCGATAGAAGAAATGGAGGGCGATGGTAACGGGAAGTGTTCCGCGGCGAGCGGAAAGCGAAATGGGCCGACAGTGACGGTGTCGCGCGACGTGCACTGAGCTAGTAGCTCACGAACCTAATATGCATCCGCACAGAAGAAAAAAACTACTTGCTTATGGAAAAACTGCTTAGCTTCTCAGCTATTCTACGGCATGTTGGGCAGAAATGTAGGACTAAGGTCGTATCTCCAGCAAGTGTCAAGGTCGTATCTCCAGCAAGTGTCAAGAGGGGCTTGGTGTCAAGCGTTGTTAACGCTTGACTCCAAGTGGAGCCGCGTCTGAGCGCGGCTCCAGCCTGGTGTCAATGTTGGGCACATTGGACGATTTCCCGCGATCACATTGGTTGGTTTAGCTGACACCAGGAGGGATAGTCCTCCATGTGTTTTCCGAGTTGGTGTCATGACACTAGCCCTTCTTGACACTTGCTGGAGATACGACCTAAGGGAGCGGAAACTAGCTAGTGAACTGGTGAGTAGTGAACCCTTTCCCAACTTGAACCTGAAGTCGGGGCCAACGACCAGAAACTATCGCTCACGATCAAAACGATCACCATGCAGCCGTCGTGCGGGTGTACCAGCAAACATTTGTTTTGGCGGGAGCCAATTAGAGCGCGTAACCATTTTGCATTTTGTGATTTTGATGGACAGTCTGCTTAAAACGAAGCGGACGGTCCACTTACTGAAAACGGGACCGTCCGAAGTGAAAATTTGCAACTTCGGACTGTCCGAAGGCAGTTGTGACACTTTTCTTCTATTGTACAGTTTCGCGACAACTGTACAAGCGTTACTGGATTTGCGATTTTCATGTTTCTCGTTGTCGAATCATTGTTCTAAGCGAGTTGTCTCTGGTTGGTCAATGTAAATTTGCGAAATCTCACATGTTTTTGTTGGTGGACGAGATGCCCGATAATTTTTACGTCGTGTACCAATCGGATGCAAGGGGATTCGGACAGTCCGTTTGAGATTCGGACTGTCCACGGTTCAGATTTCGGACCGTAGAAAATGGGAAAAAGTGTCACGAGGTACTGTCAGTTTTGTTGGCGATGTCGTCAACACCTTAACGAATACAATTACGACATAACGCGAAACTGTTACCATTTCGCCACCCGGACGGTCCACGGTTCGAACCGTCGGGTGCAAAATGGTTACGCGCCCTTATGTGCGTTCATTCTGCCTACAAGATTCGTTTGAAACATCTGCTTTCAGCCCCGCTCGCAGGGCCCTAGATTCGTTTTAGGACACACTGATGGGTCAGAGTGCACACCCATGTGAAGTCTGTGAGTCAGAGTTGCATGTGATTTTGAGTCTGAAAATTCAGACAACACAATTTTTTTTAGGCTGAAAGTGCAGTGTTACACTAAGTTTGAAGGCTGCCGGTTTTTTATACTGCGCTTGAAAACATTTCAACTATGTGAGTCAGATTCTGTCACATGTGACTCTACTGGCTCCTCTGCGGCCTCCTTCCCAGCTCTCTGGGGCTCCCTGTGTCTTGCAGCAGGTGCCGCGATTGGCTGGAAATGAGCCAGATTACAACGCGACTGTGCGGGGCCGCGCTCGGGAAATGTTTCGTTTCCCGCCCGTGATTGACGGTGTTACTGCAAACACACCGCCAGGCTGGTGGACCCCTGCAGTACCCGTTTCAGAGTGCACACCCGAAACAAGGCTGAGGCTCAGCCTACACCCCTACAATTCGTCTGAAAATTCAGCCACTACATAAAAAAAAACTCTGAAAAATCAGACAAGGTACATAAAAAAAAAAAATACAGTTCAGACCTGGTACCAAAAAAAAGTCTGGACGCTGAATCAGCGTAAAAAGTCTAATATCTAGGGCACTGCCCGCTCGGTTCTCGCTTCACTTAGAACAAACTCGCTTCACAACACTCTTTCAAGTTGGGACGGGGGTCACCATTTTGCCTGCTGGCTTTAACCACAATGGCTGCTCTGCTATGCTCTACGGGGCAGCGCTGGACGTCTCTTCCTCAAGCAGAGCAGCTGATAGCTCTCAATGCTGCAACGTCACCACTCGTGGTCCTGGAGAGCACACGCACAAGCAGACAACAGCAAACAGCAGTTAGCGGATCACAACATATAGGGTATCCAGGGGCAAGCTGGAGGGACTGTGGGGGACAAGCACAGGGGAAGCCGGTACAGATGCAGACGCGCAGGCAGCGGGCACTCACGCAGAGGACGTGACGCCGCTGTCGGGTTTCCCCCAGCCAGTGGCCCCGCCAGAGCAGTCAGGGCCGTTCCACAGCCACATGGTGCCGCACACCTGCCGCACCCCCCCCGCCCCGTCAGGCGCGTCCCAGAGAATTTTGATCGACCCCACGGCCCCTGCGAAGGGTGCGGGGACGTTGACGCAGCCGTCAGCGCCCGACGAGTCGGGCATGGCCGCTCGGAAGACGGTGGGGGCGAGGGAGGCGGGTGAGTTGGTGAAGTTGGGCGCGTTGAAGAGCACGAGGCTCGTTGTCACTGTGGCGGGGGCAGCTGTTGGGGGGTGCAAGGGGGGCGGAGGGAGAAAAGGGGGACGGAACGAGGGAGGTAATGAAGGGAGGGAGGTGGGGAGCAGGAGTCTGGAAGGTAAGCGCAACAATGAGAAGGGCTACGTGGGAGGAGGTCATGAGGGTGTACAGTGCCTCGATGACGGTGAATGGGAGAGTGCACGCTCTGGTGGCTTGAAGCTGAAGTGAATGTGCCAATAACGAGTACCTTGAGTGCAGGTGCCGCTGACGAGGGAGTAGGAGGCGGGGCAGGCACAGAAGGGGATGCCGTCGCTGGTGGCCTTGCAGCGAGATGTTGAGGGACACTCGACCCCCACACATGATGGCGGTGCAGAGGGGTGAGGAGGGGTGAGGAGGGGTGAGGAAGGGCGTGGACGGGTGAGGAGGGCTGACGAGGGTTGATTTGAGAATGAGTGAGGAAGGAGGAGAGACAACACTCACACAGGCATGTGTTGGGGCACAGCAAACTCACCGAGACACGTGTTGGGGGCAACGAGCAACAACCCCTTGGGGCAGACGCACTGTGCCGTGCCGGTGGTGCCGTCACACACCAGGTCGCCCGCTGGACAGCTGCCTTCCATGCACGGGTCTGGCAGAGGGGAAGGGAGGGGCGGAGGGCGGGGCAGAGGGCGGGGCAGAGGGAGAGGCAGAGGGCGGGGCAGAGGGAGAGGAGAGGGGGAAAGGAGGAGAGCGACACGATGTGAGGGTAACGAGGGTGCACAGGGTGGGTGCGAGGGAGAGATGGCGGGATGGATGGATAGGGGAGTGGGGAGGAGGCATGTGGTGGAGGCATGGGGGTGCATGAGGGAGGAGAGGTGTGCGATGTGTTAAGTGTGCCGTGATGTATGTGCTGTGATGTATGTGCTGTGATGTGTGTGCTGTGATGTATGTGCTGTGATGTATGTGCTGTGATGTGTGTGCTGTGATGTATGTGCTCTGATGTTTGTGCTGTGATGCATGTGCTGTGATGTGTGTGCTGTGATGCGATACGATGCGATGTGATGCGATGCGATGTGGGAACGGTGGCACGCGGTGGCATGGGAGGTGGCATGTAGTTACCCAGGGTGAGAGGGCATGTTGGGGCACGTGGGAGGGTTTTTAGGGCAGGTAAAAGGGATAACAGGGCAGGTATAAGGGTTCTTAGGGCAGGTAAAGGGTTATTAGGCGAGGTAGAAGGTTCCTTGCGGCAGGTAAAAGGGTAGTTAGGGCAGGAAGAGGTAGAAGGATTGGGGCAGGCAAGCACCTGATAGGCACTGTGAGTTGTTGACGAGCACCTGACCAGCTCCACACACGCACACAGGGTTGCCGTCCACTGGTGAGCACGTGGCGGTGGAGGGACACTGCACTCTGAAACACGGCTCTTGCACTGCCGGGGGGGAAGGGAGGTGACGGTGGGGGTCGGGTGGAGAAGGAAGGGTGTGGGGGATGCGGTGCGGTGAGAGACATGCGTGCTGGTAGGGCAAGGGAGTCGAGTACAGGCCACGGGGTATAAGTGCAGCACAGCACCGAACTGCACCGCACTTCAGAGCACAGCAGAGAGACTTGGTCCGCAGGGGTTCTGGTTAGAAAACAAACAGCAACATGCCAACAGCACTGCACTACTGCGTATGCAACCACCACAGTGCAGCTGGTGACCAGATGAAAGGTGGCGGCACAGATGATGCCGCCCAGGCAAGTCGTTTGCATACGCATGGGGATGGGGCAAGGCGTGTGCATAGGCATGGGGATGGGGCGAGGCGTGTGCATAGGCATGGGGATGGGGCAAGGCGTGTGCATAGGCATGGGGATGGGGCAAGGCGTGTGCATAGGCATGGGGATGGGCCAAGGCGTGTGCATAGGCATGGGGATGGGGCAAGGCGTGTGCATAGGCATGGGGATGGGGCAAGGCGTGTGCATAGGCATGGGGATGGGGCAAGGCGTGTGCGTAGGCATGGGGATCGGCCAAGGCGTGTGCGTAGGCATGGGGATCGGCGAAGGCGTGTGCGTAGGTGAAAATGGATGAGCGTTGGGGGGCATGAGGGGCTTGAGGGGCATGAGGAGCAGGGTGCTCACTATAAGGTAGTTGACCGCCGTAGTTGCCCGGCGGGTAATAGTGGCACGCCCACACGTCCCCACTCGTGCCACACGACGCCTTGCCGCACCCCACGGTGCGCGTGTTGTTCCAAATGACCTGCGTGTAGTGCCCACACTTTTCCCACTGGCCGCCCGCACAGCCATCAGGGAAAACAGCCACGTTGTACCACTGCCCCTCGTCCACCCACAGCTGCGCCGCTGCTCCGTTCGTGAGCTGCCCCGCGGGGCTTTCTCCTGCGAGGTTCTGCCCCTCGCCGTCATGGCCGCCGTGCACTAAAGCACAGTTGTAGGAGGTGTTGGTGAGCGCTGTTGCCCATGCCTGCGCCCTCACCGCCACTGGGAGGAAAGGGGGGAGACAAGGAGTAGAGGAGTGGCGAGGCGAGGAGAGGAGAGGAGAGGAGAGGAGAGGAGAGGAGAGGAGAGGAGAGGAGAGGAGAGGAGAGGAGAGGAGAGGAGAGGGCATGGGATGAGATGCATGGTGCTGTGCATAAGATGACACATGCACCACCTGCTCCCTGCGAGGCAGTGGCACGATCGCAGTGACATGCCAGCAGCACGAGTGGAAAGCACCCGTCGTGCATGCACCCATGCGTGCACTTACATACGTGCACTTACATGCGTGCACTCACATGCGTGCACTCACATGCGTGCACTCACATGCGTGCACTCACGTGCGTGCACTCACATGCGTGCAATCACATGCGTGCACTCACGTGCGTGCACTCACATGCGTGCAATCACATGCGTGAACTTACATGCGTGCACTCACATGCGTGCACTCACATGCGTGCACTCACATGCATCATCCCACACGAGTGGCACGGCCCCCACGGCAGCGCGGGCGGTGTTGTGAACATCGAGGTAGTCGGAGTGGGGGAGGTCGGCCGAGGAGCACTTTCCGTCGATCAGCCGCGCGTAGGGCGCAGGACATTGGCACACCGCTGTACCGACCTGCACCACACACGTGGATATGTCCGGACACTTGACACCGTAGCATGGGTCTGAGGGGCGGAAGGGAGCGGGGGTGGTCGGAGGGTGTGTGGGAGGAGATATGAGGAAGAGGAGCGAAGAGTGGGAGGAGGAGGAAGGATGCTGGCAGGACTAGACTGGTGTACACCCGTTCCACCAATAAGCATCAGGTGAGCAGCAATGTCAAACCTCTCCAATGATTCTTCTCACCTGGGCAGGAGCACTTGGCAATGCCAGCGGAAGAGGAGCACGTGCAGTTGGTGGGGCAGGTGACGATCGAACAGATGTCCACCGCTGGTGGGGGGCCAAGCGGGAGAGAGGGTGGGTGTGGGGGGGGAAAGACGAGTAGAGGTGAGGGAATGGGTGGCAGGTGGAAGCAAGTTGGGAAGGGTGGAGGGAGTGGGAGGGGGTGGAGGGAGGGTGAAAGCACAGGTGCGTATGTCGGAAGAGGAAACGAGGCAAAGGAAGGGGCGAACGAGAATGAACATGAGGTCGCACACGCCCCACTGCCACCGCTCGAGCTGCCCGTGCTGCCACAACAACCGCTGCTGCCACTGCTGCCCCTCTCACCTGTGTTGCCACTGCTGCCGGTGCTGCCGGTGCTACCCGTGCTGCCCGTGCTGCTGGTGCCGTCCGTGCTGCCGGTGCTGTTGGTGCCGCCGGTGCTGCCGGTGCTGTTGGTGCCGCCGGTGCTGCCGGTGTTGCCGGTGCTGCCTGTGCCGTCCGTGCTGCCGGTGCTGTTGGTGCCGCCGGTGCTGCCGGTGCTGCCGGTGCTGCCGGTGCTGCTGGTGCCACCGGTGCTGCTGGTGCTGCTGGTGCTGCTGGTGCTGCTGGTGCTGCTGGTGTTGCCGGCGGTGCTGTTAGTGCCGCCGGTGCTGCCGGTGCTGCCAGTGCTGCCCGTGCTGCCGGTGCTGCCGGTGCTGCTGGTGCTGCCGGTGCACTTAATAGATCGCACTGCTGCAACGTTACCACTCGTGGTCCTGGAGAGCACAAGCACAAGCAGACAGCAGCAAACCACGGTCAGGGGATCACCCAATGAAGGGTATACAACGGCAAGCATGAGGGGCAATGGAGGGGCAAGCACAAAAGCCCATGTAGCAAGTGTCAGAATCTCAGCCACTGGACCACTGGGAATAAAAGAGCTAGCAGGTCAGTGCGCCCATCACCCCCCCGATTAGCGAGTCTGTAATCCTTCTCTAGGATTAATCAGGGATTCTAGTGCATGTTTCTGACACCCACCCTCTCACTAGAATGCCTTAGGACACGGCACAGCTGCAGCGATACATGGGCACCAGCATGTGCGCACATATGAAGCCGAACCCAAAACGTTTGCTCTGATACCATGTCAGGATCCTAGCCATTAAACCACCTGGATAAAGGAGCTTGTTAAGTAGCGGGTCAATGCGCCCATAACCCCACTGATGAGCGACCTTGTAACCCTTCCTTATAATCAATAAAAAAAATCCCACCCAGTGCATGTCTTCAGACGACAGGTACTCACGCTGAGGATGTGACACCGCTGTCAGGTTTGTACCACCCGCTAGAATAGCCAGAGCAGTCGGTGCGGTTATTGAACCACATGAGGTTGCACACCTGCCGCGCACCCGGCGCCCCGTCGGGCACATCCCAGAGAATTTTGATCGACCCCAGGGCCCCTGCGAAGGGTGCGGGGATGTTGATGCAGCCTTGAGCTCCCGATGCGCCGGGCGTGGGGGCTCGGAACACGGCGGGTGTGAGAGAGACGGGTGAGTTGGTGAAGTTGGCGCGTTGTAGAGCACGAGACTCGTTGTCACTGTGGCTGGCGCGTCTGTTGTGCGGAGAGAAGGGGAGGGCGGGAGTGAGGGAGGGAGGGAGGGACCATGGGAGTGGGGGAGAAACAAGCAAAAGGGAAAAGGGGGGGAGGGAGGAAGAGAGGGAGAAAGGGACAAGCATAAAAAGGGAAGGGAGGGAGAGGGCATGGGAGGGATGGAAGGGGGTGGGGGATGGGAAGAGTGTGTGGAAGGTAAGTGTAACGAAGGAAATTGCTTCGGGAGGGGAACTCAACAGGGCTTACAGTGCTTGATAGCAGTGATTGGGAACGTGTATGAGCTGATGGTGAAAGGCTATAGCAGATGTGTCGATAACGAGTACCTTGAGTGCAGGTGCTGTTGACAAGGGAGTAGGAGGCGGGGCAGGCACAGAAGGGGATGCCGTCGCTGGTGGCTCTGCAGCGAGATGTGGAGGGACACTCTATCCCCACACATCCCGGTGCTGCAGAGGGGTGACAAGTGGTGATGAGGGGTGAGAAGGGGGGAGAAGGTTTGTGGAGGTGGGGGGACGCACAAAGTCGCCGGCAGCAGCAGAGAGTGGGTGGGAGCACACTCACCGAGGCACGTGTTGGGGGCAACGAGCAGCAGCCCCTTGGGACAGACGCACTGTGGCGTGCCCGTGCTGCCGTCACACACCAGGTCGGGGCGAGGGCGGGGGGTGGAGACATAGGATGGAGGCATGACGAAAGCAATGAGTGTGATGTGCAGAATGGGGCCCCGCCGTGGCATGGCAGTGCCACACGGTGGGAGGGGAGTGCCACACAATGCCCCGAGTTGATGCGATGTTATGCAAGTGGAAGGGTTGACCGGGCAGGTAGAAAAAGGAAGGCTCAGTCAGGTAGAAAAAGGGTTGTGTGGGGCAGGTAAGAACCTAATCGGCACTGCGAGTTGTTGACGAGAACTTGCCCTGCAGCACACACGCACACAGGGTTGCCGTCCACTGGTGAGCACGTGGCGGTGGAGGGACACTGCACTGTGAAACACGGCTCTTGCACTGCCGGGGGGGAAGGGAGAAGGGAAGGGACAGGGAGAGAGAGAGAGATAGATGCGTGTTGAAGGGCGAGGGAGTAGAGTACAAACAGCCCTTGGATAATGAATATAGCACCGCGCCACACAGCACAGCACCGCACTGTTGAGCGACCCAATTTGCACGGATAGGGTGAAAATACAGAGGACTGAAGCATCACGACACGCACAACATAGCACAGCATGCACAGCACAGCAAAGCACAGCACAGCACAGCACAGCACAGCACAGCACAGCACAGCACAGCACAGCACAGCACAGCACAGCACAGCACAGCACAGCACAGCACAGCACAGCACAGCACAACACGTCAAAGCACAGCAAAGCAAAGCACAGCACAACACGTCAAAGCACAGCACAGCACAGCAGCGACACAGTCACCATCAGCACCAGAGTTGACCTAACATAGGAGCAAGTATTACATTTCCTGAAAGTTGCGAATTTTCAAACTGTAAACCTTCGTTGCGATCCTAAAAACGTTATCCCAAATTGCACAAGTTTTAAAAAGATGACGAGAGGGAGTATTACTGATTAGGAATTTAAAAAGTTGTTTTCTTCGCCAAATCCAGCCAGCCCCTCGTTGTTCCCCTGGTGGGTGGGTTAGTCCTTGAGACCCAAATTACAGGTGCGCTACTTTTCAAAGCTTGCACAGCCACCTACGTCAAGTTTCAAAAACTTGGCCGGCGCAGTCCGCAAATTGGGCCGCCGGCTTTAATCTTCAGAAGCCCAAAACATGTGCGCGCAAATTAGAAGGCATAGGGAGGGGGGAAGGCGTGTGTGCAGGTGAAAAAGGACAGCGCTTGAGGGGCTTGAGGAGCAGGTCGCTCACCATAGGGCAGCTGGCCGTTGTAGTTGCCGGGAGGGTAGTAGTGACACACCCACACATCTGCTTTCGTGCCACACGATGCCTTGCCACACCCCACGGTGCGCGTGCCATTCCAAATGACCTGCGTGTAGTGCCCACACTTGGCCCAGTTGCCGCCCGCACAGCCATTGGGAAAGACGGCCACGGAGTACCACTGCCCCTCGTTCACCCACAGCTGCGCCGCTGCTCCGTTCGTCTTACTCCCCGCGGGGCCGGCGCCTGCGAGGTTCTGCCCCTCGCCGCTGTTGCCGCCGTGCACGAGCGAGCAGTTGTAAGAGGTGTTGGTCAGCACTGTCGCCCACGCCTGCGCTCTCACCGCCACTGGGGGGGAAGACAGAGGGGGGAAAGGGGAAGAGAGGTGAGGAGAGGGAGAGGAGGGGCGATGCATGGTGGTGGTGGACTGTTGACATAGATGGCATGTGCATGGTGTTGTGTAGCAAGTATGTCCTAGTGGGTAGATTCTCACCTTAGGTCTTATAGGTCGTGTATTCAAGTCTCAGAAGTTGCATTTTCTCCCCTCCTTATGCTCAATACGACATGTCCACACTCCACCACGCTTCACCGGTGAAGTGTGGTCACAGTTGGCATTGTAACCTGTCCATTCATCCCATACTCATCTTGCTGGTCCTTATGGTGTGACATATGCTGTCATGTCGGCTGTTGTTCCATCCTGGCCCACAGGTGCATTGTGCAACATGTGGCCTCAGTTGCTAGCTTGGCAAGGTTGGCTAGCCTTGCCCTCAACTTTGACGTGCTGCAGCTAGCCTCAAGAGTTCAGCCACATATATGTGGCTTCTTTCTTTACTAGGAATCATCCTTGGAAAAGGACTTTGCTCTAGTTTCTAAGACTTGTACCATCTTCCTATTGTGCCTAAGTTCACCGATCCACTTTCTACACATGGCATGTGCATGGCATGTGCATTGCCTGTTCGGCCGAGAATTCATGCATGCCTGCGAGCACTCATACATCACTCTGCTTTCACTCCCCTGTGCACTCATACATCACTCTGCTTTCACTCCCCTGTGCACTCATACATCACTCTGCTTTCACTCCCCTGTGCACTCATACATCACTCTGCTTTCTCATGCCAACTCACATGCATCGTCCCACCCTCACGTCATCCCTCACTCACATGCGTCATCCCACACGAGCGGCACGGCCCCAACAGCAGCGCGGGCGGTGTTGTGAACATCGAGGTAGTCGGAGTGGGGGAGGTCGGCCGAGGAGCACTTTCCGTCGATCAGCCGTGTGTAGGGCGCAGGACATTGGCACACCGCTGTACCGACCTGCACCACACACGTGGACACGTCCGGACACTTGACACCGTAGCATGGGTCTGAAACGGGAGGGGATGTGGGGGAGAGATGTGGAGGAAGTGTGAAAGAGCATTTGGCACTGTTGCTACTACCTGAACAGGAGAACTGCCACTGTAGCAATCATCTGCGCAGGAGCGCATGACGATGTTGCAATCACCTGAGCGAGAACACTCGTCTCTGTTGCGATCAACTGAATACGAGTGCTTCGAAGCGTAGAAATCACCTGGGCAGGAGCACCTGGCAATGCCAGCGGAAGAGGAGCAGTTGCAGTTGGCAGGGCAGGTGACGATCGTACACATGTCCACCTCTGGTGAGGGGGGGGAACCGTGAATGGGCAAGGCGGGTGGGGAAACGGGTGGCAGGAGAGGAAGTGGAAGGGGCATGAAGGCACAGGTGAATGGATTACGGGGGAAGAAATGAGACGGCCGAAGGGACAAACGAGAACAAGAGAAGGACCCGTGCTGCTCGCCCTGACACTTGACACCGTAACGTGCGTCTCAAAAGGAGGGGGGTGCGGGGGAGGGATATGGCGAAAGGGGAGCGAGGAGAAGGGGTGTGAAATAGCATTTGGCAGTGTTGCTGCTATCTGAGCAGGAGAACTGGCACTGAGCACTGTAGCAATCACCTGGACAGGAGCACATGACAATGTTGCAATCACCTGGGCAGGAGCACCTGGGAACGCCAGTGGGAGAGGAGCAGTTGCAGTTGGCAGGGCAGGTGACATTCAAACAGATGTCCACCGCTGGTGGGGGGAGTGAAGGAGGAAGCGGGATGGGGAAACGGGTGGCGGGAGAGGGAGTGGAAGGAGCATAAAGCACAATGGATGACGGGAGAAGAAACGAGACGACGAGCGAAGGGACGAATGCGAACAAGAGGAGGACCCGTGCTGCCGCTCCCCCTGATGTCCTGTGCTGCTCCCCCTGATGTCCTGTGCTGCTCACCCTGATGTCCTGTGCTGCTCACCCTCGCACTGCCCGTTGACCTTGGCATAGCCAACCACGCAGTGACACGTGGCGCCAGTGCTCTCTGCCACACACACCGAGTTTGCCGGACACAACTTTTGCTTACACGCCCCGCTACCACCACCCCTGATGCCTGTATTACCACAGTACCTGTGCCACCCGTGCTGCCGCCCGTGCCGCCCGTGCTGTCGGTGCCGCCCGTGCTGCCGGTGCCGCCCGTGCTGCCGGTGCCGCCCGTGCTGCCGGTGCTGGCGGTGGTCCCTATGGCAGTGAGGCACGACATGGACTGTGCTTTCGCCACACACCCGCAGCCACCCTGGTGGGGGGAGCACGGTGGACACAAGGGCGAGAAGGAGGAGGGGAGGAGGCCGGCAGGTTATGGGTGCGGCATGATGAGAATGGGAGACGTGAACTAGTGTGAACGCTAAGGAATGCAACGAGAGAGCAGCCAAGGCGTGCAGGGAACATGCCCTGATGTCCTCTTTGTGAACGTGGAACCTCTAAAGTGCTCGTGAACATTCGCCTGTGATCGCATCACCGCCGCATGCAGCACCCTCGCTCACCGCATGCATGCACGCACGCGCACTCACTTGCTGGTGGCGGCGTAAGTGGTTTTTGCCGCATCCGCCTTTTTCCACCCGCCCGGCACCTCAAAGGCCGACGACAACCCGCTACAGTCGCTCTGGTTCCAGAACACCACCTTCCCGCACATCACGCGGCTCGCGCCGCTGCTGCCGTCCTTCACGCTCCACAGGATGCGCAGCGACCCGATGTTGCCTGCGCGCGGCGCGGGCAGGTTCACGCACGTGCGGTTGGGGATGGCGCCGCGCAGCACGGCGGGCGGCACGGGGGCGTACTTGGCGGTGGCGAATAGCAGCACGCTCGTCACCACCACCTGCCCCTCCACCGCTGGCGGGGGAATGGGGGTGTGGATAGGGGAAGAGGGGAGGAGGGAGGAGAAAGAGGGAGCAGAGGGGAGGAGGGGGAGTGGAAGGGGAGTGGAGGGGGTGAAGGGGAAAGGGAAGGGGAAGGGGAGGGAGCGGAATGCAGGCGAGGGGGAGAGAAGGGGGCAGGGGCTGGGCGAGAGCGGCGAGAGAAGCGGAGCGGGAGGTGGGTGCTGAGAGGAAGAGGGGGTGGGGAAGCAGCATTGGGAGCATGAGCCGTTGACCTCACCTGGCACACATGAGCCGTTGACCTCACCTGGCACACATGAGCCGTTGACCTCACCTGGCACACATGAGCCGTTGACCTCACCTGGCACACACGAGCCGTTGATCTCACCTGGCACACACGAGCCGTTGATGAGCGCGAGGGTCCCGTCGCACTTGCAGAAGGGGAAGTATTTGCTGTCCACTGAGCATGCCGCGCCTTGCGGGCACGACACGTTCGCGCACGCCACAACGGCTGTGGCGGCCCGCGCGGGCGCGGACAGGCGGACGGGAAGGGCGGAGCGGGGAGAGGAGGAGGGTGAGCGAAGGGGGAAAAGAGCGGAATTGAGGGGAATTAGCGTGGGGGAACGATGAGAGTCACTATTACAGCGACAATTTGCCGGAATGGCGGTAAAAGGTTTCATCCTTGAAAGCATGACGGGGGAGCGGGAGGCGGGGAGCGGGAGGCGGGGAGCGGGAGGCGGGGAGCGGGAGGCGGGGAGTAGGAGGCGGGGAGCAGGAGGCGGGGAGCAGGAGGCGGTGAGCGGGGAACACGCATCGTCCTTGAAGGACGCGGCGCGCGGCGCGCTGGCGCAGGGCCCGGTGAAGCGGGAGCCGCCGTTGGCGACGGTGGCTCACGAGGCGGGGGCTTCTTAGGCGGCGCGAACAGCCTCATAAGCCGCCGATGGAACGGAACGTGCGACACCGTCGCAGGGCCCGCTAACCGTCGCCTATGCGATCTAATTGCGACAATCGCGTCGCCAAATGTTGGGCGACGGCGGATGCCGAGAGTGGCCGACGCGAGGTGTTGGGAGAGGAGGGCGGAATGAAGCAGGAAGGCGAGGAGAAGGGGGAGGAGGAAGGGGAGGCGTGGGGGAGTGAAAGGAATCGTCATGCGCGCGCGCAGGCGAAGTGATGGGAGAAGCGCGATCTGCGGGGAGCCGACGATTGCGGGAAAGCGCAGAAGGTGGAGACGCCCGAAAGGAGATGAAAGGCAAAAGCCTTATGAATTGTTGGGAGCAGAGCTGCTTTGCCATGGTAACAGGAATCAAGTGCCGCGAGATAAATATGGGAACGAGGCAGAGACGGAACGGAAGCATCCCCCCGCCCGATGTAATACGACACCCCACGCCACGCGGGATGGAGTGGCCGGAGCCGCGAGCCTAGGTTTTGGATTGAACCTCACTTCGCTGAAGAGCCCAGCGGAATTCGGTTGACGGAGCCGAATTGCCAGGGTCGACGAGGGGGGTCGACGGAAGGGGGGGGTCGACACGGAGGGGTCCGACGAGGCGGGCGACTGACGCGCGTGCGGGCCCGCCAGCCTGGCCCAGGGCTGGGCCGAGCGCACGACCGCCGCCCCGCAAAACCCCCCCCCGGAAGTGAACAGCGACCCACGTTACCGGGTGGGGGCGGCGAGCTGGCGAGACCTCGCGCGAGGGAAAGTAACCCCGGCGCGAAGGCAGCCCACCCGTCCCTCCTGCCCGCGAGGTCCTAGTAACCCATCGCGGCCTGCCCGGACGGGCAGGCGAGGGCCTGGCGAAAATTCGGGGGCCCCTCGGGACACTCGACAATTTCGCGACCCGTTGCGGTGACGCCACGTGTTCGCTCGTGGTTTCGCATCGGGCGCATGCCATATTTCGGACGTTGCGAAATCGATTTCGATCGCTTCGCGGCGCATGTTTTTCGCGATCCGCTGCGAAATCGACACGTGGCGGTCTAAACGATGCACCGCGAGCGTGCGAATATGCGTCCCTTGGCCGACCGAGGCCAGGGGACGTGACATCGACTTGCTGGCTCGGCGGCGAATGAGAACCTGTGCCACTTGTGCACGAGCCCGCCATACCCTGCCGAGCCAGGCCCCACGAGGGCCGGGCGATGCCTCGACCGGCCTGTGGGGCACCGACCCCCTTTTCCTTGGTGGAAGGGGGCATCGCTCCTCATTTTCGCTTTCTCCTTTCACTTTCCACCGTTTTTTCCCAGCTCTGCGCCTTGTCCCACATTCACGTCCCTTAGCCGGTAGCCGCTTCCCTTCCCCGCCATGGCGGCCGACCCGAAAGTCGGCGAAGTGACGCCGACTTCGCAGGACTTCCCGCTGTATCTCGACCTGGGCGGAGGGCTCACTTCCAAGTTCGACGAGCACGACTACGCCGTCCTCGTAGACAATAGGCTCGAGTTCAACGCCCGTTGCTTGGGATTCGGCCTCAAGTGAGTCGCCGTATATTTAGGTCGGCGTCGATCTATGCTGTCCTAGCTGGTCGACGCTGCGTCGGTGTTATGGTTGTCCCATATCTATGGCGGCGCCACGAGGTTAGGGTTTGGTTCACAGTGGCGCCGACTTTACGATTACTGTTTACGTGTAACACCTATTTCACCGATGGGTCGGTGTTGTTCACTGGGTTGCACCCCCTCACCCCTTCTAATACCCCTGTCGGCTTGCAGGCACGCATGGGCTCGCTCGACGAAGATGCGATTGTGGTCGATAGGACTCGGTCGGCTTCGGGCGGCGATGGGTCAGGAGGACCACACGTGCTTTGCGACGGTTTTTTTACGCCGACGTAGCGATCATCCCCCTGCATTCCAGGTGCGATGGTCGACGACGTACAGCTGTGCCATGCATGCTATGTCGGTTCTCTGTGCTGAACGGCGCCGACGTGCCTTGCCTGTGCAGCATCGCACCGCTTCCAGGAGCACAATGCAGTGTTATTGTCGTCATTTACCACGGCGACTTGTTGAGGACGGGGGGGGAGAAGATCAGGACGTCTATCCGCCACCTGGACCCGCAGACCGTGAAGCAGTGGCACCGCGACGAGGCAATCCGCGTGCTGAAGTGAGCTCGATAGCCTATTCGTCGACGCATGCCATTTCTCCGCGCAGCCTAAACCATGCTTACCGACCATCTCCGGCATTGTTGTTTCAGGTTTTTCCGGGCGGCGGTACTGGCCGAGCTGGGCCGCGACGGTAGGACGTGGGAGTGGCCGAAGCCCTCCGTTCAAGAGGTCGGGCACAGGCTCTCCGACTGTGACGAACCCCTTCGAGATGTGAGTTCCGAACGAGTCGACGTCCTATTGTGTGTCATCCAATCTCGATGCTCATCCTTGCGCTCTGAACCGGTGAATGCAGAAAGTGCCCGGCGTCGTCCAGGACGGGAGCCCGGGCTCCGGCACGCTAGCAATGAGCGGGTTGTGCTGGGTGGTGAGGAGGATGGATCTCCTGACCGGCAAGTACCGTCGCAGTGCTACCACCATGGACAAAGTCTACGTTTCGGGGTTGAAGGCGCTGCGGGGTGCGATGGTAACATTCATCAAGGAGCACGTCGCTCTGAAACGGTCGGGCCATGTCGGACTTGCTCGCGACGCCTGTGACGACGACGGCGAGGAGCCCCCTTCAGCATCCCAAGCAGCCGTGGTCGCGGACACCCGCGGAGAGGCCACAGGCGGCGTCGACGACGCAGATGGGGAGGCAGGAAGGGCGGTGCCGCGGACCGGGGATCAGGAAGAGGAAAAGGAGGGGGAGGAGGAGGCGGAGGAGGAGGAGGAGGCGTCCACCGATGATCGGGATGATAACGAGGAGGAGCGTGAGGAGCGCGAGCAGGGGCAGGAGGAGGACGAGGAGGACGAGGAGGAGGTGGAGGAGGAGGAGGAGGAGGAGGAGCAGGGGGGGCGGCGGTGGCCGTGGAGCAGGCGGTGGAGCAGGCGGTGGAGCAGGCGGAGAAGCAGCAAGAGGGGGAGGATGAGGTGGTGTTCCCCTGGGTCGACTTCGAGATGGCCGTGGAGGGAGAGGCGGCGGCCGTGGAGGGAACTGGTGGGTGGTCGGCGGATGTTGTGGGCGAGGGAGTGGAGGGTGCCGATGTGGAGAGAGGAGACGTGGTCGGCAATGTGGTTGGGGACGCGACAGAGGAGGATAACGCCGCGGCCCCGACGCAGACGGGCGTGGAGCCCACCGCAGGGTACGCCGGGGTGGAACGCCGAGGTGGAGCGGTAGAGGCGGGCAGTCAACCCGGTTCCTCAGCAGCAGGTCGGCAGGCACCGCCGGACGACGTCGCGCAGCTGCGACAGGAGAACATGTGGTTGAGGGCTGAAAATGCTCGACTGCAGACGGAGCTCGGAGTGGAGAGGGGTCGGGTGGACAGGTTTGCGACGGGGATAGGCCGCCTCGTGGACAAGCTCAGGTCGTTGGCCGACCAGGTCGCCGCCTCCGACAGGGACGCGGCGAGTCGGCTGATGGACGCGTCCTTGACCATGGCGACGACCGTCACCGAGAACATCACCGCCACCATGGGTGAAGCATGGGATGCGATGAAGACGTACGCCGTGAGGGCGGAGGCCTGGGTGGACGATCTCGAGAATCCGGAGGGGTTTTGGCAGCGGAACGTGCGAAGGCGGTAGTCACCTTGGTCAACCACGTGGACAAGGTGGTGGGCGACGCGCAGAAGGGGTTGGAGGACCATATATCGAAGAACCTAGTCGCCGCGCAGACCAACATCGCCGCCGCGGTAACTCAACGCGTCGCCGTGCCGCCGCCAACGCCGCCCGCCCCACCGCCAGCCTTCCCGGACGAGCTCATGAAGTCATTCAAGGCGGACGTGTTGAAGGCGGTGACTGAGGCCACCCAGCAGTCGTTTGTTGCGTCCGGGTTAAACCTCATGACCGAGGTGATCGGCAATTTGGCGCCTCGTCGGCGTGGGTCGTCGCCGTCGGCCAACGACGCCGGCCGACAAGAAGGGTGCGAAGAGGCCGGGCGGCGGAGAGGATGCGTTGAGCTCGAAGCGGAGCAAGGGAGCCGATGGGAGCCGCGGCGTCGGCGAGGTGGGTCCTGGTGGCTCGCAGAGCAAGGGAGCCGATGGGAGCCGCGGCGTCGGCGAGGTGGGTCCTGGCGGCTCGCGGAGCAAGGGAGCCGATGGGAGCCGCGGCGTCGGCCAGGTGGGTCCTGGCGGCTCTGGGAGCAAGGGAGCCGATGGGAGCCGCGACGTCGGCCAGGTGGGTCCTGGCGGCTCTGGGAGCAAGGGAGCTGGGAGCGGAGGTAAGAGCGTGGTCGACCAGCTCAAAGAGAAAGGGGCCAGGGTGATAAGGACGCACAGCAAGGGCGATGGAATCAAGAGTGCGGAGGGGGGCCCAGCCGACCAGGTTGCCGCTCAAGAGGCTGGACCAACTGCTTCGCCATTGGTGGCCGAGAAGCCCCCCAGTCTAGCAACCGCACCAACGGCGATAGATGGCGGCGCCGAAACCGTGAAGGGGCCGTCTGGGGGGGTGACGGGGACCACGTCGATTCCCCGCAAACCCCCTGCGGCTAGCAGCGCGCCGGTCGCCCCGTCAGCCGCCAAGAACGATGGGCCGTCCCTTGCGGCTACTCCAGCACCAGCATGCCCGTCTGCCGCCAAGGGCGACGCGAAGGATGATGCGGCTAGCCGCCCTGGTCCGTCCGCCCCAAAGGCGAACGCGCTCTTGGAAATGCTCCGCCGCATGGAGACCCATCGCCCGGGCGTGCAGCCGCCTCCCGTGGTCGGTGCCGCTCCGGCCAAACCAGAACGTCGCTCGGTCGCTCCCCAGGTCGGCGCCACAACGTCCAGTGCCCCACCTACCGCGCCTAACATCGCCGCCCGTCCCCCTGTGGACCCCAAGTCCGCCCTGCTTCGCGCCCGGTTAGGCGCACGTACTGCGGCAGCGCCAGCACGGGCTCAGACAGAAGCCGGCTCAAGCGCGACGCTGACGTCGGTAACCGTAGCTGCATCCTCGCTCGGTGCAGCTACTGTCGAGGCGGTGGCGGAGAAGGGCGTGAGTGCAGCGCTAGCCACGGGCGGTCGATCCGTCGACCCTGCACAGGCGGCGAAAGGCCAGCGCGACGCCGACATCGATGCCATCCAGGACCTGTTGGAAGCGGTAAACCGCCCCGGGCAGCCCCCTGTTCTGGCCATCTCGGACTCGGCGCATGTGGAGCACCCGGCGAGTCCCCCCGGTAAGACGACCACTGCTGCTGTGGTGGTCACCAAGTCGAAACAAAAGGGGACGGCCGACACAGGGAAAGGGAGACAGAGCTCGCAGAGGACAACACGGGCGAAGTCGGTGGAGAAAGGGAAGGAGAAGGCGAAGGTGAAGGAGAAGGAGGAGGAGGAGAAGGCGAAGGAGAAGGCGATGGAGAAGGCGAAGGAGAAGGAGAAGGCGAAGGAGAAGGCGAAGGATAAGGAGGAGGAGGAGGAGAGGAGGAGGAGGAAGAGGAGGAGGAGGAGGCGGCGAAGGAGGAGGGCGAGGATGATGCTAAGGAGGAGGAGAAGGTGAAGGTGAAGGAGAAGGGACGGAAGGGTCATGGCATCCACCGCGACACCGCGGGCGACAAGCAAGGGTGGGTGGGCGAGATTAAGGTGGCCGGGAACGAGAGTAGATACATCGGCAAGTCGCGCGACAAGATGGAGCTGGCGTACCTCCACTCGATTGTGTACCTCCTTTACGACGGTTACGTCAGCAAGATTCTCATGGCCGAGCTCACCGGCTTGACGGAAACCATGATGAAGCAGTGGAGGGCGGTGTGGGAGGAGGTCAGGTTCTTGCCGACCGGGATGTGGACGGTGATATGGGCAAGGGGCGCTTTCCTCCCAAAGACCCGGTAAGTCGGATACCACTTCCGTCACGTGATGATGTCGACATAGGGGTCCCTAATGAACGTCCAATTTCGTGTGTTCGCGTAACAGGTTCGATGACATTCTCGGCAAGTATCGAGCGTACAAGACATCAGGCGATGAGCATCACGCCGCGCTCTGGCCGGCGATCTGGTTCCCGGTCGATGCCGACACGAAGGAAGGGAAGGCGAAGTCGGATGCAATGCTGTCGGCCATGATTGATCGCATGTCCTTGTGCGCTGCGTATGGGAAAGTCGCTGCTGCCGCGGCGAGGAAGGAGGGCGAAACGGATGAGACGACGGCGTTGGTGGCACAGGCGCTATCGGCCTCCGCTTGCGCCCTGTGGTGCTTAGTCGAGGGCGACGCCGCCCAGGTGGCCGATGCTGTGCGCGAAGGGAAGGCGGCGGCGATGGTGGTCGGTGCGAGCGGGAATACCGGTGATGAGTTCATGAAGGTCATGAAGGAGGTGCTGGAGGCCGCGAAGAGCAGGGAGAAACCCCTCGGGGAGGTTGCGTACAACGTCGCAACGGCGCTGGAGTCTACAGCTCTGGCGAGAGCCTATCCGGGGTTGGATGTTGAAGTCGAAGCCCAAGTGATCGCACGAGCGACGGTGGAAACCATGGCGTTCTGGGGAATGTGCCCCAAGGATGGGCCGAAACTCAAGAAGATCGGCATCGAGGTGCCGCTTGACGCGCAGATGGCGAAGCTTATCGAACACAGGGGGAGGAAGGGCCAGAGGGGCAAGCAGGGCAAGGACAGCTCGGGGAAGAAGGGCCAGAAGGGTAAGCAGGGCAAAGACAGCACGGCGGCTTAGTCGGCATTGCATTCTGGTCGCCTGGGATGGCCTGGTATGGGCGGCGTCGATCATGGAGTTCTCGTTGTGATTGCTTGTCGTAGGTGATTGCGTGATGTGTGGCTGTAACTTTTTGGTAGTGCATGTTTCGTGGCTGAACCTCGTCGGCGTCTGATACGTCGGCGTCGTGTGGTGTCGACATTGTGCGTCTGTCTGTATGCATGTAGATACACGGCGATATCCTCGTCGCCGCTTTGGGTGTTTTGCACCGTTTATAGGTCGGCATCGATATCGTTTTGTGTGTTTCGGCTGTCGGATCCCTTCGATGCTCTTTGTTTGTGTTTCATTGTGTGCGTGCCTGTCGACTTTACGAAGGATGTGTAATTAACAACTCAAACATTAGCTTGTAGACTCCGCGAAGGATGTGATGTCTACTTCAGTTAGAACGAGAGGATCATTGTGAGAAATCCAAAGTCGACAACTGTATCAGTACGAAACACATGCATGCTGCAACAACATCATCTACAACATGCAACAGCCCACAATCGCATGTTGCTTGTGAGCATTCACGCGGTCTTCTTGCGCTTGGTCGACTTCTTGGTCGGAGGCAGCTTCCCGGCGTCGTTTTCGCGGGCCAGGTCGGCCAACGCCTTCTTCATCCCCTCCTCCCATGTGTCCGGGAACAGGTCGGCGACAAACTTCTCCGGCTTGAACCCGCGCGCCACGAGCGCACTGGCGAGACGAAGCTTGGCAAATTCCGTCTTGCCGAGCCCCTTGACGCCCTTACCCTGCCCGGCATAGGTCGGTTTGTTGCCCGCGTTGAGCACCGTGAGGGCATCCGAGAAGGTCCCAATGCCAGGCGCCGCTATCGTGTTAAGCGCGTCGACGACGGCTTCGGTGTCGGCTTCGCCGTCGCTCCTGCGAAGCTGGCGCACGGCATCGATTACCTTCATCATGCGGCGCACCCTCGTCCCGTGTGCTCCCTGCGAGGCTCCGTCGAGGAGGGTGTGGCGGTCGACGAATCCCGGCTCGAAGAACCTGTCGCACAGACGACGGGTGTCGGCGCTGGTGCACGAGGTCCAGAGGCGCCACGCGTCCCTCACGGTCGTTGCATTCCGCCAAGGCTGAACCACGTTCAGCTCGTAGCTAGCCTCCTCGACCGTCTGTGGGGGTTTTTTGGGTTTCTTGGCTCCGTCACCCCTGCTTGCCGACTCCGCGGAGCCACCGTCGCTCGGCGACTGATCGTTCGCAGCTGGCGGCGCCTCCGGCATCCTACGAGCTTCTGAAACGCGGAGAGCCTCGGTGAGGCGGGTTATCTCGTCCGTCATCGACGCGATGGTAGCGTCGCGCTGCTCGAGCTTCTCCTCGAGGTCGATCTTCTCGACCGCTGACCGCTCCCTCTCGAGCTTCAGCGTCGTTGTGAGGGAGACGACCGCGTACTGGGCGTCATGGCGGACCGATATCTCCTGCAATGTAGGCGAAAAACGGTGCAGGTGAGGTGTTGTCATCGGGCACAGTGCTCATGGCGATGTCGACATAAAGATGACTCACCTCTGGCTGGATGAGGGTTGGGTCTTGCCGCTTTTTGATGGTCTCGGTGTCGGTCTTCTCGACCTTCTTCGCCCAGTGCTGGAAGAGGGGAATCCGGCAGAGCTTGGAATACTGGACGTACGGGTGCCAAGGCGTGCGGACGAGTTTCACAGCGAGGTCCTCGGCGACAATGCGGCGGAACATCTGGAGGGTGCGCCAGAAATGCACGGCAGCAACGTCGGCGTCGGACCCCTTCTTCGCGAGTTCTTCCGCCTGCAATTAGACAACAGACGTGGGTAATTACCGTGGTTGAAAGTACAGTGCCATGCGATGCTTGGTCGGTACCGATCGACATACATTCTTAAGGAGCTCGTCGACGCCGGGGAAGATGTGCTCGGCGATGAGCTTGAGAAGCTCGTCCGACGGTTCCACCCTGCTGCGCCCCAAGAAGTAGTCCTGCGTGTAACCCGAATAACCGGCCTTCTTCATCACCACGCCGACGGGAATGGCTGTGATGTAGGCTCGAGTCATCTTGTCGAGAGCCCAGTGACCCAGCTCGGCTATCTCGGCGCGAGGCGTACCGTTGATGGCCAGCTCCTGCGCCCCGCCTGCCCGAGCGGCATGGACGTTCCGCTTGCAGAACACCCCGTTCGTCTTCCACATCTGCCTCGTCCATCGCTGGTGGCTGGCAGCTGAGATTTCGCCCTGGTCGGTGTCGTTTTTGGCGAAGAACAGGTGCTTCTTGTACCAGCGCTCGCGTGTGCTGGTGTCGACCGGCGGAATGAGGTCGACGCCGTGAAACTGGCCGATCTGGTCGAGGATGAAGTGTAGCCACAGTCCGGTCTCGCCGACGGCGCACAATTCCGCTTCGAGGTGCCGCGCGGCGTAGCTCTGCTGAAGACGCGCATCCTTCGACGTCTTCGAGTTCCGCGCGGCGACCACCATGACGACCGGCTGGTTATCCGGGTTCACCGACGAGGTGCTCGCCAGTCGGTACAAGAAGATGTCGGGGAGCGTGATCTCGCGGATGCTTGCACCGCGCATGAGGCTGTGGTGGGAGAGCAGCGTGAGCACCTTGACGAGAAGGAACCTCCACAGCGTCTGCGAAGGAGTGGTGAAATGCGGGCTCCATGCCGACGCCGCCCAAGCCGGCAGCACCCTCGTCATGATCTGGCGGAACTGTTCGGCGGTGTATGTGTCGCCGATGGTGCCGCGTCGACGGTCGGCGCAATTACTGTCGACAGAACAATACGGCGGTAGGATTATTAGGGCGATGGGAACAAATCGTCACCGACTAGAAAACGGCGTTGGATGCCAACTTACTTGATGTCCCTCTGGTTTTTGGTGCGGACCATGACCCGCACCTCCGACCGGACAACCGAGATTTCTCGCATGATGCCCAACTCCTTCTCCTTGTACAGCGTCGCTTCCACCCTCGCCGCCATCTGGCATGCCTTGATGCGGCCGAGGATCATGTGCACCGTGTAGGACGGCACCGGCGCGTTCGTCTCGGCGTCGATCTTGAACTCCCGCCTCATGAACTTGACGTAGGCGCGCAGCCGCGTCGGAGTGACCTTGGGGCCGTGCAGCCAGATGTGCTTCCGTTTGACCACCTTCGGGTTGTCCCAATCCTTGCTCTTGTTGCAGTGGATCCAGTGCCCGATCTCGTCGACGTGCCTAGTTCGTTCCCCGATCGGCAGCTTGTCGCCTATCTCTTTGAGCATCTTCGCGGCCCACCTCTTGTAGTGGTAGATCCATGAGATGTAGGACTGGAGCGTGCTCTTAGCCTCGATGGTTTTCAGGTGGCGCAATGCCTCCATCACGAGCACGTCGACGCACGCGTACACCATATCTTCCTCTACGAAGTCGGCCGCCTTCCACTGTTCTCGAGGGACCGACGTGTTCATCAGATCCTCGAGCTCGTCCTCGTCCAGAAGTTCCTCGATGAACGCACGTTCCCCCCTGAGCTTTTCTTCCAACGTGCGCGGACCTGGGCCACGTCGGGGCCGCGCGTCGGCTTCGTCGTCCTCGTCGCTCGCCGAGGAATAGTCTTCCATTCCCTCATCCTGGTCGCCCGCTACGTCCGGCACCGACGACGGCCCGGCCTCCGCTGCATTCGTCGGTGCCGACGTGTCTTTGCTTGGTTTCGTGAACTCCACAATTCATCCGGACCTACGCATCTCTTGGCTGCTTGGAAACCCTTTTCGTCCGCCTTAACTTGTTACCCGGTTCGTCACAGAATACTCCCCAGCAAAGCTGGTGGCTGTCCGCTAGGATAGGAGAATAACGTGTTCAATCACGTACTCCTAAAGGTCGTTGGCTTGCTTAGCCGTATTCTCAGATATTCTGTGTTTTGTATGTAATTGATTACGATCTTAATATATTCCTATTCCTATTCCTATTCCTAAATGCCTGGAGGCATGGTGTTTAGGGTTGAGGCTCCCTCGGATGGCATGCCATCCGATGGGGGTTTAGTTTTTTTGCTGCCCGGGGCAGCAGGTCGACAGGTCGACACAGGTCGACAGGCTTGTCGACCTGATTCCGCTGAGATCTTCAGCATAATAGAGCTCAGCGGACGAAAAATGCCGCCCATTTTCGCGGGCCAGAACGGACAACCCCCCTCCTCGGGGTTGTCGACCCCACGACGACCACCGCGTGGAAAGCCCAGGCGAGCTGGCTGGGCCCAGTGCTGGTGACCCCTCGGGATTGTCGACGACCTGTCGACCTTGGGTTCCGCTGAGACAATCCCGAGAAGGTCGTCTCAGCCGCGTGACGTCATCCCAGCTCGGCACGTCGGGCCGCGATGATCGCCACGCGGCCAAAAAAGAGACGTCCGAGATCGACCCCTGGATGGCGGGGCCATCGTGGACAGCCAGGGTGGCCACGACGGGCCAACGGAAGGTGGGGGTGCTTCGCGTGGGAAAACTTCGCGCCCAAGCGTTGCCAGGTCGGTGCGTACCACACGGCCATCATCCAACGGTTGCCCACATGCCCAAGGCGAAATCCGACCGTCCACTACCTCTGCCTAGGTGCAGTGGATACTGGCGGGAATGTCGGCGTCGACCAGAAGGTCTTCATCGTGGTGCCACGCGGCAGTGTCTCCCGCCCTCGAACTACCGCGCTGGGACCACGCCACGTACCGCACCACAGAGCCAGCGTGTAACACCCATGAAAGGCGCATTATGAGCGAAGCGCTTCAAGCAAGCAGCCATGCACGCCCGGTGGCACGTCGGTCACGGCGCCGCCGCACGAGCGTACATGCATAGCTGCGTCCTGCACAGGGGTTTGCGTGGAGCGCCAAGTGGAGCGGAGTCGCTCACGACCATACCAATCTGGAGTCCCACTGTAGGTCGCTCATTCTGCCTGCCGTTCTCTGTGCTTTTCATCCGTTAGCTGGCACTTAGATTTTTTCCCCGTCCCCTTGACGGCTCGCCCTTAGTTTTTTTTCCATCGGGAGATTGTCGGCAGACGTGGAACGTCGGCGTCGTCAGAATAGTCAGACGTCGTGGTCGCCGTCTCGTAGTGTTGTCTGCGATGCCGACCTGTCAGATACCGCCGACTTAGAATCGCCATGTTTCATTTCACCGACCTCACCACACCGACTTCCCATCGCGAGACCCTAGGTCGCGGTATCATGGCCGGAGCACAGCCTCGCTCGACACCGCCGCAACCGCAGCCACCACCCGCCGACGTCGACATGACGGACGTTCCGAACCCCGCTAGCCAGGGTGAGGATGTCCGCCCGGTAGATCGTACACCGAACAGTAACCCCTCGTCGACGCTGCCCCTGCTTTACGATCTCGGCAGCAAAGGATATGAAACGTAGCCGGCCAGCCGCCCGAATGCGAGATGCTGTTTTTTGTTGTTTCTTAGCAGATTGTTTAGAGCGTCTCCAGAGAAAGATTTTGAAGGCTAAGAGAAACTGCGCGATGATGAGTTGCAGGATCTCAAAGCGGGGGGTAACAATGTTGTTGAATCTCTGAGCACAGCGGGCGTTCCAGACAGGGTCCTCGACATCAGACATTTTTGTCTGTTTGTCTTAGTTTCCATACGATTTTTATCCAGTTAATCTGGTTTTCAATGAATATTTTTTTTTTTCATCTGAAAGAGTATAAATATTTTTTTGACTTCATCTGATCCATCAGAAGTGTATTATATGTTTCGTCTGAAACCGAAACATGTTAGAGTACGGGGATTTCCCGCGGAACATGTTATGACAGGGCGAATCTGTTGTCTAAGCGAATCTGCTGTGTTGTGTAAGGTCGAATCTCTTGTGTCAGGACGGGTTTGCTATGATTGGACGAACATGTTGCGCTCTGACGTCGCGAATCTGCCGTGTCAGAGCGAATTAAGCTCTGATTTGGCGATATATTGTGCTCTGACAGGGCGAATCTGCCGTGTTAGGGCGATTTTGCTGAGACCAGTGAAGTCCGAATCACACCAGTGTGTACTTCGAATGAATGTGACAGGTCAAGAAAAGTCAGACTCAACTTTTTATCCCACGTGCATCTACACGCTAGAATCTATTTTAATTGGTCAGACAAGTACTTTTGAAATTTCTGATGCATCAGACACGCAAAGGCAAAATATCTGATGCATCAGACGGGCCCGAAGCAGGCCTGTCGAAGTTTCTGGGGCTCGTACTTGCGCTCCCCAGCTCCTCCCCATCTGACCCTTGGTTGGGTGTAGGTGAGCGTTTTGGCGCCCTTAACGGGCACGGGCGCACCCCAAAGTGAAAACTTGAAATCCGGGCATGTGCGAAGTTTGCACACACTGTATTTGGTTGAGGGAGCTGCTACGCCAGATTGCTTCAGTTCCTTTGACGTGCTTTGGTTAAGTGTGTTGGAGTTCTCTGTGTCCAATAGCCAAATTCAGCAAACCTAATCCTATGTGTCACTGCTGTAAACTGCGGCCAGCTCGTATTGTACGCTAAGGGATTGTTCGGGTGCTCCAAGGTTGACTGAGACACACTACACACACGAGATTGGCTAGAAAACTCTAAGGAAAAAATCCCCTCCGCGCGCTCTAGTGCAGACTAAGGAGAAAGAGGGGGGTGGGGGGGTGTCTCAGGCACCCTGGGGGCGTGGGGGGTCCTACGATCGGAAACCAAAACTTAGATAAAGGGGAAGGCCTGGTTTCGTCCCTTAACGCATCCGGGGAAGGGTCGAACGAAGCACTTAGTGGCACGGGTGGGGTGCGAATCTAAAACTTGACGCATTGGAGCTGGAGCGAAACTAGCCCTTAATGTCAGGGCATTAAGGGCATATGCCCGTCAATCGTCAGGCCTGGCCCGAAGGGCCCGTCTGACGCATCAGGGGGGTTCAAATCCTAGCGAGGACCCTGGTTCCAGAGGGCCTTCAGGGCAGCGATGTTGTTGGATCTCTGGAATGCCTCCAGGCATTTAGGGTTGAGGCTCCCTGACCGGATGCATGCCCGTCTGGGGTTTATTTTTTTTGCCCGCGGGCAGCGAGCTCCCTCGGGCGTCGACCTGATTCCGCTGAGCTATTTTCGGCGAAAGACAATCATAAAAAGGGGCACCATGCACAGCAAGGAATCCGAAAATACTCTCGCGGATCGCCATTCGTGAACGGGGCCACGGCCACGGCCACTGACACTCCTTGAATCACCTTGTCAGATAACCCTAATGCTTTCATTCGCACTCTAAACTGTAGAGTCTACACCCACTAGACGCTGTCACAGTAGATGCGAATGAACACAACAACTGCTGATTGGAAACTTACTGCAAGCTGTAAGAAAATATTCAAATCCCTAATTACACATCCACATTTCACCTCGTATGTCACTGTTTCCGGTATAGACGGTTCTTCTCCCAGCAGAGGCTAGCTCATAGTACCTGCTACATGTGTATTCTTTGACCCCTAATGCAATCCTCGCTTCGCTAGTTCAGTCGCATTCGTATAACGAGCTCAACACATACCGTGTGTCACATACACTAGAAGGCATGTACAAATCCTGAATAAATTACAAAAAAATGGAAAGAATAACACCTCCATCACAATCTTTTGGATCTGATGAATCCTACCTTCAGATCAGCCCTGCTGCTATTGCCGTACTCGAAGGGGCAGCGCTGCTCGTCTCTTCTTCAAGCCGAACAGCTGATAGCTCTCAATGCTGCAACATCGCCACTCGTGGTCCTGGAGAGCACACGCACAAGCAGACATCAGCAAAACACAGTCAGCGGAACACTCGATAAAGGATATCATCACATGGCCAGCTCACGGGACAGTGGAGCAGCAAGCGCAGGGGAAGAAAGAAGGTGCTGCAGAGGCAGGAGCGCAGGCAGCAAGCTCTCACGAAGCAGTGGTGACGTTGCTGCCGGGCCGTCCCCACCCGGTGGCATGGCCATAGCAGTTAGCCCCGTTCCAGAACCACATCAGGCGGCACACCTGCCTCACTCCCCCCACCGCCCCGTCCGGCACGTCCCAGAGAATCTGCAGTGACCCCACGGCCCCTGCGAGCGACGCCGGGATGTTGGCACAGCCTGCTGCTCCCGAGGCGCCGGGTGTGTTGACTCGGAGGACGGTGGGCGCGAGGGAGGCGGGTGAGTTGGTGAAGGACGGCGCGTTGTAGAGCACCACACTTGTTGTCACTGTGGCAGGGGCGGCTGAAAGGGAGGGGGAGGGAAGGGCGGAGGGAGAGAGGAAAGGGAGTTGGAGCGTGGGAACAGGTAAGTGCGACAGAGAGTGGGGTTGTGGATGGAGTGGTTATGCGGGACGGGTGTGGCAAGGCTTACAGCGCTGGCAATGGGAAGATATACTGAATGTGCTAGTAACGAGTACCTTGAGTGCAGGTGCCGTTGACAAGGGAGTAGGAGGCAGGGCAGGCACAGAAGGGGATGCCACCACTGGTGGCTTTGCAGCGAGACGTGGAGGGACACTCGACTCCCACACATGATGGTGCTGGAGAGGGGTGACAAGGGGTGAGGAGGGGTGATAAGAGGTGACGAGGTGTGAGGACGGATGAAGAGGGGTGCAGATGGTGAAGGTGAGAAGGCACAAAGAAACAGGAGGCAGCAGCAGCAACAGGCGACGGGGGGTGAGGTGTGAGGTGCAATCGCAGAGAGCAGTGAGGCAGAGCACACTCACCGAGGCATGTGTTGGGGGCAACGAGCAGCAGCCCCTTGGGACAGACGCACTGCGCTGTGCCGGTGGTGCCGTCACACACCAGGTCGCCCGCTGGACAGCTCACTCCCTTGCAGGGGTCTGGCAGGGCGAGAATGGGGGAGGGAGCGGCAGGGCAAGGGGGCATGAGGGTGCAAGGGCGGTTGGGAGAGCATAGGCTTGGTGGCGGGGGAGTGATGGTGCGATGGGGGATGTGGCAAGGGAAATGGTGGGGCCACGGGGGGCGCACGAGGGAAGTGATGCATCATGCCCCCAGGGAGTGATAACGTGACGGGAGATCATGGTGACACATGGTGGGTGTGAGGGCATGCGGGGTGGGAGGAGCGTGGGGGGGCGGGTGGGGGCGGCACCTGGTTGGCACTGGGCGGGCATGCAGGGTGAGAAGAAGGTGTGGCGGTGGGAGGGGACAGGACGACACACCTGGTTGGCACTGGGCGTTGTTGACGAGCACCTGGCCGGCAGGGCACACACACACGGGCTTGCCACCCTCCACAGTGCACGTGGAGGTGGAGGGGCACAGCACTCGCGTGCATGGGTCTTGCACTGCAAAGAGGGAAAGGGAGAGGGGAAGAGGAGATATGGGATGGATGAGAACGAGGAGCCCATGGGCCATAAGTACAGCATCGCACCGCAATGCACCTCACAGCACCGCACAGTGCAGCCAACGCAGCACTGACCGTAGGGCAGCTGGCCGAGGTAGTTCCCCGGCGGGTAGTAGTGGCACGCCCACACGTCCGCCCCCGTGCCGCACGACGCCTTGGCACACCCCAGCTTCCTCGAGTTATTCCACACGACCTGCGTGTAGTGCCCGCACTTGCACCAGTTGCCGCCCTCACAGCCGTCGGGGAAGACAGCGAGGGAGTACCACTGCCCCTCGTTCACCCACCAGCTGGCCGCTGCTGCGTTTGAGGCCCAGCCGGAGGGGCTGGCGCCTGAGAGGTTCTGCCCCTCGCCGCTGTTGCCGCCGTGCGTGAGCCCGCAGTTGTACGTGCTGTTGGTCAGCGCTGTCACCCATGCCAGGGCGTGCGATGCCACTGGGGGAGGGGAGAAGAGTGGGGAAAGCGAGGGGAGGAGAGGCCGTGAGCGGAAAAGCACGGTGGTCCTTTTATGACGAAAAGAGTAGTGGAGAGGGTATTAGTTGAGGTGATTGCAGTGGGCCGAGTAGCAGCACAACGATGCACTCATCACTCTTCTCACAACAGCACTCACATGCATCGTCCCACACGAGAGGCACGGCCCCCACAGCGGCGCGGGCGGTGTTGTGCATATCAAGGTAGTCAGAGTGAGGGAGGTCGGCCGAGGAGCACTTGTTGTCGATGAGACGAGCGTAGGGCGCGGGGCACTTGCACACGGGCGTACCGCTCTGCACCACACACGTGGACACGTCCGGACACTTGACCCCGTAGCAGCGGTCTGGAGAGCGGAGGGAGAGGGGGAAGGGGGTGGATTGTATGTGGGAAGGGGTGTGGAGAACGGGAGTTAGGAGGGGAAAGACGGGGAAGAAGAATGGCAGACCTAAATGCACACCGGTAAGTGCACACCAGTTAGCACCGGGACGGATCGTGTAAGCGCCAATGTCAATCCTCTCCGACGTTTCTTCTCACCTGGGCAGGAGCACTTGGCAATGCCAGCAGAAGATGAGCACGTGCAGTTGGCAGGGCAGGAGACGATTGAACAAATGTCCATCGCTGGTGGGGGGGGTGGATACAAGGGGAAGGAGAGGAGGGATGGAGGGAGGGGAAGCGGGGGAGGGGAGAGAGACCGAAGGCAAATCTGAGTGGGTGCCAGGAGAAGGGCGAGGAGGCAATGCAGCGTTGGGGGAAGAGAGAAAGGGAATGGGAATGAGAAGAGGCGATAAAGTGTTTGAGTGCGGAAGCGCTTTAGAGAGATCAGTGGCACAATGCAGGGCACTGCCCGTGCTGCCCGTATTGCCCTCCGCATCATGTCCCAAGCTGCTCACCCTCGCACTGCCCATTGACCTTGGCGTAGCCAACCACGCAGTTACACGTGGCGCCAGTGCCCTGCGCCACACACACCGAGTTGGCCGGACACACCGTCTCCTTACACGCCCCGCTACCACCGCCCGTACTGCCGCCCGTGCTGCCGCCCGTGGTACCAGTGCTTCCAGTGCTGCCGGAGCTGCTGGTGTTACCAGTGGGCACGCCTGTGCCGGGCTCCGTGGTGCTAGCAGGGTCGGCAAAGGCCTGGCACGACATGGACTTGGCTCCCGCCACCACCCCGCCCGTCACTCTGATGGTTGGATGAGGGATGAGGGAGAAGGAGGAGAGCAGGTTATGGTGCCAGCATGGGGAGAATGGAGGGCAACAGGTAAGTGTGGCAGCAGAACAGCCGGAGTGCGGCGGGCTCACTGAATGCGGCGGGCTCACTGAATGCGGCGGACTCACTGAATGCGGCGGACTCACTGAATGCGGCGGGCTCACTGAATGCGGCGGGCTCACTGAATGCGGCGGGCTCACTGAATGCGGCGGACTCACTGAATGCGGCGGGCTCACTGAATGCGGCGGACTCACTGAATGCGGCGGACTCACTGAATGCGGCGGGCTCACTGAATGCTGGTGGGCGCGTAGTTGGTCTTGGCGGCATTAGCGGCCTTCCACCCGCCCGGCACCTCCCAGCCCGACCCTGAGCAGCAGCAATTTGGTTGGTCCCAGAAAAACACCTTCCCGCACATCACGCGACTCGCGCCGCTGCTGCCGTCCTTCACGCTCCACAGGATGCGCAGCGACCCGATGGCGCCCGCGTGCGACGCGGGCAGGTTCACGCATGTGCGGTTCGGGATGGCGCCGCGCAGCACAGCGGGCGGCGCGGGGGAGAAAGCGGCGGAGGAAAATAGCAGCACGCTCGTCGCCACCACCTGCCCGTCCACGGCTGGCGGGGGGCGCGGCGAAGGGGAAGGGGAAGGGGCATGGTGAGGGGGAGGGGAAGGGGAGTGAGCTGAATGCGGGAGATGGGGAGGGTAGGCGGCAGTGTTGGGGGGAAGAGCGAGAGGTGGAAGCTGAGAAGAATGGGGGTTTTGGGGGAGCAGCATCGGGAGCATGAGCCGTTGATCTCACCTGGCACACACGAACCGTTGATCTCACCTGTCACACACGAGCCGTTGATCAGCGCGAGATTCCCGTCGCACTTGCAGAAGGGGAAGCCATTGCCGTCCACGACGCACGCCGCGCCTTGCGGGCACTGCACGCCCTCGCACGCCACGGCGGCTGTGGCGGCGAGCGCGGACGGGCGGACGAAAGGGGAGCGGAGAGCGGAGGGGAAAGAGCGGAAGGGGAGGATGAGTAAGACGGGGATGAGCGGAAAATGTGGAGCGGGAGAAGGAAGAAAAATTGCGCTCCCCGCTAACGCGCAGCGAAAGGGTCGAAAGGCGCGGCGCACGTACGCTAACGCAAGGCCCGGTGGCTCACCCGACTGCTTGCCCGCGCCGCCGGTCTTAGGCGGCGGCTTCTTGGGCTTCTTGGACCCGCCGAACGGGTTCCAAAGCCGCCGGTGGAACGGACCGTGCGACACCAGCGGGCCCTTTAACCGTCGCCTGTGCGAACTTTCTACGACGATTGCGTCGCCGATTATTGTGCGATGGCCGTCTATGGCGATAGCGGCCGAAACGAGATGGTGGGAGAGGAGGACGGCATGAAGCAGGAAGACGAGGAGGAGGGGGAGGAGGGGGACGCGGGATGTTGTGAATGGCGTCGTCATGCGCGCGCGGAAGGCAGTGCGCGGAGTGGCGCAGTGCGCGAGGAGGCACCGTTTACGGGGAGGGGAAGTCGCAGGTAAGGCAACGAGGAGGGAAACCGCAGGAAGATCTCGTATCGGTGAGAACAGACTCGCTACCTTGGAACAGAGGTGATTTCGTCAAGAGAATGGTGATGATGAGCCAGAACTGATGTTGAGATAACGGATTTGGAAATTACGGATGTGCTTGTGCTTGAGTCACAGGACCAGAGCAGACAGCTGTGTTGGGTGGGTGGTTGGGTCTGCTTGGGGAGGGGAGAGGACGGAAGGAAAACATCAGCCTTGGCTCCACTCCGCTTGCCTGCGCCCAGGCAAAATCTATGGTTGCGGTTCGGGCATCGGGATTTGGGAAACGGGGAAACCTTCAACTGTACACTTCACTAACTACAGTGCACAAGTACAGTATGCTGGGCCACCTACCACCCACCAACGACAAAAGAGTTGCCCCCATCAACGAAAGCAGCTGTTTTGTTCGGGGTGGGGGGGGGGAGGGATCGCTGGTTACGTCGGTTACTGCACCAGGAAGTCGTGAAGGATTTGCCGTTTTGATTTGGCCGTCTTGATTGGCCAATCGTTATTGCCAAAAGTGGAATTTCGTTACATCAACCACTCTCACCCTTCGCCTTTCGTTCGCCGAGTCAATACGCCCTAAAGGGTGTCTCTCTCGGAGCACCTGGGCTGATTCTAAATACATGAATAGTTTATCATTCCACTCTAAAGTTCATTACTCCGCTCTAAATTAAATCCGTAACGCTTCTTCACAGAACCATAACTAGCCTTCGCGATCTCCGAATTGCCAGTTTAGCTTGTCGGCGTTGGTTGAGTTGGTAGCTTGTAGAAGCGAGGATGGAGGAGTCGGATGAGGGCCGCGATTCAGCGCGGCGTGCGCGCGGGGACGAGCGACGATCGCGGCACGGGCATGACCGTCACCACCACCGCCACCATCACCACCATCACCACCATCACCATCAGTCCCCCGCGCACTCCGCGGGAAGCGGATCGAGCGGCGATGAGCGCGATAGGGGGAGGGAGGAGCACGGGAAAGGGCGCGAAGGGCGGGGCGAGGGGAGGCGGAGGCGGGATGAGGGGAAGGAACGGGAGAGGGAGTGGGGCAGATCGGCGGAAAAGGATGGAGACAGGTTCGGGCCGAAGGATAGGGATAGGTCCGGAAGCGATCGCGAGAGAAGGAAGGATCGGGAACATGACGGGGAGAAAGATGATCGCAGGGAGAGAGGAAAGGACAGGGATCGAGACAGAGACAGAGACAGGGATAGGGATAGAGATAGGGATAGGGATAGGGATAGAGATAGGGAGAAAGATAGGGATCGACATAGGGATAGGGATAGGGATAAGGATAGGGATAAGGATAGGGACAGAGATAGGGGTCGCAAAGAGAGGGAGCGTGAGAAGGAGGGGGAGAAGGAGCGGGATGGAGAGAGGCACAGGGAGAGGGACCGAGAGCGTGACAGGGAGAAAGGGAAGAGCAAGGACCGTCACAGGGATAAGGAGAGGGGCAGAGAGAAAGACCGGGAGCGGGAGGAGCGGGAGCGGGAGGAACGGGAAAGGGAGGAGCGGGAGCGGGAGGAGCGGGAGCGCGAGCGGGAGAGGCGGAGCGCGCGGCTGGAGTCGCTGAAAGCGCTGACGGGCGGCAAGGGCGAGCGCAGCGACAGGCGCCGCGAGAGGGCGGGCGCGCGGGTGCTTAGGGAGGGTGCGGGCGCGGCGGAGGGCGCGCAGGGGCCCGCAGGTGGCGGGGAAGGGGGTCAAGGCGGCGAGGGGGGCGGGATGGGAGGAGGGGAGGGGTCCGTGATTAAGGGGGATGGGTTGGGGGCTAAGACAGGGGATGGGGTGGGCAGTAAGGGAGGGGAGGAGGCGGGTGGCGAGGCTCAGGAGGCTGGGCTGCGCAAGCTGAGGCTGAAGCTGTCAGGTGCTTCTTCAGGTTGGTCTCAGGTGCTTCTTCAGGTGAGTCTCGGGTGGAGAGGAAGGAGAGAGAATGTGAGAAGTGTCTAGGCTGGTACTTCGTCTTGTGGTGCCGCTCTTCACCACTTCCCCCCCGCCCCTCCCCTTCCCCCCCGCCCCTCCCCTTCCCCCCTATTGCAGGCGCGCAAGTGCTGAAGGTGGCACGCTCACAGCCCAAGGGGAAAGGGGCGGGGGCCGGGGAGGGGCAGCGGGGGGAGGGGGGACAGGGGGAGCGGAGAGCGGATTGGGGGAGAGAAAGAGGAGACATCGACTCATTCTGCAGGTGGGAGGGGGATGGGGGCATGGGATGTATGGGGTGTATGGGATGTATGGGGTGTATGGGGTGTATGGGGTGTATGGGGTGTATGGGGCGTATGGGGTGTATGGGGTGTATGGGGTGTATGGGGTGTATGGGGTGTATGGGGTGTATGGGGTGTATGGGGTGTATGGGGTGTATGGGGTGTATGGGGTGTATGGGGTGTATGGGGTGTATGGGGGCATGGGGTGCATGGGTTGTGGGGTTTATGGGGGGCATGGTTATGAGTCGACTCAAAAGTAATCTCTTGTTCCTCTCCTCCCGTCTCTCCCACTCGGCCCTGCTTCTTCCCAATTTTGTGCTGGTACCATACAGGATAACTCAGATGAAGAGGAGGAGGAGGACGCTGGTGCTGGTGCTGGTGGTGGTGCAGGTCCTGCTAGGCAGAGAGCGAGGGAGGAGGAGCAGGAGAGAGGGCGGGTTGCGGGTGAGAATGAGGGAAGCAAAGCAGTGGGGGAGGTGGGGGAGGAGGAAGAGAGGGAGAATGACGAGGAGGGGGAAGAGGAGGAGGAGGTGGAGGAGGAGGGTGAGGGGGGCAATGGAAGGTCCAAGAGAAAGAGGCGGAGAATATTGGATCTAAAGGAGGAGGAGAGGAAGGAGGGTGACGAGGGGGGGGGAGAGGAGGGCGGAGGTGAGGAGGAGGGGGTGGAGGTGGTAGAGGATGGGACTGAGGGGGAGGAGGGGAGAGGGGAGGAAGGACTTGAGACAAGAGAAGGAGAGGAGGAAGAGGAGGAAGCAGGGGTGGAAGGGGGTGGGGAAGATGAGGAGGAAGAGGAGGATGAGGAGGATGGGAAGAGTGTGGGGGGAGTAGAGGAGGGCGAGGGGAGGAGGGGGAGGGGGAGGAGGGGGAGGGGGACGTGGTGTATGAGAGTGGGGGTTCGCAGCAGGGGGAGGCGTCAGCAGCGGCAACAGTGGGCAAGGAGAGTCCCAGAGATGCTGCAGCTCACCATGACTTCGCCTTGGACCCCTTACAAGGTGACTCGTTACAAGGTGACTCGTTACAAGGTGACTCGTTACAAGGTGACTCGTTACAAGGTGACTCGTTACAAGGAGACTCCTTACAAGGTGACTCGTTACAAGGTGACTCGTTACAAGGTGACTCGTTACAAGGTGACTCGTTACAAGGTGACTCGTTACAAGGTGACTCGTTACAAGGTGACTCGTTACAAGGTGACTCGTTACAAGGAGACTCCTTACAAGGTGACTCGTTACAAGGTGACTCGTTACAAGGTGACTCGTTACAAGGTGACTCGTTACAAGGTGACTCGTTACAAGGTGACTCGTTACAAGGTGACTCGTTACAAGGCGACTCGTTACAAGGCGACTCGTTACAAGGTGACTCGTTACAAGGTGACTCGTTACAAGGTGACTCGTTGCAAGGAGATCATACAAACAGTATGTGTGCGTTTTGTTTCTCTCTCTCTTCTCCATGTCGTCACCATCTGCTGAGACTCCCGGGTACCCTTTGCCCCACAAACTTCTCTCCTTCTCGCTCCTCCTCCCTCCCTCCCTCCCTCCCTCCCTCCTCCCCCGTCCCCCCCTCCACCCCCCCAGCCCCGCGTCGCAGCCGGCGCAGCATGAAGCTGCCGGCGCCGTCCTCGCCGTCCTCCGCTGCCGGCCACGCTGCGCGGGTGGCAGCGGAGGTGGAGGCGGCGCGGCAGCTGAAGCGCGAGGAGGCCGCGCGGCGCCGCAAGCAGCAGTCGGAGCGCGCGGCACGCGCCGTCCAGGAGAACGCGATCCAGAAGATTCTCGGGCAGGACGGGTCGAGGAAGCGGCGGGAGCAGAAGATTCAGAAGAAACGACAGGAGGAGGCCGAGGTGTGTTGGGGCGAGAGGGGGGTCGGGGAGGCATGTTGTGGGTGAGGATGTTAATCAGATTATCAGACATTAAGGCAATGTGGAAAATCAGGGTGTGAGGGGGAAAGTATGGGTTTATTCTTGTCGCTTGGCAAGAATCTGCTGCTGCCTGCCTGCTTGAGTGCTTGTCTGCCTGTCTCCACGCCTGCTCCTCTCCCCACACGTGCAGGAGCGCCTGGCAGCCAGTCAGGTGCCGCCACCTGGCTTCGTGCGAATGCGCTTCACAGCAGATGGTGTGACAGTGGCATGGTCGCCCGACTGCCAGCAACCCGCCATGTTCCGCCCCCAGCCGCCGCTGCCCATGTGAGTTGGTGCTTCTTTGCTTTCTTCACTCGCAGCAGATGGTGTGACGGTGGCATGGTCATCAGACTGCCAGCAACCCGCCATGTTCCGCCCCCAGCCACCGCTGCCCATGTGAGTTCATGCTTCTCTGCTTTCTTCACTCGCAGCAGACGGTGTGATGGTGCTGCTTTCATCTACCTTCTCTGCTTCCTTCATCTCCGTTCATCCCCCCAGTGGCCCTCGCTGCCCCTCATTCGCCTCCATTCAACCACCCTTTACTGCTGTCTCCCCCCACCAGACACCCTCACCCTCCTTAAACCTTCTGGTACCATCCATCCCCGAATTCCAACCCCCAACCCAAACACTTTACTTCCCCCTCCTCTTCCCCCACACCCCAGCCCGCCCCCACGCCCCCTGTGTGCAGCGCCGGGGTGCCACAATCCCTTCCGCTATCGCGACTCCAAGACCCGCCTGCCGCTCTGCTCCCTGCACTGCTACAAGACAATACACGCCCCCCTGCCCGCTGCTGCTGCTACCTATTAGTATTAGGTAGTGTTATTAGGTAGTGTTATTAGGTTGCTGTTATCAAGACCCGCCTGCCGCTCTGCTCCCTGCACTGCTACAAGACAATCCATGCTGCCCTGCCCGCTGCTGCTACCTATTAGTATTAGGTAGGTGTTATAAGGTAGTGTTATTAGGTAGTGTTATTAGGTTGCTGTTATCAAGACCCGCCTGCCGCTCTGCTCCCTGCACTGCTACAAGACAATCCATGCTGCCCTGCCCGCTGCTGCTACCTATTAGTATTAGGTAGGTGTTATTAGGTAGTGTTATTAGGTAGTGTTATTAGGGCGTGTAAGATCCCCGTGCACACGTTTTGGCTGAATTTTGTCGACCATTTTGGTCGACAAAGCTTTCGCGAAGGTCGACGGATGAGTCGTCACCAGGCCGACAAATTTTCGGCCACCTCAATATGGCCTCCAAATATGACACGGATTTGCTGGCCGAAATAACAGAGGTGGAAGATTTCGGTTTGTCTTTTTTTCCGACTTGGTGCGACGACGTCGCATACATGTATGCGACGTCGCAATTTCACTGTAGCAGCGTATGCGACTTCGTTTTTACTGTGGCCAGCTGTTGTCGACAGCATGGCCGATTTGAAGTCGACCACGCGTCGGAAAAGAGTCGACTGGGTTTTTCGGCCATCAAATCACAATTTTGATGGCCGAAATCGACGAGATTCGCAAACCAATCACGAAATGGTTACTTTCGCTACGGCCACCTAATTTTGATGGCCGATTCTGTGTGCACGGGGATCTTACACGCCCTTAGGTAGTGTTATTAGGTTGCTGTTATCAAGACCCGCCTGCCGCTCTGCTCCCTGCACTGCTACAAGACAATACACGCCGCTCTGCCCGCTGCTGCTGCTGCCGCCCCAGTCGCCGGGGCTTAGTGTGTATAGGTAGCTGCTTTTTAGCTATTATTAGGCTGGCGTTATTACCATAGGTTGGTGTTATCGAGTGTTGGTTGGGCACATATGTCAGAATGTGATGGTTGGCTAGCCTGCAGTGGGGTACTCTATAGCGAGTACAACCCGAATTAGGGTTTCCTATATGTACTCAACTGCTTGCTAGTGAAATTCCTCTTTGCGTGTTTCTCGTTTTCGCCTGCTATCTTGACATGCTATCAGAGCAGGTCGACCCTCCTGGGTCGATCCTGTGGGTGGTCCCGCCCGATGCTTCCGCTGCTGTCTTGTGTGTCGCGCGCCCCGTGGCGCGCGACGGATTTTTCTTCCCGCCATGGGGCGCGCGACGGTTTTTCTTCCCGCCACGCGCACGAATCGCGCGGCGGTTTTCTGCCCGCCGTGCGCCCCGAGGCGCGCGGCGGTTTCCTACCCCGTCGACCCGCGCGTCGCCCCCCGTCGCCCGTCGAAGCGCCCCCCGTCGCCCGTCGAAGCGCCCCTGGGCCCCGCGCGGGCCGCGCGCGGCCCGTGCGACCTGCGCCAGGCCCGCGCGCGGCCCGTACGGGCTGCGCCAGGCCCGCGCGCGGCCCGTACGGGCTGCGCCAGGCCCGCGCGCGGCCCGTACAGCCTGCGCGCGGCCCGTACGGCCCGCGCCAGGCCCGCGCGTGGCCCGTACGGGCTGCGCCAGGCCCGCGCGCGGCCCGTACGGGCTGCGCTAGGTCCGCGCGCGGCCCGGGCGGCCCGCGCGCGGTTCGTTCGGCCTGCGCACACCGTCCCCCGAGCTGCTGACCGCGCCCCACCCCTGCTGCTGCCCGCGCTCCTGTTTTAGGGTTTGGGGGTGGAGAGTATGGGGGTGCCGTGTGTGTGAGCCGTCCCCTGCTCCTCCTCCTCCTCCTCCTCCGTCTCCCACTGCTGCAGCTACCGCTGAGGGGGGTGGATGTGTTGGAGCCGTCGGAGTGGTACGAGGGGGGTGGCGTGTGAGCGGTGCTAGTGGTTCAACAGGGAGTGTGTGAACGGGGTGTGGGACAGTTGGGGGAGGTTGACCGGAGGTAGCCGACTAGTCGTCCGCAGCGCCTGAAGTCCAGGGAGCCACGACCCCCTGTGGCCTGAGTAGTCCGGGGCTCTGCGCCCGGTAGCCACAGTGTGAGCACTCCTGGTAGTCCAGAGAGCCACGACCCCCTGTGGCCTGAGTAATCCCGGGCTCTGCGCCTGGTAGCTACAGTGTGAGCACTCCTGGGAGCACAGCGAGCCAGCTGCGCCTGTCGCCGTGTAGTCCGGGTTTAGCCTGGTAGCGACAGTACTACGCACTCCTGCTGCCCGTGTGTCTGCAGCTTCAGCCGTCGCCTCCCATCTTCTCGCCCCCACAGTTTCTCCTCCTCCTCACTTGCTCTCTGTGCTAGCCGCTAGCTTTGCTTATAATTGTGAACTACTGCTCTGCCTGCTTGTTGTATTGATTGTACCCCACTTTGACTATGGGGGTGTGTCAGAATGTGATGGTTGGCTAGCCTGCAGTGGGGTACTCTATAGCGAGTACAACCCGAATTAGGGTTTCTTATATATACTCAACTGCTTGCTAGTGAAATTCCTCTTTGCGTGTTTCTCGTTTTCGCCTGCTATCTTGACAACATATACTGGCCAATTGTATAGCTGGAGAACCACAGGGAATTGTACAGTACTGTGCTTCTGTCCCGGTTGGTTCTGGGATTTCTCAAGAGGTAGGATCCTTGCTGTGGCTGCTTGGCATCTAACGTGTTGTGCTGTTAGTAGTACTAGTACTATTTTGATGTACATGATTCAGGCACAGAGACTCATGCCTTGCACAGTAACGCGAATAGTTGTACTTCAGACTTGGATGTACATACAAATCAGGCACAGAGACTCATGCCTTGCACAGTAACGCGAATAGTTGTACTTCAGACTTGGATGTACATACAAATCAGGCACAGAGACTCATGCCTTGCACAGTAACGCGAATAGTTGTACTTCAGACTTGTACATACAAATCAGGCACAGAGACTCATGCCTTGCACAGTAACGCGAATAGTTGTACTTCAGACTTGGATGTACATACAAATCAGGCACAGAGACTCATGCCTTGCACAGTAACGCGAATAGTTGTACTTCAGACTTGGATGTACATACAAATCAGGCACAGAGACTCATGCCTTGCACAGTAACGCGAATAGTTGTACTTCAGACTTGGATGTACATACAAATCAGGCACAGAGACTCATGCCTTGCACAGTAACGCGAATAGTTGTACTTCAGACTTGGATGTACATACAAATCAGGCACAGAGACTCATGCCTTGCACAGTAACGCGAATAGTTGTACTTCAGACTTGGATGTACATACAAATCAGGCACAGAGACTCATGCCTTGCACAGTAACGCGAATAGTTGTACTTCAGACTTGTACATACAAATCAGGCACAGAGACTCATGCCTTGCACAGTAACGCGAATAGTTGTACTTCAGACTTGTACATACAAATCAGGCACAGAGACTCATGCCTTGCACAGTAACGCGAATAGTTGTACTTCAGACTTGGATGTACATACAAATCAGGCACAGAGACTCATGCCTTGCACAGTAACGCGAATAGTTGTACTTCAGACTTGGATGTACATACAAATCAGGCACAGAGACTCATGCCTTGCACAGTAACGCGAATAGTTGTACTTCAGACTTGGATGTACATACAAATCAGGCACAGAGACTCATGCCTTGCACAGTAACGCGAATAGTTGTACTTCAGACTTGGATGTACATACAAATCAGGCACAGAGACTCATGCCTTGCACAGTAACGCGAATAGTTGTACTTCAGACTTGTACATACAAATCAGGCACAGAGACTCATGCCTTGCACAGTAATGCGAATAGTTGTACTTCAGACTTGGATGTACATACAAATCAGGCACAGAGACTCATGCCTTGCACAGTAACGCGAATAGTTGTACTTCAGACTTGTACATACAAATCAGGCACAGAGACTCATGCCTTGCACAGTAACGCGAATAGTTGTACTTCAGACTTGGATGTACATACAAATCAGGCACAGAGACTCATGCCTTGCACAGTAACGCGAATAGTTGTACTTCAGACTTGGATGTACATACAAATCAGGCACAGAGACTCATGCCTTGCACAGTAACGCGAATAGTTGTACTTCAGACTTGGATGTACATACAAATCAGGCACAGAGACTCATGCCTTGCACAGTACCACCAGGACTACTGAACGCTACCTCTACACTGCCCCAAGCATCTGAATTCAACCTTAGTGGTTGTTGCCAATAGTAATTAGGGTATATCCTGTTCCATGTGCCCTGAGCAGCAGGCGGTTGGGTGGGGGAAAGCACGGGTTGCTTGCAGGACCCTCACACCCTCGTCCGCAAGCTGAAACGTTTAGTTTTTTCGAAAGACATTCCTTCCTTCTGCTCATTCCTCCGTTCGTTTCCCCATGATTCCTCCGTCACCATCCCAAGCTCCACTGCTGCGCATGTTGCTCGCTCTGCCTCCCCCTCATTCCTCAGTGCCCGCCTCACACACACTCGACCACTGAATGATTTCTGTGCTCAACATCCCCCCCCCCCCCACCTCATTCCTTTCTGTTACTATCACAGTTTCGCCTCCACTGCTATGGGCCTCGCTTGCTCTGCCTCCTCACCCTCATTCCTTCCTCATGAACGTTGACCTCAACGGTCATTCCTCACTCCCCCCACCTCATTCCTCCGTCACTATCACAGTTTCACCTCCACTGCTACAGGACTTGCTCTGCCTCCTCCCCCCTTTGCTTCCAACTCCCCTCCCTGCGCGCTTCCCTCCTCCTTTCCTCCCACTCTTTCCTTCTCTCCTCTTCCCACTCTTCCTCCCTCTCCTCCCACCCTTCCCCTTCTTCCTCCTCCCTACCTTCCCCCCTCCTCCATGCGACCTCCCCCCCACCTGCTCCTCCTCACTCGTCCGTGCCAGCCCGCCTCGTCCCTTGCCTCTCACACCCCTCACACCGGGCCACAGCGCTCCTCTCCGCCCTCCCGCTGCCTTCCCTGCCCCTGCCCCCACTCCAGGCGCCTTCCCTGCCCCTGCCCCTACTCCAGGTCCCTTCCCAATGCCTGTACCAGGCCGTTTCACGGTGCTCTTTCCTGCCCTCTGCTGCTGCTGCCCCTTCCCAGCTGCTCCTCCCCCCCCCTTCCCTCCGCCCTCGCTTCCCCCCGTCCCCATCTGATCAGCGCCCCTCTTCGAGGGAAGCTTCCCCGCGCCTGCACTGCCTGCTTGCACGCCAGGGACCTTCGGTGGGCGGGGGATGGGCCTCCCCCCCGCCCGCCCCCCTTTGTTCCCCTTTTGACCCGCCCACGCACCACCTTTCCCCACACCACCTGGCCAGGCGCCTGCACCACCTGCCCCCGCGCCTGCACCACCTGCACCCGCTTCCCCCCCACCACTTTGCCCTGCGCCCACACCACCAGCCCCCGTGCCATTCCCCCCTCGCTTCACCCCACCACTCCCCACCAACCCACCCGGCACCCCAGCACCACCACCCCTCCCATGGAAAAACCACTCCTCCACCACCCTTGGCAGCTGCCTTCCCAACACGTCCACCTTGCCCACCCAGTCTCCATACACCGCGGAGCAGTGCGACGTAGAGTTCATGAGAAACGACTCAAACCACACGCCCTGCCGCCGCTTCGCGTGCTGGATTGCTAGCACAGTGCGGGCCAGCCGGCTCTGGTAGAGGTGCAGTGCGGTGCGGTAGGGTGCGGGGCAGAGCGGGCTGTTGTCGATGCACTTTTGGATGCGCACTGTGCCGTTGATGAGCGGCGGTGCAAAGGTCATCTTGACTGCGATCTCGTCCTGCAGGCTGTTCACGACCATCAGTGGCGTGCGGAGGAAGGGGAGGTTGTACTGGGGAAGGAGGCATTTCCAGGGTTGTTGCGCGTGTGCTGTGTGTGAAGAAAGGGGAGAGAGAGGGGAAATAAGGGAGGGAGGGGCGAAGGTCATCTTGACTGCGATCTCGTCCTGCAGGCTGTTGACCACGAGCAGGTGCGTGCGGAGGAAGGGCAGGTTGTACTGCGGGAGCAGGCACTTCCAGGGCTGCTGCGCGTGCGCTGAAGGGGGAAAAAAGAGGGGAGGAATGAGGGAAGATGGGGAGGGAGGAGAAGGGGAGGAGGGGAGGAGGGGAGGAGGGGAGGAGGGGAGGAGGGGAGGAGGGGAGGAGGGGAGGAGGGGAGGAGGGGAGGAGGGGAGGAGGGGAGGAGGGGAGGAGGGGAGGAGGGGAGGAGGGGAGGAGGGGAGGAGGGGAGGAGGGGAGGAGGGGAGGAGGGGAGGAGGGGAGGAGGGGAGGAGGGGAGGAGGGGAGGAGGGGAGGAGGGGAGGAGGGGAGGAGGGGAGGAGGGGAGGAGGGGAGGAGGGGAGGAGGGGAGGAGCCATGAGGGTGGGAGAGAAGAGCGGGAGGAGGAGGAGTGCGGGGTAAGGCAAGGTCATCTTGACGGCAATCTAGTCAAATAGTCAAGCAGTTGACCACGAGCAAAAGCGTGCGTAGGAAGGGCAGGTAGTACTGGGGGAGGAGGCACTTCCAGGGCTGCTGCGCGTGCGCGGCGTGTGGATGGACGGGGATTGGGGAAAGCGGGGGAGAGGAGAAGGCGTGCTCGAAGTTAGGCAGGTGTAGGGGGATGGAAGGGCACGTGAGGGGGGCGATGGTGGGTCACGGGGAGGCGAGGGGCGAATGCCGTGCGCCATGCGTAATGACCTTTGAATAGACTTGAAGATGGGTGGCACGCTCAAGCACACACACCCACACGCGCACGCGCACCTTGGTGGCAGGCGGGCGGGGTGCCCTGTCCCATGCGGTGGAACTTGAACAGCCAGCCGCTCCACACTCTGCCATGCCAACACGCACACTGACCTACGCAGGGGGTATGGGAGTGGTGCCCGCAAGCACACTGACCTTGGCGGCACGCAGGGGGGGTGCCCTGCCCCATGCGGTGGAACTTGAACAGCCGCTCTACGCTCTGCCGCCACGTCAGCCGCCCCTGGATGTCCGGCGTGTCTGTTGTGTGGGGATGGTGGGGGTGGATGGGGAATAAAGCCTGGGGGATGGTGGATGGGGAATGGGTATAGCGGGTGGGGCATGGTCCATGGGGTATGGGCACCAGGCAAGAGCCCCGAGGGGGGGAGGGGGACACACGCAAAGCAGACACACGGAGCACACACGGAGCAAAGCACACGCAGAGCAAAGCACACGCAGAGCAAAGCACACGCAGAGCAAAGCACACGCAGAGCAAAGCACACGCAGAGCAAAGCACACGCAGAGCAAAGCACACGCAGAGCAAAGCAGCGCGTACCGAGGAAGAACCCCGCGTCCATGAGGCACTTGACGTTGGCGGACGGGAACGCGCGCGCCATGGCGTCGCACGTCATCGCCACGGCCTGCGCGCCCGCGGAGCATCCGCTGAACAGCACGTTGCGCGCCGAACCTAGCCCGCGCAACCGCAAGTCTGCGCGCGGGCACGGCGATGGCGGGCGGGTGGAGGGGGGAAGGGGAGGGGGAAAGTGCTCAGCAAACCGCGAAGCTGGGAAAGAGGGAAGGCGCGTGCAAGAGCGAGAAACGCGCGTACCGCGAATGGGGCGTACCACGAGCGGCGCGTACCGTGAATGACGCTGGCGAGCGAGGCGTGGCCTTCGAGGAAGAACGGGCTCGTCATGTTGGCGGTGTACGCGCCGCGCGAGCCGGCCGTAGAGCCCGCCGTCGCAGTAGACGACGAGCACGGCGTTCCAGTCGTTGAAGGTCGGATTCTCGCGCCCCCTGCGACTCAGAATGCCCGCGAATCCCGCTCCGAACTCGTTCATCTGCGCACACACGCACACACACACCGCGCCGTCGCCGCCGCGCACGCACACGGCGTTATTCGAAATCAGGTCCCTCACGAGTTCGCTCGATTGCTATCATGACCATATCGGGGCTCACTATAACGAAAGCGGCGACAATGCGTTGATGCCCCTCACGGCATCACATCATAGGGGTGTATCTGTATCGGGGCTTACTTTAGCGAAGAAGCTTTTGGAGCCGGGTTCGGGCCAGGGGCGCGTGGAGCCGAGGCTGGTCTGCGCGCGCACCATGCACTGGCTGCGCGACGTGCACCAGCTCCCGCCCTGGCGGGGAGGCAGGGGGGGAAGGCGAAGGAATGACTTTTGAGTCGACTTTCAAGCCGGGGCGCGTGGAACGGGGTTGGTCTGCGCGCGCACCATGCACTGGCTGCGCGACGTGCACCAGCTTCCGCTCTGGCGGGACAAAGTGGGGAAAGGTGAGGGATGCGAGGCGGGGCGAATAAATGCGAGGAGTGGCGAAGTAATGAGGTTAGTGACGAAACAATGTATGGACGGATGGAATGCGGCGTACGCGCAGAATGCAGCGATAGGAGGCCAGGCTATTCTCGCGCGGCGCCTCAAACGTTCAAGGTGGCGGCAAGCGAGGAGTTACAAGGTGGGCTCATGGAAAGCGGCGCGAGGCAAGGAGACGAAACAGCACGGAAATGAAGCTCGCAAAAGCATATACAGATGAATGGAATAGTAACGAAAAGAGGTGGCGATGCGATAAGTTCAGCAGAGCACGGTTCTGAGTTTGACATGACGTCAGCATACCATGAGGTGAACGACCCAGTTCTGCGCGCCGCGCTTGTTGCCCGTGCGGATGTAGTACCCCGGCTCGCTGCGCGCATGCGTTCCGTTTTTAACGGAAGGGGGGAAATGATTAGAGGGAGTGGGGGTTAGCGGGAGAGGATGATGGCTGATGCGACCATGTGGCTGAAGCACCGCTAGCTGCCCCAGCGGCCCTTTGACGGTGCCGTTGTTTCTATTCGGATGATTGAATTTGAACTCTGCCGGGTCGCTGCCCTTAGAAACGAAATGAAAAGACCGTACCTTCCGTCTAAGCATTTCCCGTGGTATATGTTGGTCTGGTTCAGTCGGACGAATTGCATTCCGCGCTGCGCACCGGATACATCAAGAGCGGCGCACGACGGCGTTTCGCGGCACAAAATAATTATGATCGCCAGTACCACCAATGCCATCCACAGCGCCTTCCGCCGCTCCATGCGTGAACTCTAAACCAAAGAAACCCGCGAACATTCGTTACTCCACCGAGCTACGCGGGACCATGGCCGCAAGGGACGATATTTCTACGAGACACCCAGGGAGACGTAGACGCTGGCCGCCTCTAAAGAAACGTTATTTCGCAGCTGAATGCTAGCTCGTTGGTGTTATGAAGCAAGGAACAGCCGTCTGCAGAGACCTAGCAGGTAGAATGTTAGTAGAGAAGTGTGTGGAAAAGCGTGTTGAAGATGTGAGTTGGAAGGCAAAAGGACATCATTTTGCCAGTACAATACCAAATCCTCGGATAGACCAAAGGCAAAAGACACAGCCAGCGTCGGACAACTTTTATCGTGTCGCCCTTGACGGAGCCGAGATTGTCGAATGCGCTTCGCAATTGAGGGAACGACCGACGCGGGCGAAATGGACATTGCCGAACCGAACTCCTTCGGCTTGCGTTCTGCCCTTGTCTGGGCCCTGGGAGACCAAGACGACAGGCTCGGAAAAGGCGAAGCTTGGTTGCTGCCCTGCCAGTCCCTCCTGCCACAGCAAACAAGCCAGGCCAAGGCGGCACGGCAAAAGGTTGCTGTGAAAGGCGGGAAAGGGCTTTCCCCCCCACAAGTAGTGCAGTCGCTCATATTAATATATTGTAACAAATTCGTATACTAGACTTGCAATAGCAAGCATTGTGTAAGGAAAAACCCTTTTCCTTACTGGGGTTTACTCAACCGCGTACAACCCCAACTTTCGGAAGTGCACGTTCGGCCGCTTTGCTTGCTGCCGAAGCAACCTCGCGTCGCCTTCGGCTTTCCTTTGCCCAACCTGCACTCAACCTCGTGTTCCCGAGGTTCCCGCCTAGTTAGGTTGCCTCGCTATATAATCGCATGTCTTTCATTGTATCGTAAAATCCATTGAGTCACAGCCTCGTTATTCGTTATTCCGCGCAACTCTGTTTGACAACTCATAACACCTGGTATCAGAGCTACTTTCCTAGTTCACCCCGCTTTTCCAGGGTAGTTTAGAGGCACGGGTGTGATTGGTACGGTGGGCTGCAAAGCGGTTGGTTGCAAAGTTTATTAAATTAAACTTGCCCGACCCCGATAGCTTTTGCGCTTGCACTGTTGCCGGATAGTCACGGATACCCACTTGCCTACTAGACGTAGCTTGCGACTCATGGATCAGGCGGCATTTGACGCGTTGATGCAGCAAGTGGCGGAGATGTCGGCAGGCATGAAGGCGTTAACGACAGAGGTGGAGAGACTACGTGAAGAAAACAACGAGCTACGCCAGGCGCGAGGTGAAGCGCGCCAGGAGTCGCCCGCTGAAGAAGGCGAGAGCACTGGTCAAGCGGTGAGCGGCAATCCGTTGGAGGAGCTCACACGCGGCTTCGAAGAAGAAGATAGGCAGCGAGCGGCGGCAGCGACAACAGTTGCAGTGACAACAATCAAGATAAAGCCTACGAGCCCGCCCCCGTTCAACCCTACCGACAAGAACACTACTGTTAAGGGGTGGTTGTTCGGCGTGGAGGTGTTCTTCACTGCAGCGAACGTCAACGACGACGCCACGCGTATTAATTACGCGGTATCGCTTCTGCGAGGCCCGGCGCTTGAGTGGTGGCGACGAACCTTGGACACGGGGACCCCGACAGGTGTGACACATGCGGCAGACGGGACTTCGGACTCTGCTATTGGGAGGGCATCATCGATATTCGGTGTGGCCACAATTCGCACGTGGAAGCAGTGGGGCGCAGCCTTACGAGAGCGTTTCGAGCATGTATCCGCCTCGGAACACGCTCGCATGAAGCTGCGTACCTGGTCACAGTTGGCTTCTGTTCAAGACTACACAGCGTCGTTTATGGCGCTCGCGGATCAAGTGGACGACATGGCGGAAGCTGAACGGTTGGATAAATACATCAGCGGCTTGAAGTATGAGATACAGTACGAGGTGCGCCGCAGCCGTCCAGCAACATTCAACGAAGCCGTCCGATTGGCCGAGAGAACAAACGCGCTGATGCAGTGGGCGAGATCGAGTTCTCGGGAGGGAAACCGATTTCGTGGACAGACCCAGCGGGCCACGATTAACGGAGTCCATGCGCCAGACCGCCCTTTTACAGGGTTGTGTTTTAAGTGCGGGAAGCCGGGCCACATGTATAAAGACTGCCCCGACAGGACGCAGGGAAAGAAGAACGACGGGAAGGAGCCGGGAAATGGGAAGAGTCAGTAACAGACGGGCCCCTTACTGACTGCGCTCTGTCGCCCGAACCCCACCATCCCCACCGAGTCGTGGTTCCGATTCATGCAATCGATCGCACTCGGACGAATAACGGGGGTGAACATGTGGATCACCCTGTGCTGGTTGTTGGCACGGTTGTTAAGAAAAAAATAAAAATGTTCGTCGATGGCGGGGCTAGCCATAGCCTCTTCAATCTGGCGACAGCAAAAAAATGCAAGTTGCAGCTGGACAGGTGTCTGCCCGAAATTGACGCCCGCCTCGTGGATGGGACGCCTCTGGCGATTTTGGAAGAAACACGGACGGTGCGGATTGAGTGCGGCGACGATTTCGGCTTCAGCATGAAGTTTCTCGCGACGACGTTGGACGGATGCGACGTGCTCCTGGGACGCGATTGGCTGCGACGGCACAACCCGGTAATCGATTGGACGACGGGATCGTGCAGCATCAGCAAGGACGGGAAGCTGATTACTCTGCCCGCGTGGACTCCGGACTGCATCGAGTCTACATGCGTCAAAGCCATCACGATTACACGCCACGTCAACAGGGGTGCGCAACTGTTCGCCGTATGCTTGCGCGAGTTGGCAGCCGACACTGACGGAAACGACATCGAGAAGCTGTGCGCAGCTGTACCACCTGATTTAGCGGAGCTGATTCGACAGTACCCCGACATTTTCCCGGACGATTTGCCACCTGGCCTACCACCCGAGAGACCCGAAGACCACAAAATCCAGCTGGAACCTGGCGCGCATCCGACTGTTCGTACACAGTGGCGGTTGACTCAGCCCGAACTCGCGGAGCTTCGAAGTCAACTTGAGTCACTGTTGGAGAAGGGCTTCATCCGACCCAGTACTTCGCCCTTCGCCGCACCGATCCTGTTCACACCGAAGAAGGACGGCGGCATTCGCATGTGCATCGACTATCGCGCACTCAATCGGGTTACCATCAAGTCTCGCTATCCCATCCCACGCACCGACGACCTCCTCGACCAACTTCGCGGCGCTCGCTACTTCTCAAAGATTGACCTACGCGGCGGTTACCACCAAATCAGAGTATTCGCTGACGATTGTCACAAGACCGCCTTCCGAACCCGCTACGGCAGTTACGAGTTCACCGTGATGCCTTTCGGCCTCACGAATGCGCCATCAACATTTCAACGCACCATGAACAGGGTATTTCGCGACCTGCTAGACAAGTGTGTTATCGTCTACTTGGACGATATTCTGATTTTTAGCAGGACACGCGAGCAGCACCTCCGCGACCTCGACACAGTGTTTAAGCGGTTGCAGGAGAACCGCCTCATCACCAAAGGCTCTAAGTGCGAGTTCTTTAAGCAAGAGTTGGAGTTTTTGGGGCACGTCATCTCACGCGACGGCATCAAAATCGACCCGAAGAAAATCAAGACTATTCAGGAATGGAAGGCCCCGACTAATGTCACAGAACTTCAGAGTTTTCTGGGGTTTGTGAATTATGTCCGGCGGTTTATCCCGAATATGGCGGGGATAACCGGCCCGCTGACCGACCTGCTGCACAAGGATAGGAATTTCGTGTGGGGGGAAGAGGCTGAGGCGGCTTTTCAGGAGTTGAAGCAGTTACTGGTGTCCCCTCCGGTTCTTCGCATCGCCGACCCATCCAAGCCGTTCGAAGTCGTCACCGACGCTTCAGATTTCGCCATCGGCGCAGTGCTGCTCCAGGATTTTGGCAACGGCTTACAACCGATTGCCTATGAGTCACGCAAGTTGCAGGCAGCCGAGCGCAACTACCCGATTCACGACAAGGAGATGCTCGCCATCATTCACGCGTTTAAACTGTGGAGATGCTACCTGACTGGCGCCGACGTCACTGTTCGCACCGATCATAAATCCCTACAGTACCTTCGAGCGCAACCCAACCTCAACCCACGACAAATCCGGTGGCTCGATTACATGGAGTCACACTTCCACTACAGGATCACCTACAAGAAGGGCGCGAACAATATTGCCGACGCCCTGACCCGACCGACAGTCCAATCCGCTGCTGTGCTGATCACCCATTCGAACCCGCTTCTTTCGGGACTATTCACCCACGGCTACACTACGGACCCGTTCTTCACGACTGGAAATCACCAGCAGGCGACGACGCAGAAAGGGAATTATTACCTAAAGGCCGGAACTGACCGGATTTGGGTTCCCGCTTACCGGCTGCTGCGCGAACTCCTTATTCAGGAGGTCCATGATTCCAACCTCTTCGGGGTTGATAAAACCCAGAAGTTGTTGCACCGTCAGTATTATTGGCCTGATTCTGCTAACGACGTGCAGCGATATGTGTCCTCATGCAGGGTGTGCCAAGCCATGAAATCGACACGTCAGCGGCCAGCTGGGTTGCTGCAACCTCTCGAGCCACCCGAACGACCATGGCAACAGGTGACGATGGACTTCGTCACGGGGCTGCCAGCTGGGCCGTCCGGCAACGACGCTGTACTCGTCGTCGTCGATCGCCTCACAAAAATGGCGCATTTCGCACCTTGTCGCACGACAATCACCGCCGAAGAAACTGCACGCCTCTTCATCTCCACCGTTGTGCGACTACACGGCATCCCATCGGCGATCATCAGCGACCGGGACCCAAAGTTCACATCGAAATTTTGGAAGGAGACGTGGGCGCAGTACGGAACGAAGCTACAGTTCTCGTCGGCATACCACCCGCAAACCGACGGCCAGACCGAGCGGACCAATCAGACGATGGAGCAGCTGATCAGGACAAACTGCCCCGACCCCGCTCGCTGGGAACATTCGCTCGCCATGCTGGAATTCGCGTTCAACAACGCTCCGTCCAGCACGACTAATCACTCCCCGTTCTTCCTGAATTACGGGATGGACCCGGTGGTACCTACAACGACTACACTTGACAACCCGGTCCCGAGGTCACAAACATTTGTGACAAAACTCCAAGAAATTCGCGAGAAGGCTGCGGACGCAATTCGCAAGGCGAATACCACTTCCCGCAAATACACCGACCTTTTACGACGGGAACTCGTCTTGGCAGCTGGGCAACTAGTACTACTGGACACGAAGAACCTGCACCTGCCCGGCCCATCGAAGTTACGGCCACGATTCTGTGGGCCTTTCAGGATCCTCAAGATGGTGACACCTGTCACCGCGAAGCTGCTACTACCCGACGACTGGCGTATTCACGACGCCTTCCACGTCAGCTTATTACGCAAGTTCGTGCCTGCCACAACAGACATCGCGCGCCAGAACGCCGTCCCGACAGCTCGACCTGTCCCGGAACCGACACTCGACCCGTCCAAGATTTTGGCGCATCGTGTTCGGCTCGACGCTTCGGGACGCCACGTGGACTTTCTTATCCGTTGGACTGACCGCACCAGTGAGGACGACACATGGGTGCCATCCGCCTCACTTGAAACTTCCCCGCTTCTTGGTGATTACCTCGCCCGCAAGCGAGCTGTGGATGTTGACCACCTTTCTTAAGGGGGGGGGTAGTGTAAGGAAAAACCCTTTTTCCTTACTGGGGTTTACTCAACCGCGTACAACCCCAACTTTCGGAAGTGCACGTTCGGCCGCTTTGCTTGCTGCCGAAGCAACCTCGCGTCGCCTTCGGCTTTCCTTTGCCCAACCTGCACTCAACCTCGTGTTCCCGAGGTTCCCGCCTAGTTAGGTTGCCTCGCTATATAATCGCATGTCTTTCATTGTATCGTAAAATCCATTGAGTCACAGCCTCGTTATTCGTTATTCCGCGCAACTCTGTTTGACAACTCATAACACATTGCACCAGTCACCCACCCACCGTCCAACTAACGGCAGGTAGATTGGACAAGCTCACCAACAGCCAACTGCAGATTTGGCTCTCAGTCATGAGCTCTCCGCCATGCCTCCCGTCAAAACTAACATCTAAGGCAATGTCTTGCTTATCTGTATCAATTTCAGATTCAGAACACATTTTCGGGAACTGCTCATCAAGAGCTTCAGATCGACACCATTATTGTGTTCACACAGCGAACATTTGGTCGTAGACGCTGCTTTTTCAGTATCCCTTTTTTGAGTTCTATAACTGCATACAACGCTTAAGACACCCAAGATGGCATCAGGGAATAAAGACACGCGAACATCATCGTTCTAAGCATCTGTACAAGAAGTCAAATCAACGAAGCGTATTCAGATTATCGGCCTTCTTTTTCATGCAGCGTCAGTCAAAAGCAGAGACTTACAAGCGGAATCAGTCTACCTTTCTTCTGCAAAGAGCTTCTGGTTGTGTTTCTTTGAATTCGTCACGGCAGGGAATAATGAAGCATAACTCCAGATTTGAGTCAGGAGATGGATCAGAAGCAGCAGAGAACCTCGCATTGGAGGATCGTGAAGAATTACTTGCTTTTTCCATGGCTACCGAAGTAACTGAACAATAAATTTTCCCTGCTATTACCCTGGATTACCAGAAGTCAGCAATGATTACCGTCGAAGACACCGATTATTTTAAGGAAACATACGTGATGGACTCTAACGTTGAAAAGCGTCAAGAAGTTTTCATGCAACTCGATGAGATTAATCTATGGCGTCATGACCGGGTCACGCGCGAGCAAGCTGGAATCTCCTTGGTCACTACACAGAGGTTCAGAGCACGCACACCAGCAGCAGCACCACGCGTGATAGGATGTATCTGTCAGAATGAAGAATGGATGATGCATTGATGTTGGTTGGGGTACATATAGCTAACCCTAAGTTTTGTACCCCCTAAGACAAACCTCACTATAGGCTACAACATTTGACACACCCCCATAGCCTAAGTGAGGGGTGTCTAGCAGAACCAAACGAGTACGGTCACAAGACCAGTCCAAGAAACGAAGCTCAGGGTGGATCACAACGTCACCACACAGTCTGAGCACAAACAACAGTGGCCACAAGGCCAGTCCAAGAAGTAACAGAGGTATATAGAAAGCAAAGTAAACAGTACACTCAAGTCTAAGCAACACGAGAACCAGTGTCAACAAGGCCTAACTGCACACAGCACCTCTGGTGGTCACAAGGCGGAAGCGCCTTGGTGAAGATGTCTGCAGTGTTGGCCTCGGACTCCACAAACTCAAAGCGAGCCTGTCCACGCCTCTGCAACTCTCGCAGAAGAAAGTACCTGACGTGAATGTGCTTCACTCTGCTCTCCAGTCGTGGCTCTCGACAAAGGAGAATAGACGCCTTGTTGTCAGTGAACAAGGTCGGTGCAGAGCTCGGCCGCTCACCAAGGTCGGTGAGCAAGAAGGTCAACCAACGCAGCTCCTGTGCCGCCATGGCACCAGCGTAGATCTCAGCCTCAGCTGTAGAGGTCGAGACCGAAGAGGAGCGCGTGGACCGCCAGGAAACAGCTCCAGAACCCAGGCTGAAACAGTACCCCTGAGTAGACCTGTGAGTCTCAGCGTCGTCAGCGTAAGAGGAGTCACAGTGACCAGTAAGTACGACAGACTGCTGCCCTCCAAGAACTAGCCCCACGCCTGACGTCGTCGCTAGGTACTTCGCCACCCTCACAGCTGCTGTCCAGTGAACAGGACGGTGTCTCCCTGGCGCAACAAAGCGCGCAAGAACGCTGAGAGGGAAGGCGAGGTCCGGGCGAGTACAAGTCATCAGGTACATGAGGCAACCCACAAGCTCTGCGTAGGGACCACTAGGCTCGAACGGCTCGTCAGGAAAGGGTCCAGTGAGTCTGTGGTCAACAGCAAGAGGTGTGCGCTGTACTGTGGAGTGCTGAAGCCCGAACCGCTGAAGGACCTGCTGCACCATGTGGGACTGTGAAAGTGTAATGGTGCGAGCAGCTCTGTCCCTGGTGATCTGCAGGCCAAGGTAGTGGCGCAGCTCACCAAGATCAGTGCAGGTGTGTCTCTTCTGCAGTTCGGACTTCACGTGTGCCAAAGCAACCCTGTCAGGGGTGGCGAAAACAAGGTCGTCAACGTAGACCAGAACAAAGAAAGGTGTGGGGCCACGACGAACGAACAGCGACGGGTCAGCAGAAGACGGCTGGAACCCAAGGTCAGAGAGGGTAGAACGCAGGGTGTCGTGCCACTCACGAGGAGCCTGACGAAGACCGTAAACCGGTCGCCTCAGCCTCCACTGGGTCCCAGGAGGGAAAGAGCCAGTGAAGGCAGAGGGACGACGCAACCAGACCTCCTCGTGAAGACTGCCCTGAAGGAAAGCAGTAGAGAAGTCGAGAGAGTGTAACTCGTAGTCTCTCTGTGCTGCTACGTGTAGTAACACCCGAAGAGTGGTCATCTTCGGGGTGGGCGCGAAGGTCTGAAAGAAGTCAACTCCCTCGCGCTGACTGAAACCTCTAGCCACGTAGCGTGCCTTGAAGACCGGAGGAGATCCCGGTGGCCGCTTCACCCTGTAGATCCACATGCCGTCGACTACGTTCGCCCCCGGAGGGGGAACCTCATCGACGTAGGTGCCTGTGGATCTGTAGGAGGCCATCTCTGCGTCCATGGCAGCTCTCCACTGAGAGGCCCAAGGCCCTGACACTGCCTCAGCGTAAGTGCGAGGAGTCGGAATGTCAAGGGCGTCGGGGTCACCCTCAGGGGCAAGGAGCATGGCACAGAGATGAGGGGAAGCGGCCGCCAGGAACTCTAGCTCAAACTGCCTGTCCTCTAGGGCGTCACAGCCAAGGGCAGACACACCCCCGACGGCCAGAGGACTGGAAGGAGGAGCAGCCACAAGAGCGGTGGCGAAGTCAAGGCGGCGGGTAGAGGCAAACTCAGTGACTGCGGCAGTAAGAGCGGACACAGAGGCACGAGGGTGAGTAACAAGCGAGGCGAGAACACGAGAGAGAACAGGACGGTACGTGCGGTAGTAGTCAGTGACAGGAGTAGGGAGCGACGCAGTGAGAGCCGACTCAGGAGGAGACGGAAGCACAGACGGAGACGGACGAGGTGGACTAGAACGAAGTAAGGCAGTACGAAGGTCAGTGAAGGGAACAGGAGACGAGGGACGAGCACGAGGGGAGCGACGAGAGGCCCAAGTCTGAGAAGGAGGAGGGGACAACGAAGACTGAGAACGAGGGAAAACAGCGGGAGAGGGGTCAGGAGGAGGAAGCGGAGGACCAGAGACGGGAGGAGAGGGGGAGGAGGAAGGAGAGGGAGAGGGGAGACCAAGGGTCCGAAGACCCGAGACAGGAGGAGGAGACGGCAGCTGCTGCTGCTGCGGCTGCTGCGGCTGCTGCTGCTCCAGCGGCTGCTGCCCCTGCTGCTGTCGCTCCTGCTCCTCGAGCCGCTGCAACTCTCTCTCCTCTCTCTCCAACTCCAGCTGCTCCTCACGAGCACGGCGAACACGAGCCTGGAACCTGGTCGGGTAGGGGTGGGGGGAAGGAGTAGTGTCCGGGGCAGCGGCAGCCCCAGAGTCGACCTCCGAAGCACCAAGCACACCACCCCCAGAGGCAGCACCGGATGGGACACCCTTCTCTTCCACGTCTGCGTGCTATGTCTAGTCAGCGTCTGGTCTTAGGTCTCCCGCGTGTCTTGCCGTCGCTGCCGCCGTCCCTTGCACCACCGTGCGGTCCTTGCGTCGAGGGTAGGCTGCGTGCCACCCCTCACTCCTCCTCCCTTCGTCCGGCCACCGAGCCTTTTGAGACGCTGCACTTGGACGTCTGGGGCCCTTCTCCTCGCCCTGGCCCTGAGCGTGAGCGTTTCTTTTTGGTGGTCGTTGACGACTACTCCCGCTACACCACAGTGTTCCCCCTGGCGAAGAAGTCTGAGGTGACTTCTACGCTGATCAGGTGGTTGCTTACCACCCAGGACACTCGTGGTCGTCGTGTCAGCTGTCTCCACTCCGACCGCGGGGGCGAGTTTCGCTCCGGCATTCTCGCTGGATTCTGTCGCGAACAGGGCATTCGTCAGTCCTGGACGCTTCCGGAGTCCCCACAGCAGAATGGGGTTGCTGAGCGTCGCATAGGCCTGGTCATGGAGATTGCCCGCACCTCCTTGACTCACGCCCGTGCCCCCCATTTCCTGTGGCCATACGCAGTCAGGTACGCCGCGCACCAGCTGAACCTCTGGCCACGCGTCTCTCGGCCGGAGGCTTCACCGACCAGTCTTTGGACAGGGTCCCCTGGTGTCGCGTCGAGGTTTCGTGTCTGGGGGTGCTTGGCTCTTGTCCGCGACACCTCCGCGGACAAGCTCTCGCCTCGCGCCGTTCCTTGTGTCTTCCTTGGTTTCCCTGAGGACTCCTCTGACTTCACCTTTTACCACCCTCCCTCTCACCGGTTCTTTGACTCCCGTGACGTCCGTTTCGAGGAGTCCACCCCGTACTACGTCAGGTACCCCAGTCGAGGTCTCCCGGTTCCTCCTCCCCCCCTCTTCCTGACAGCCGCTCCCCCGCCTGCTCCCCCGAGACAGCCTCCCCCCCCTGGTCCAGCCCCGTCTGGTGTGTCTCAGGCTAGCCCTCCCCCTTCGGCAACCCTACCCTCGACGCAAGGACCGCACGGTGGTGCAAGGGACGGCGGCAGCGACGGCAAGACACGCGGGAGACCTAAGACCAGACGCTGACTAGACATAGCACGCAGACGTGGAAGAGAAGGGTGTCCCATCCGGTGGTGCCACAGAACGGTGGGGTGGGCAAGCGACCGACAGGAGCAAGACGCAGCGACTGGACTGGACGCGACAACCTGAGGGGACGGAACCACCTGGTGAGACGCAGGGAGGAGACTAGGGGGAGGGACAGGAACTGGGAGGAGTGGCTGCTGCGACGGCGGCCGCTGTGGCTGCGGCTGCGGCTGCTGCCGCTGCTGCTGCTGCTGCTGCTGCGGCTGCTGCTGCTGCTGCAGTCGCTGCTGAGCGCGCGGGCGAGTGTGAAGAGTGTAGAGACCGGAGCCCGGCTCAGCAGCAAAAGTGGCGAGGGGCTGGTAAGAGTCCCCGTCAACACACACCGCAGTCTCTCCAGAAGGCTCAAACCACACACCCACGTGCTGACTCACGAGGGGTCGCACGCCCACCAAGTTCCGGGAGAACGAGGGGACGTGAAACCCAGTGAGAGACCCAGAAGGAGCAGCCGGACACGGCAAGGTGGTAGTGTGACGCGCGGTGACTGGTCCCGAAGTGGGATCAGCCAGCGCCACAGAAACAGGCGCAGGAAGAGGCGTAAGTGTCGTGCTGTCACGAAAGAAGCAGTGAGAAGCTCCAGAGTCCAGCGTGAACGACAGCGAACCGTCCTCTGAGGTAGCCGCTGGACTAGAGTCTACACAAGAACCTACACTAGCAACAGGCAACTGAGCAAGGCTAGCACCTAAGCTAACAACACCAGAGTAAGCAGAGTCAGAAACACTAGAGTCAACAACAGCATACATAGCATGGGGAGTACCAATCAGATCAACTAACTGCTCAGCAGACATGCCCCACAGAGCGGAGCCGTAGCGCTGAACAAGAGGCAGCCAGTCAGGGGCAGGAGCACCAACCCCGTAGACCAAACGAACCGTGTCAGTGAGCTGAGCAAAGCACTGACCAGGGGGGTGAAACCGGCCACAAGGGTGGCCACGACGAGGGCCTGTCAGAACCTGGTAGGTGCAGGGAGTGTAAGCAGCACCACGCTGGGTCTGACGCAGCCCCGACCCTGGAGCCAGCTGCTGCCGCTGCTGCTGCTGAGGCTGCTGGGAGGAGAGGGGCTGCTGGTGCTGCAGAAGCTGCTGCTGACGCTGAGCCTGGTACCACGCCGCTGCTCCACCAACCGGGGCAGGAAGTACAGGAGGCGACTGACGAACTCGGGCGTCGCCACCACTAGCAGGCGCAGTGGAGTCACCAGTCACTGCACGAGGCGCCTCTCCAGGCCCTGAACCTCCACCGCCGCCAGGCGCAACGCCACCTCCACTACCTCCGCCTCCACCTCCACTACCACCACCAGAACCGCCTTTCTTGCCACTCCTACCGCGGGACCGCGACGCAGTCGTAACAGCAGCTGCAGTCGCGTCAGTAGCGGCAGTGGCAAGTGAGGCAGTAAAGGTGGGTAACTGCGGGACTGTGCACCCGTGGAAGAGTGGGGGGGGCACAGCACCAGAGGCAGCGGCTACCGAGCGAAGGTTGCTCTCGACGTCCTTGAGTGTAGACTCAAGGACATCGACGGTGAGCTCACTAGGGTGCTTCAGCAGAAGCGCGTCGCGAACGGAGGCAAGGCGGTCAGGGAGGCTAGTGGCGATGAAATAGATAGTAATCGCCATAGGGGGAGGAAGCAGTGCAAGCTGTGCCTCTGTGCAAGCAGCGCGGTAACTAGCGTCGAGCGAGCGGAGGTGAGCGATCAAGTCAGCAGAGCGCTCAAACGAGGCGAGATCAGGAAACAGGAACGGGAGGAAAAGACGGCCAAGAGAGACAGTAGCGGGAGTAGAGTAGCGGGCCTTAATCGCAGTGAGGTACGCAGCAGCGGTGCGAACCTGAGTGAAGTGGACCTCCTCTGACTCAGGGAGGAGGCTGCTGAGTGCGATGCAGGCCGCAGCGTCACGCGACGTCCAAGCCGTCCTGTCAGCGCGCTGACGGGCAAAGCGAGCCGTAGCAGCATCGTCAGGGGCAGGACCTAAAGCGGCAGGCTCGGGGGGCTCGGGGAGGTCACCAGTAGCGTGCGACCAGAGGGTCTCGCCCCCCTGGACTTGACTCTCTAACAGACGGCGAGCGCGAAGAAGCCAGACGGAAAAGTCAAGAGGTCTACCGTCAGCGTCGAAACGAAGAACTCGCGGAGTCGCCATAGCGAGAACTAACGCGAACGAGCAGGCGAGTAACAGCAGGAGGTAAGAGGCAAATTAGGGTTCAGGTGGGGGGGGGGGGGGGGGGGGGGACTTAGTCGCAGCGGAAGAACGGGCTAGGGCGACGGGCCAGGGCGTAGGGTCGACGGGACGGGGGAAAGGGCGGGCGCGATGCGACGGGGCAGGGCGACGCGACGGGGCAGGGCGACGCGACGGGGCAGGGCGACGGGACGGGGAAGGGCGACGCGACGGGGCAGGGCGACGCGACGGGGCAGGGCGACGGGACGGGGAAGGGCGACGCGACGGGGCAGGGCGACGCGACGGGGCAGGGCGACGGGACGGGGCAGGGCGACGGGACGGGGCAGGGCGACGCGACGGGGCAGGGCGACGGGACGGGGCAGGGCGACGCGACGGGGCAGGGCGACGGGACGGGGCAGGGCGACGTGACGGGGGGAAAGGGCGCGACGCGACGGGGGGAAAGGGGGGGGCGACGCGGGGGGAAAGAGCGCGACGCGACGGGGGGAAAAGGGCGCGACTCGACTGGGGGGAAAGGGCGCGACGCGACGGGGGGAAAGGGACGCGACGAGGGGGAAAGGGCGGGCAGGACGCGACGCTAGGAGTGGCGCTAGGCGCGGCACTACGCGCGGTAACAACGGAACCGGGACGAATGAGAGCTAGGATCAGGCTCGGGAGGCTCGAACGGAGAACGGAGGAACGGGATCCCACAGGATCCTAACCTAACTGATACCATGTCAGAATGAAGAATGGATGATGCATTGATGTTGGTTGGGGTACATATAGCTAACCCTAAGTTTTGTACCCCCTAAGACAAACCTCACTATAGGCTACAACATTTGACAGTATCACTGCTACGCCAACCGAGCAACTTCGGTGTGGGCATCAGATCTCGGCTGCGGCTGAAACTGCTCTCCACCCCTCTCAAAGAAAGGCAAGACCTGCTGCTACCGAGCCCCATGCTGAATTTTTACCTCAGTCAGTTGAGGTACCTCTCGTCGCACCACTCAAGCAGCTGCCGCGAGTGATTGCATTTGGGATGAGACGCGTTCGTCACCCTGTTCGGCAACATCGAACCAGGGTAGCATATCAACCTCTCCAGGATCGGCAAGACAGGTTTGGAGGAGCCAAGCCACCAAAGCTGATGAAGCGACAGAACCAACGGGAGAGGTGTATCGCGCTGTTTCTGCTAGGGCTGAAGTGTGACAATGGAACAGAAGGTTTTTGTGGCGGGCAAGTAGAAATATTTCGGCATTTGGTGTATAAACCCCCCTAGAAAGCTGCGAGGGCTAGGTACACTGTACCAAGGCCCTCTTGAAACTCAGCTGGAGCAGAAGCCTTCTGTTCCTCAAGCACGGTTACGACCGTTTTGGTAGTATATGCTTGTTTGTGTATACTTATCAATTATCTTAAAAAAAAAAAAGCAATAGCAAGCATTTACTAACAAGATATTTCCTCATGAAAAAATGTTCAAATTTGAAAAATTTCAAGCTCCCATGAAAATTTGGCAGGGCTAGAGCCATTAGATGATTGCCGAAGCTGCTTACACAACTACATCCCTAACCCACTTTCTTCACAGCAAGGAGATTCTGCAGTGGCCCTCACTTGTGTGTGGAACGATTTCGCCAAAAGCTTACAATACTGGCGCATCCGCTACCGAGCCGTGGTGATCTAGCGTCTCACTTCCGCACTCCTGCCTACTCCACAAATGTGAGAGAGGTGAGAATTGCGAGAGGCGCGCCCGTCCAATTTCAATCGCAGGGCCTGCAACCCCTCACGCAGACACTTCTACCCAAGCTGCCGTGCCTAGCTTCCCACCCATTGCGGCCTCGCCGCGCCTTGCTTGCGGCCTCATCGGCCCTCCCTGTGCCCTTTGCCTCCCGTCGTGGCATTGCTTCACTGCAAATCGCTCTCACCACCGCATCAAGCCTCCTCTCTTCCTCCCCTGCCCCGACTAACCATCCCGTCCCTCCATCTCCTGTTCCCACCTCACCATCTCGCCTCCCTGCCTCCCCATCTCCCCATCGTGTCCCCCCATCCTATCTTTCCTGGCTCCCAGCATTAACTTCACGCCTCCTTATCTCCCAATCTGGTCTCCCCATCTCTTCCTGCCTCTAGATTTCCTCTCTGCCTCACCATCTCCCCTCCGTACCACCCATCTCCCTTCCCTACCTCCTCATCTCCTCTCCCTGCCGCTATACACTTGCAAAGGGAGTTGTGTACAGCACTACGAAAGCCGTGTACAGCCGTGTACGAATAGGAAAGGATTCTTTCTGGTTTTGAATCTGTAACGAATTTCTATCCCTTCTGACAGAAAAATGTTTATGTTATCGTTAAATTAGTGGCAAGGCATCAGACTGCGAAAGAAACTCGGTTGACGATATTTCGGAAAATCGTATATAATATTTTTATATTTTTTTCAGAGACAAGCATTTACTGGCCGGGGGTGAAGTTGGTGGCATAGGCCCAGGCGTTGTTCACGGTGGGGTCAGCCAGGTGGTCGGACAGGTTCTCAAGGGGACCCTTGCCGGTCACGATGGCCTGGACGAAGAATCCGAACATCGACACCATGGCGAGGCGGCCGTTCTTCAGCTCCTTCACCTTCAGCTCGGCCAGAGCGTCGGGGTCGTCAGCCAGACCCAGGGGGTCGAAGGCACCGCCGGGGTACAGGGGGTCCTCAACCTCTTGGAAGCCCTCGAGGCCACCCACGCGGTAGCTCTCAACGGCGCCCATCAGGATGACCTGGGTGGCCCAGATGGCCAGGATGGACTGCGCGTGGATCAGGCTGGGGTTGCCGAGGTAGTCAAGGCCGCCCTCGGAGAAGATCTGGGCACCGGCCTTGAACCACACGGCCTCGCCGAACTCGACGCCGTTGTTGGCCAGCAGCTCGGGGGTCAGGCAGCCCAGGGCGCCGAGAAGAGCCCAGCGGGCGTGGATCACCTCCAGCTCGCGGTTCTTGGCGAACGTCTCGGGGTCGGCGGACAGACCCGCGGTGTCCCAGCCGTAGTCACCAGCATACTCGCCGGTCAGGTACGAGGGGGGGGAGGAGTACGGGCCCAGGAACAGAGGGCGGTCGGGGCCGTAGAAGGAGCTGGAGGGGGCGGCCTTGGCCGTCTTCCTCATGGAGACGCGGGCCTCCACATTGTTGACCTTGGCGGCGAGCTCAGCGCTCTGGCCGACGAAGGTGGAGGGAGCAACAGCAGCGTTGGCGAGGGCAGCCATTTCTGTCTGCTTGAAGGTATCTGAAAGATATGTGTGAGTTGGAAGTACTGATGAAGCTTGGAGAATAAATGAAAGCTTGTGCCTTTTGTACGACTGGCCTGGAACCCAGCGTCGCGAGAATGACTGGGATTGGGGTCCAGGATTGATTGTGCCAGGAATCGTCGAACCGAGTCGCCGCAATCCTTCCGATGTGTCGCGGCTGCTGGATAGCCATGTGATGGGTCTCACCGGATTTTTCGTCCTCGCTCCTGATTGGTGTCCCGTATTGCGGGGCCACTCGCGCAACCGTCACGCTCGAGGAAGGCTGACGAGTGGCAGTCCAATTGGCACGGAGTTGTGGTGATATGTTCCACAAACTACATTGAAATGGTTCTGTCATATACATATTTCTACACACTCACACCTACACTATACTATTGCCAGTCCTAGATAAAAGACACATCAGATTGCAATTCAAGAAATCTTCAAACGTTTTTTTACTTGCAGCGGAAGATGACAATGACAGAGCTTCTGCACAAATGGCAAATGATGCACATCTCCATAACAGCGAGTAGGGGCTGAACTGATGTCTCTTGGGGTCCAGTTAGATGAGCATAAGAAAGTCAGATCGAATGTCCTGCAGGGTCCCGTATTCGCAGTGGTTGCCAGTGCAATGCCAGAAAAGCTTGGGCCAAACCTAGCACACAGTGCATCATCTGATGGTCTACAAGAGATCAACATAGCCACCGGCGTCGATGTGATGCCGCACCTGGGTTTCTTAGTGTAGTGTACCACGCGGAATGCAACATACTGTAGCACCAGACGCCCATGGTACAGAGTCGGTACTACACTTCATGTCCATATCAAAACCAATGCCTGCTGACATCTGGTGTCCATGCCCGAACCAATGCTGCCTGTGTCACTTTCTCTGCTGCCTCACATCTGATGCCCATGCTTGTCATCCACCCCACCCGGCAACCCCTGCTCCACCTTCACACCCACCCCTGCCCCCTCCACCCCCACCACGCTCTGCCTCGCCTTCGCCCACGCCTCGCCTTCCCTAATCTCCAGCATGAGCTTCACGCCAACGTACATGGAGAAGACTGTAACGAGTACAAGGAAGGGGTCTGAGAGGAAGGAGGAGAGGAAGCCGCGCACGCCGTCCAGCCCCACCACAAAGCCCACCAGGTTGGCCGCCATCAGGCCTAAAACGTTGATGGAGCCGGCTATTGCACAGCACTCCCGGTAAAGCCATGACTTGCGGAAGCCCTGCAAGGCGACAAGATTGGAAAGGGCGATGGGGTTGAAGTGAGAAACCACGCACGCCGTCCAGCCCCACCACAAAGCCCACCAGGTTGGCCGCCATGAGGCCTAGCACGTTGATGGAGCCGGCTATTGCGCAGCTCTCGCGGTACATCCATGACTTGCGGAAGCCCTGCACGGTCACAAGACAAGATTGAAAGAGGGCGAGGGGGGTGAAGTGAGAAGCCGTCCAGCCCACCACAAAGCCCACCAGGTTGGCCGCCATGAGGCTGAGAACATTAACGAAGCCGGCAATCGCACAGCACTCGCAGTGCAGCCATGACTTGCGGAAGCCCTGTGGTATGGGAGGAGTGGGATAAGGAGGTGTGTGCGGTGGGGGAGGTGAGGAGTGGGTTGAACAGTCACCACGAAGCCCACCAAGTTGGCCGCCATGAGCCCAAGCACGTTGATGGCGCCTGCTATTGCACAGCCCTTGCAGTACAGCCATGGCCTGCGGAAGCCATGTGGCATGGCAGGCGGAGGGAAGATACGAGAACGAGGAAGGAGAAGAGGAGATAAAGGAGGAGCAGAACGGGGGATAAGGCGATGAAAAAGGTGCTTTGGGTAGAAGCCATTGCCTGATGTGGTTCTCAACATACATTCGCCCGCACAGCGCGGAATAGCCAATGCAACAGTATGAATCAACGTACGAGGAAATCTCACCCACACCACATCAATTCGTGTGTCAGTAGGGCATGTACCTGCAGGGCTTTGAGGTTCCCGATGGCCTTGACGATCATCTCTGGTGCGAGGAGCAGCGACGTGAGCCACGCCCACCACAGCAGCTTCCACTCCAGGTCATGCCACAGCGCCACAAACGTGAACACGATCCACACGTTCACTAGCTTCCGCTTCCCGCCGCCCAGCGGGATATACAGATACCGCACGATCCACTTGTTGTACGACGCATGCCACCCACGCCAGAACCCCTCGATATCATAGTTATTGTTGATGCACCGCGGAAGGTTCTCGGGGGTTTCCACGCCGGCCACGAGCGCCCATAGACGGAAGAAGCGCCAGATGAGGAAGAATTTCAGCCACATGAAGTTAAGGACGCCGTAGCTCACTATGCTCATCCCCAGAGCAAGATTCCCTGGAGCCTCTTGGCCCCATAAGGCACTGCCTAGGTCGTTCCCCCCGGTGCTGTGGGAAGCTTCCGAGAACCAGGGTCCGGCGGACTTGGCAAGTGCCTGGAAGTAGCAGAAGTGCATCATGAGCTCCATGAGGAGAAAGGACGCTGCCAGCCGGACGGCATAGACGGCGACGCGGGTGGCGGACATCGTCTTTTGTGGGGTGTCGAGCTGCGAGGTGAAGGCGTTGAAAGAGGCAATAGGGCCGGAGATATAGAGTGGGGCGAAGAGCAGGTAAGCGAGGTAGGCCGGGAGGGAGTATGCAGCCAGAGGGAGGCTCTCCCCCTGCCGCGCCGTGTAGCATGCCTGGCCCTGCCGGCACTGCAAGCACTTGGCTCGGTGAGCTTCCAGGAAGCTGCTTCCCACGCTGCTGCCACTGACAGTGCCTGTGATCTTGGCCCCCAGCAGCGGCTCTCCCTCTGATAACCCTCCCCCGGGACTCTTCACCCCTGCTCCCTGCACTCCCTGCACTCCCTGCGCTGCTGCTGCAGCTGCGGCCGCTGCTGCTGCTGCGTCACGGGCGGCCCAGTAGTAATCGAGCCCAAAGCTGATCATGCGCAGCAGCAGCAGGTTGTAGCAGATCTCCCAGCGGAACACCCCCCTGTATGGGTCCAGAAAGGACAAACTGCCGCCCACAAGGGGGATGTGGGCGAATCTGAAGCCGTCGTACGAGCGGATGAGGATGTAGGAGCCGCACTGCCATGCCCACAGGGCGATTGGGAACAGCCAGTCCCATTTGCTGCTTGTCGCAGCCCGCGCCCTGCTTGCTGCTGCTGCTGCTGCTGCTGCTTGCGCACCAGGACCCCAGCTGCTTCACTAAGACGTAATTCGCTAAAGCGAAGGCGAGGAGAAAGACTGTACTCGCCTCGTGCAGGTACACCACATACGCTAGCGACGCGACCAGCCAATACCACGCCAACACGTGTCCTCCCCCGCTGCCCCACCTCTTCCCACCCCCCACCAACCCGTCCTTGCTTCGGGCCGAGCCTGCGACCCCGAGCCTGATAACCAAAGCCAAGCCGCACAAGACTCCCATGACCACGGTCAGGATGGGGAGGTTTCCGCGAAAGTTGCGCCACTGGTCGTCTGAGAGGTCGACCTTGCGGCCGGTAATCCAGCCGGGGTAGAGCCCGCTGCTGCTCGCTGGCCAGTGCTGCACGAGGGACGCGTAGCGGTTGGACAGACGCACGGCGTGGCGGATGACCTGGCAATGGAGAAGGAGAAACGGGGAGGGGAAACGAAAAGGGGAGGGGAAACGAAAAGGGGAGGGGATGTGGGAGAAAGAAAGCGGCACATTTCAGTACCCAACGCACCAGGCAGCAAGAGCTGCACGAAGGACGCGCAGCGGATGGAGAGGCGCCACTGCGTGGCGGATAACCTGATGGGGAAGGGGAGGAGGGCGGAGAGGGTACGCGCGAGGGAAGGAGAGGAGACGAGGAAGAGAAGGAGAGGGGATAATGGAGAGGAGGAGGTGACTTCTGGGTCGACTCAACAGTGCTGCGCTGCACGAGGGACGTGTGGGGAGCCGGGCAGGCGCATGGCGTGATGACCGAACTGGGAGTGGCGGGGAATGGAGAAGGGATGAGCGGAGGCGATGAAAGAGTTGTGAGATACGAAAGAATAATGGGAAAATAAGGAACGCTGAAATGCTGGTGGGGAGAGTGATTGGGAGGACTCGTGGACCCACCCGGCCGCACTTATGATGGAAAATGCAGCAGGGAAACGATCAGACGTCTCAGAACTCTTACCTGATAGTAGAAGTATGCGGTGTAGCAGTACATTAGGAAGAACTCCACAGATCTCCACCGGCCGTAAGGGGACGAACTCAACCCGCTGCTGCTGCTTCTCCCGAAGCTTCCCGATTTTTGCGTGCTCGCGATCTCCGGCTCATTTCTGCTGGGAATCAAATCTCGTCGGTTGCTGCTGCGGGAAAACGGTCCCGATGGCTGCATCTCTGGTGGTCTACGGAACGGGTGCGTGACGTGTGAGTGACGCGCACGGCTTCACGGTCAGATTGCTGACAGATTGGAAGGCAGAATCTGAAGCAGCAGCAGGTCGGCTCGAGGCGAGTCGAGGAGGCGAGGCGAGGCGATGCTGACACCAATCTGACCCCCACGAGTTCCGCCGGTTGACACCAATCTCTACGCAGAAGCAAATTTCTTCCTGTGATGAACCATCGTCGGTCAACTGGTGTGTCCTTACTTGTACGACTCGTGCATGAGCTTGCGAGTTGACCTATTATCGAGTGCGTGTGTCGACAGATGGCTGAACTAGTTTTTCCGCGAAATGCTGACAGTTACGACTCTTAAGCCACAACAGGCATATCGGCAGCATTTATCGTCTGCTTGGTATGCTTGGTAACGAAACCACCTTGGTCGATAAACATCCCCGAAACGAGCCTGTCTTCAAGCTTTATGAATACAGACGAAGACTCCTCCAGTGCTAGAAGCTATTCGCTAGTCGGCTGCGCAATGATTGAGTTGGCTGCTGCAGAATGATTGAGTCGGCTGCGGACAGAATGATAGATTGTGATCAAGTTTGTCATCTGTGTGCTCTTGTGTTCGCCATAGCAATAAAAGTGCGGGGAGGAATCCCGAATTCAGCTTCTGGAATCTGAATTTTCCCGCGTTTACTGCCTCCTCCCATTTGTGCAGCGACAGGTTCTAGGCAGTATAGGGCGTGGAAATTTGACGAAGGGTTTTCGGCTGGTGTGGCATACAATTCACGAACCATGTCGAAAGTTACCCGTCGTAACGAGAGTGGATCTGTAACGGTAAGGTAAATCGTTAGGAGTATCTAGACGATCGTGAGCAGGGTTTCGGAACTGATTTGTTTCATAACGGGTACAGCTTGATCACCTAATTGGATGAGGCTTTAGCACATGTGAACAAAAACCTTTCCACGTGTCCTGACCTTACAGTGCCGCGAAAGGCACAATCCACGTGGAGGTTCTTCTGTTACCCAAGAGGAGGGAGGGCTCCCTTCCCTGTCGGCGCTGGCTGATGCTGTGGGTGGAGGATGCGAAAGCCCCAAAAGAAGATGAACGGCTCGATGACTGGATGAAATTCGTAATCGACGGTTCTTACATCCTGCATCCACATTTCGGCGCACAGCACGGAGTATACGCGGCAGTGCGATGCCAACCCACTCCACCCTGGAAAGTGAAACCAGGGGCGCGACAGGTGCACATCCGTCGATCCCGCTATGAGATATGGGTGACGATGGCAACAGCCGTACGATGTTCTCTAGAAAAAGAAGCCAACCTCGAGGCCCAACCAAACTTGTCCCTGCGCTGGCGGCTGCGGGAAAAGTGGAAATGGATCCCCTTGAACCTGAAACCCTCCTGCTGCTTCAAAACCAGCTCACTGGCGCGGCCTGCTCCTGCACTGATTGACTCCCATCTAAACCAGCCCTGTCAGGTTTTATTCAAGCAGCTAGCTTCATAATCAGCCCTTTCCTTCTGCTACCTTTAGCTGACTCCTTCGCTTTGGCCATTCCTGCTGCTGGGTTGGTTTTGTCCCAGCTTCAGGATAGCCAAGTGGAAGGAACGTGCCCAATAAGCGTTTCAACATTCATCCTTTTTTTTTACAGTAGTTTAAAGAAGAGCACAGATGGCATCTCAGTTTGACAGTCGTGCGAAGCACGGACCAGCCCTGGCCGTAGATCTCTCCTCTCTCGTCTCAACATTGCACACCTCTCTAGCCGATCACAAGCAGCGTTTCGAGAGTTTCTGCGAGACGCACCGGCAAAGGTTTCAGGGCATTCAGGCCGCGTTGTCCTCGTTTCCACCCGCATCACTGCCATCCGGAGCAGCGGACTGCCGTTCTTCTTCCAGTAGGTCGCACGTCCAATCAGTATGGCATCGCTCGGGTAAGGCACGACGAGCGGCGAAGGCGTCGCCAGGAGCAGAGGCTCGCGCAGCCCTTCCTCTAGCCGCCATTTCGAGCGCCGCATTTGTCAAATCACCGGCTTCCGTAGCGCGAGTAAACAGCGAGAAGGCCGACGGTGCACCTGCCGTTACCAGCGCCAACTTCGGAAAAGCTCCCACGTCCATGCCACTCTCCGTCGCGTCCCTAAAAACCGTAAACTCGGAAGCGTCCGCCATCGAGGAGCGGAATCTGACGTCAGATGCGCCGGTCGCCGGAGGTGCAGCGCAGGATCGGGCTGGGTGTGTGGAGCAGGTAGTGACGAGGCCGTCGGTGGTGCAGCTGTTGACGCACCCTCTGGCGCTCCTCCGCGGCATTCCCAAGGACGCCGCGTTTTTCATCTCCGGCGCCGTCGCCGGCGCTGCTGCTAAAACCGCGACCGCGCCGCTAGACCGATGGAAGCTGATGATCCAGGTGGGTGGCGAGAGAGTGGTGGGGAAAGCCAGAAGCGACTGGGAATGAGGAGAAAGAGGGGAAAGCTGTTGGGTTGAGGGAGCTGATCGTGTTACAAGTTGCCTTTTCTTCTTTGTTAACAATGTCTTTCCTCTCTCTTTCTGCATCCCGCTTGCGTTCCGCGTAACCTCAGGTCAAGAGCGTTTTACCGGGGAAGGTCATCCCGCCGACAGAGATCAACCTCGTTAAGGTGAACTTTCCCGTCAGCATTTTCCCCGATTCCCTCAGGGCAGTTGTCGTACATGCGGTGATTCTTGACATCGTGTCGTCACCTACGGTGCATTTCGTCCCATGTCGTAGCCGCATTGTGTCGCATTGTCACGCGGCTTCCATTGGCCCTGTTGGTTAGCCCCATTGTTTTTAGTATCCACTAGTCGTGCTCAAGATGTTGATTCTGTCATGTGTCTATCCCTGATTTTTTGCTGGCAGTCGTTTCTGGACATTGGGAAGGAAGGCGGCATTACTGCTTATTGGAAAGGAAACCTGCCCCAGGTATTTTACTTTCCGCCACTGATCCTTGTTCTCTCCTTGACCTGCTACCTGTTTTTTAACCCCTGTCCCCTTTACTCCTGTGCTCTGTTCCTCTTCTCCCCCCTTCCCCAAGTTCCTGTTTCCTTCAATCTCCTTCCCACCTTGTCCTCGTTCGCCCGTCATTTCCCTCCACTCCGTCTCTCCCCATCCCCCTCCCTGTTCAGGTCATGCGCATTGTGCCGTACAGCGCAGTGCAGCTCTTCGCCTACGAGCTCTACAAGGTGCGCTCGCCGCCTCACGGCTCGTCACCTCATCGTTTCTCGTCTTACCGCTCGTAGTCTTCGCCTTGCGGTCCCACCGAACTTCGTTAAAGTCCGCAGCAAGGAGCTCTTAATGCCGTTTGCTCGTTTCCGTCTTCAAAGCAATCGGAAGATCATCGAACCGCGTTACATCGGCTAGTTGACTCATAGCTCGATTTCCCAACCCCCCGCATCCCTTGTTCCTCAGAAGCAATTCCAAGGAAGCAGCAAGGAGTTGTCGGTGCCGGCGCGGCTGGCGGCGGGGGCGTGCGCGGGGATGACGTCGACGCTGGTGACTTACCCGCTGGATGTTCTGCGACTGCGCATGGCGCTAGACGTTACCAACGGGAGCATCGCGCAGGTGCGGATCGGGGATGGGGATAAAGCTCGCGGCGAGGTGCTTCGTTATGGTGATAGTGGTGGTTGGAGCTGTAGCGTATACAGCCGGAGTACTGCGGAGGTTTGGGAGCAGGGACATAGGAGCACGTGGGCACGTAGAAAGGCGATTATTGACCGTGAGGGGAAGCGGCCTCCACGGAGTTGACCAGCGGCTGGGCCTTACAGCGTCGCTAGGAAAGCAGGGCAAACGAGTATGCTCACTTTTACGAGTGGGCTTTGGTTCCCGCTATAGAGAGTGGCGCAGGGAAGGATGAGAATAGGAACGGTTGGAAGAGTCAGCGAGACGAGGAGCTGGATTGAAGCACGCAGGAGGCTGCGCCACTTGCGGCGGTAGCAAGTGTCGGCGATGGCAGTGTCGGCGGTTGGTGATTGCTGAGATGAGGGGCGTAGGGGGTACCACAGGCGATATATATCGTACCAGGCGAAATGGCTGTAGCGGAGTTACCAGTGTGATGGAACATCAGCTCGGTCCATGATCATTATGTGGCTTGCAAGCGCTAAGTGGGGTGGCTGTAGCGGAGGCAAGAGGGTATGCGGAAGGGGGGTGGTTGACCGCGCGACTGAGTGGGCAAGGGTGGGGGCTGTGGTGATCGCCGTTGGCACATCACGCACGCATACTAGCGCTTCACTTCTCTGGTTTGCGCACTACCATCCTTCCTCGTTGCTTTACTCGACACTGGTGGCGTCCTGTCCTCGCTAGCACTACCTATATCAGCACCAAACCACGTGCTGATGTTGCCATGCTCACTCTGTGGCACTCTCTGTGTGTGGTACTGTGGGTGGGGCAGGTGGCGATGGCGATGGTGAGGGAGGAGGGCGTCAAGTCGCTGTACAAGGGGCTGGGGCCGGCGCTGGTGTCCATTGCGCCCTACATCGCCCTCAACTTCTGCGCCTACGACATGTGCGTGCTGCGCCCTGCTTTTCCTTGCTTAGGAAGGGAATGTGCGTGATGGGATAGGCGTTAGCATGCTGGGATAGGGCATGTGCATTTGGGGATTGGGGGCCCCGGCGCTGGTGTCCATTGCGCCCTACATCGCCCTCAGTGCCTGCGCCTACGACATTCGTGTACGACATCACCCACCAAGAACCCCGTTCTCGGAACCCATTCTCCCAAACCCCCTCCAAACCCCGTTCCCCCTCTCCCTCCTCCCCCCCACACACCTCCCCCGTACCTCAGGATACAGTGGCAGGTGCCGTGCAGCACAAAGGCACACCGTTAACAAACCCATTAGCGCCTCTTTCCACCCATCCTCGCCCCCCACCACACCTCCGTTCCCCCCCCTCTCCTACTCTTATCCTCAGGATAAAGCGACGTGTGCCAGAGCAGTACCAGGGCACGCCGCAGGCGAACCTGGTGACAGCGCTGGCAGCAACAACACTGGCAACAGTGTCGTGCTACCCCATCGACACTGTCAGGCGCCAGATGCAGATGAAAGGGTCTCCCTTTAACTCCATGCTGGAGGCCTTCCCAGGTGCGTACGGTGCGGGGGTGACTCGTGAAAGGTCTCACAAGGTGCCAGTGTGAATGGCTGGCAACAGTGTCATGCTACCCCATCGACACGGTGCGTCGCCAGATGCAGATGAAAGGGTCTCCCTTCAACTCCATGCTTGAGGCCTTCCCAGGTATGTATGGGTTACTGTTGAGTCAGAGTGAATGTCTTAAACTGTATGCTCCGGGCCTTTCCTGGTACGTACAGGGTAACTCATGGGTCGACCCACAAGGCGCCAGATGCAGATGATGGGGTCTCCCTTCAGCTCCATGCATGAGGCCGTCCCAGGTACGTACGGGTGAGTCGCCAGATGCATGCAAAATGTTCGTGCTTTGATCCAATCAGATGTGACTGCCAGCTGGTTCAGGTTTGTGTGTGTATGGGACTGTAGAGAGTGAGTGATGCATGAGTTTCATGAGCGCTGCAGTCTGTAGCTATGCGCTGAAGTGCTCTTGTGTGTGTGACTGTGGTGGCAGGAATTGTGAGGCGAGATGGCTGGCTGGGGCTCTATCGAGGCTTTATTGCCAACACGGTGAAGAACCTCCCTAACAGCAGGTAAACGGTGTGGCCTTCTTAATATGCTACCCCATTCCTGCTCTGCTAACTCACACAACACATCACATCCCGCTCCACCATAACTTCTGCTTCTGTATGAATTCACTTTCTTCAATATGTTCTCCCCTGTTTTCCCATGCCTCGCCTTGCAGTGTGCGCCTGACGACGTATGACGCTGTGAAGAACACCATTCTCTCAGGCCACTCGCAGTGGGACCGCCTAGTCGCAGAGCGCAAGCGTCAACTCACCAAGGCCAGGTTGCCAACAAGGCAGAGTGCTGGAGCTGGAGCGAGCAGCAGCAGCAGCAGCAGCAGCAGCGTATTAGCCACTGTTGCAAGCGCATCTGGGCAAACAGTAGTTTGTTGATGTGCTGCTTGCTATCCTTAGTTGCACTTACATAGGATTACACTCACCTGAGGGATCCCTTCAAGCATTGAACCCATTCTAATAATTGAGCCATTCCATTGTTTCACTTTCCAGCAATTTATGTTTCACTATACTATCAATTAGTGTTTAGGTGCAATGGATTCAGGCAAGGTGATACCACCACACTACACTCCCCAAGTTTACGTCAGTTGTGGATTGAGTACAGTTCCGTAAATAGAATGCTGCACTGGCAGCAGAATAACAAATTGCTGATTTTCAAGTGGATTTATCTGCCAGTCAAAAATTTTATGGCGTCGGTGGGTGGTGGAATGCAAGCACGAGGGTCTGGAAGCTGTGCCAGATACTGGATTCGAGGTCCACATTCTCAAGTTCCCTGAGCCTTATCAGCTGACAGGTCATGTTTGGTGAAATCCACGTCATGAATCCGAGGTATCGGTCTGCTGTTTCATAATGGAATTTTATGAGGGCAAAACAAGCGGGTTATTGGGCAGGTTTCCTGATTATATTAACTTGTATTTGCTGCCCGTTTCCAGCGTCATAATTCCATTTATCGCCACTTGTGGTCACGGTTGTCCTGGACGAAAGGAAGGAACCTGTGTGCGCCTCCATCGCCATCATGACTGCTATCTGAAGGGCAAGAAAGGTTGTGGCTGTCGCCTAGGCGTAAATAGGTTTGGTTCGTCGCACTCGCCCTCGTCACCTTTTTCCCAGCTTGGCACCCCTCCATGCCGTCGTCACAGGTTTGGCGAAGTTTTGGCGAGCCGGGAGTGGATGAGCGACCCCAAAGCTGGACGGCCCGTCATCCTCCTGGCACGAATTCGCTCAGGCGAGGCTCGGTTCCGTTTCCTTTTCGGCTCGGGCCAACAGCGCTGCAGATTGGTTCAGGGCGGTGGCTAAGGTTTGGCGCTGCGGCAGGGAACATTGGGGTTTGGTTGGGCGCATCAGAAGCATTCTGGGGGAGGCGACCGCAGAACTCGAGGGGGCGCGACCTCGGAATCTCCGTAACGCGGAGAGATTGGAGGGGAGGAATGGATGTGATTTCCTAGCGGCTCTGTGCTCTGCTCTCCAGCTTTATCCCTACCCAAACAGCTCTCTCATTCAATCACTTCATCCCAGGTCCACAGGCTGGAATGGAAGCCACAGCCACAATAGCGTTTGTGGTGGAATCGAGCTGTTACGCTCTGTTGGTGTGTGGGGTGGGAGTGAGCAGTGGAGCCAGCCATTGAAGATTCGACTCCTTATCCTCACCTCATGCTCAACTAGACTAGCTGCACTTCGTACTCCAGCAGTTCCAGAATCCTTGTCAGGTATCTCGTCGGCCTTTTCAGACCGTCTTGTGCATTTCTTCTCATATTCGCCAGCGGCTTCGGGTCTTAGCTTCGAAAGTTTTATTTCTTGCCTATGTTACTGAGCATGTCCTACTCTCATATTCTCTCGTTCTTCCAACGAAGTGATCCGTAGACTAGAGATTTTCATTTAAAAAAATCAAGCTTCTGAAACAACAACAGTCATTTTGAGAGAGAAAGAGAGAGAGTAAAAAGTTAGTTCGCAGAATGGCCGCAATGGACGGGAGCGTGTTTCTTCCCGTCCCAGCAGGCGGCAGAGCTGCGACGGACGCGATGACGGCGGAGTTACCCGACGCGACCAACGGCGCGTACTTCCATGGCGGCTTCGACGACGGAATGTTCGGCATGACGGACTTCGATGTGAGTGCAGATAAATTGAGAAAGCAAGCACGCTCGTCCGAACCAATTCGACTGTTCCGATGCGACAACCATATCTGAAGGGTTCTTTTATTCAAGATACCCAGTCTCCATTGTCTCTTCAACCGCTGTCAATCGCCTGCCGGCGACGCCATGACTGGCGCAGGACAACCTGAGAGTGTCTCCCTCAGTGAACCCCAACGTTAGTGGGCAGCGCATCCAGTTTGACATGGGACTGAAAGTGTTTCCCCCAATGATTGCCCCAATATTCTCCCGATGTCTCCCCCATCATCTCACGGCAGGGCATCGAGTTTGATACGGGGTTGGCGCAGGACAACCTGAGAGTGCTTCCCCCAATGAACCCCAAATTTTCCAATGACTCCCCCGCTTCCCCCCACTATCTCACGGCAGGGCATCGAGTTCGACATGGGGTTGGCGCAGGACAACCTCGACGCGGCGCACAAGCTCGGGCTGGGCGGCGCAGCCATGGCCATGGCGCGCGACATGGGCGTGGGCGACGCGCCGGGCGACGACGACGACGACATTTTCACGCAACTCGCCGCTGCCGCCCCCGACACGCAGTGCGGTAAGGACGCGTAACGCCCAAGTAACAGTGCGGTAACGTTGCCCGACATGCAGTTTGGTAATATCTTCTCACTTGTTAAGGCGCTTCAGAAAGAAACGCTTTAGTAACAGTGCGGTAACGTCTCCCGCGGATTCATTAAATGCCTTTCGCGGAATTCGTGGAGGGTTAATGATTGAGGGACACAGCGCAACACGTGGCGTTCTTGACAGGACTTGCTGCCGTCTACCTGCCGACGCCGACAGTGCCGTTGCTAACCACCTGTTACTTTCTGTTTGCCTTCTCTGCGTGTTTGCTTTCTGCTCTCTGCGTGTTACAGACCCCAGCATCTCTTTTGCGGCCGGACTGGCAGCAGCAGCACCAGCGCCAGCCGCACCGGTGCCATACGCAGCAGAGCCTGCCGCAGCAGTAGCGCCCACGGTAGACCCCTCTCATCTCTCGCAGCACACGGGGGCGGCGGGAGCGGCGCAAGCGGACGAAGCAGCGTTGGGGAACCAAAACCGCGCTGGCGCGGGGAGCGGAAGGCCTGAAGGGGGAAGCGGCGGGGGATATTTGAGATTGCGGAAGTGAGCTTAGCGCCGTACTGCGTGTCGTCGGAGGGAGCGCCGACAGAAAGCGCGCGGAACGGGAAGGGCGGCAACGCGCAGGGGGAAATCGCACCGCAAGGTGGGGGAATGGTAGCCGCTGGCGCGGGGGGAACGGCGGGGGGAACAGCGGGGGACGCGGCGTCCCCTCGCGGGTCGGACTGTAGTTTCTCGATGAGCTCCTCTCCGCCCTCCCCCTCGCGCATGCGCCAATACACGCACATGCACGCGCACGCGCAGGGGTTTGCATACAAGCAGGCGGGAGCGGAGCCGGATGCGGAGGCGCAGGCGCAGGCGCAGACGCAGGGCATGGGGGTGGTGGGGGACACCGCGCATGCGGCGGAACGGTCCGGTTCTCCGCCGTCGTCGTCGTTCGGACACAGCCAGGTGTTCAGCCCCATGGTGTCGCGCACGCGGCCCGCGCAGAAACACAAGGGCGCGGGGAGACCCGCTGGCGCGCCGGAAGCGGCGGGGGGAGCGGCGGTGAACGGCGCAACGAGCAGAGGGCTGCCGCACGGGGGCGCGATGGGGGGACAACATGGCGCAGGGATGGGGCCTATGGGGATGCCCGGGGGGATGTCGGGGGGGATGTGGGGGGGGATGCCGGGGGGGATGCCGCCAGCCGCGGCGGCGGCGGCGATGGCGCAGCACCACGCGATGGCGGCGGCGCAGGCGATGCACATGGCGGCGATGCAAGGCCACCCCATGCCCGGCCACCCCGCGCAGGGGCACCCCATGCCCGCGCACCCGTTCCCCATGCCGCCGCCGGGAATGATGCCGGGGGGAATGCCTCCGCCCATGCCCGGCGCAATGCCCCCGGGGATGCCCCCCGGATTGGCCCCTGGCGCTATGCCTAACGGAATGATGTACCCGCATGGGCATCCATACGCTATGCAGCACTTGCAGCAGATGCACATGCACATGCACATGCAACACATGCACATGCAGCATGCGCAGCAGCAGCAGCAACAGCAACAGACGGCGAAGCAGCAGAAATCAGGAGGCACCGCCTCCTCCGCCATACCCGCGGACGACGATTCCCCCATGCCCGCCGCATCCCACGCGCCGTCCCTTCCCGCCCTCCCCGGCCTCCCGCCGCCCTTCATGTTCCCGGGCATGATGCCGCCCCCGGGTTTTCCTGGCGGCGCTGCCCCCGCTATAGGCACCCCCATGCCCGCAATGAGCGGAGCGAGCAGGGCGGGCGGGGGGGGCGCGGGGAGAATCAAGGCGGAGCCCGTTAGCGCCAAGTCGGGTTTTGGCCGCGCGGGGGGGATATTGTCCCCGTTAAGAGCGAATCCGTTAGTCCGTCTAAGTCCCCTCGCCCGCGCCCTGGCGCCCCCAGCGGCAACAGCTTCGCGCCGAGCCTTCCCCGTCGCCGAAGCTACCACGAAGGCTTGGGCGGGTTGCAGGCTGCGGCTCGGATGAGCGTGAGCTCAGCCTCGGCGGTGCCGCGGATGCAGGCCGCGTCAGGTTCGGCATCAGGAGCTTCGGGCTTTGGGTCTTCTGCGGCGGCGGCGGCGGGGGGGGCGGGGATGGGGGCGGGAATTGCGCCGTCGAAGATGCGGCGCGTGGCTTCCATGGGGCAGCTGTCGCACCACAGCCGCGCAGGCGGAGGCGCCGAGGGGGAGCGATGGGTGGGCGTGGGGGGCGCGGGAAGCGCAGGTATAGGAATGGGCGGAGGCATGGGCGCGCGGAGAAAGCTGGGGATGGGCGCGGGGACTGGCGACGGTAGCAGCGGAAACTCAGGGAGCGAGGAGGACGGAAGCGGGGGAGACGGCGCGGGGACGCGCGCGAGAGCGGGAGAAGCGGCGGAGTTGGGGGAAGAGGAGGGGGGAGAAGACGAGCTGAAGCCTCTGCCGTCGATCTACCTGCAGCAGCAGCAGCAGCAGCAGATGCTGCTGCGCCAGCGCCTGTTGCAGCGAAGGGGAATGATGCCCCGAAGCCACAGCAGTCACTCTCTAGGGCAGCTGCATAGGCAGGCGCTCGCAGCTGCTGCGGCAGGCGGAGGCGGAGGCGGGGGCGGAGGCGGAGGCGGAGGTGGGCGCGCGGGGCCAACGGGTAGCAGCGCGGGAGGGGCGCCGCTAGCTTCCCCCAGGAGCATGGGTCCTCCGCAGATCCCCCCTGTTTCCCCGCGCGGGGAGTTTGCAGGGGCGCAGGCTGGCGGAAGCAGCAGCAAGCAGCGGGGGATGGTGGGAAGGGCAGGGGACGGCGGACGCATGGGCGCGGAGTCAGCGGGAGCAGGGATGGGCGCTCGACCTGGCGGAATGGGCGGAAGCAGGGGGGGACAGGCGGGGGGAGCCGCGACGATGGGGCAAATGCGCGGAGGAGGGGGCGCGGGAGCAGATGCGCAGGCGATGATGGGGATGGAGGGGGGCGGAGGGATGGGCGCGATGGGGGGATTGACTCCTCCGCGGCTTCCGTCGCTAAGCGGAATGCGGAGAGTGCAGAGCACTGGCGATATCCAGGTGAGGTTGGCTTGGATGAATACACGCAAATAAGAGGATAGGGCACAATGCAAGAAGCGGAAAGGTCATGATGATAGCAACCATGGTTCATAAATGAAACAAGTGAGATGAGCTTGGCAACAATAACACATGGCAAGATGCAAGAAACGTAGCGTGAAGGTACATCAAATGTATCACTTGCGTCTATCCTCCCCCACTCTCTTTCCCCGGTCTGTTTCTCTCCCTCATTGTCGAAGCTGCCTTTTCCCATCATAGTGCTGCTGACCTGGGTTCTTCCCCCAACCAATCTTCGTCTCTCTTCCTGTCCCGTCCCTCCCTCCTTGCCTCATCTCACAGCCCTTAGCGTTCACTCTAAATTGCTTTTAATTCCTTGCTGTTCCACCCATCCTCCTTCCCAGTCCCTGAGCGCCATGTCCGGGCTGCCTTTTCCCGGAGGCATGGCGGATGATGGCTCTGCTGTGTTCCGTGTGGGGCAAAACACCCTGGAGTTTGCCTTTCCTTCAACTACCTTTCCCCTCTCCTCCCTCGCTTCATTCCACAGTCCCTGAGTGCCATGTCCGGGTTGCCCTTGCCCGGAGGCATGGCGGATGATTGCTCTGCTGTGTTCCGCGTGGGGCGCTATACACCCTGCAGTTTGCCTTTCCTTCAACTACCTTCCCCTTCCCCCTCCATTCACGCTACAGTCCCTTAGCGCCATGTCCGGGCTGCCCTTCCCCGGTGGCATGGCGGACGACGGCTCTGCTGTGTTCCGCGTGGGGCGCTACACCCTGGAGGAGCGCCAGCAGCGCATCTCCCGCTACCGGCAGAAGCGGCACGAACGCAATTTCACCAAGAAGATCAAGGTGGGTGGCTCGTGGGGAGGTCTGTGGGGGTTTGCGTGCTCATGTGTGTGGCGCTCATGTGTGTGGCGCTCATGTGTGTGGCGCTCATGTGTGTGGCGCTCATGTGTGTGGCGCTCATGTGTGTGGCGCTCATGTGTGTGGCGCTCATGTGTGTGGCGCTCATGTGTGTGGCGCTCATGTGTGTGGCGCTCATGTGTGTGGCGCTCATGTGTGTGGCGCTCATGTGTGTGGCGCTCATGTGTGTGGCGCTCATGTGTGTGGCGCTCATGTGTGTGGCGCTCATGTGTGTGGCTCTCATGTGTGTGGCGCTCATGTGTGTGGCGCTCATGTGTGTGGCGCTCATGTGTGTGGCGCTCATGTGTGTGGCGCTCATGTGTGTGGCGCTCATGTGTGGCGCAGTGGTGTGGGAATTGTCAGCGGCGCATCTCACGCTATCGGCAGAAGCGGCACGAGGTGGCCCAGGGGGAGGCATGTGTGTGTGGGGGGTTGGGTGCTCATGTGTGGGGACGTATGTATGAGCATTGGTGGGTGAAGGTGCCAGCAGGACATTTCCCGCTACCGGCAGAAGCTGCACGAGCGCAGCAACTTCACCAACAAGATCGAGGTGGGTGCACGCATGTGTGTTGGCTTGGGAAGAAGTCTGAAGCAGAATCCTTTGCTACCCACCCCTCCATCTTCCCCCTGACCCTTCCCTCGGTCATCCCCCCTCCCAGTAGCTGTGCCACAAGGCAATGCAGACAGCTGCCTTTGCGTCGACTCACAAGGCACCTCTGTGCGTCCCTTTCCATCTGCAACCCCCACTCCCATCATCTCCCCCACCCATCTCAGTACGTGTGCCGCAAGACTCTGGAAGACGGACAGCTTGCGGCCTTTGAGTCGACCCCTCAACTCACCACTATGCGCCCCCTCTCTCCCTTGACCCCCCCTCCCCCTCTCCCCTTCATTTCTCCCCCTCTCCCCCTCCCCTTCATTTCTCCCCCTCTCCCCCTCCCCTTCATTTCTCCCCCTCTCCCCCTCCCCTTCATTTCTCCCCCTCTCCCCCTCCCCTTCATTTCTCCCCCTCTCCCCCTCCCCTTCATTTCTCCCCCTCTCCCCCTCCCCTTCATTTCTCCCCCTCTCTCCCCCTCCCCTTCATTTCTCCCCCTCTCCCCCCCCTCCCCTTCATTTCTCCCCCTCTCCCCCTCCCCTTCATTTCTCCCCCTCTCCCCCTCCCCTTCATTTCTCCCCCTCTCTCCCCCTCCCCTTCATTTCTCCCCCTCTCCCCCTCCCCTTCATTTCTCCCCCTCTCCCCCTCCCCTTCATTTCTCCCCCTCTCCCCCTCCCCTTCATTTCTCCCCCTCTCCCCCTCCCCTTCATTTCTCCCCCTCTCCCCCTCCCCTTCATTTCTCCCCCTCTCTCCCCCTCCCCTCTCATTTCTCCCCCTCTCCCCCTCCCCTTCATTTCTCCCCCTTTCCCCCCCTCCCCTTCACTTCCCCCCCTCCCAGTACGTGTGCCGCAAGACTCTGGCAGACAGCCGCCCGCGCGTGCGGGGCAGATTCGCCCGCAATGATGACATGGTGAGACACGGGCAGGGAGGGATGGAAGGGGGTGAATGGATGTGTAATGGGTGGGAAAACTTTCTGCGCTCTCAGATTCGCCCGCAATGATGACATGGTGAGACACGGGCAGGGAGGGAGGGAGGGAGCGAGGGAGGGTGGGAGGGAGGGATTGGGGGGTTGTGTGGTGGCTGGTGGATTGCGGCAGTATGCCCGCAATGATGACATGGTGAGACGCACGCAGGGAGGCAGGGAGGGGGGGGAGGGAGGGTGAGGGGGATTGGGGGGGATGTGTGGTGGCTGGTGGAGTTCGGCAGATTCGCCCGCAATGATGACATGGTGAGACACGGGCAGGGAGGGTGGAAGGGAGGAGGGAAGTGTGATGGGTCGGGATTTTATTGAAGCGCCTCATTTTCCGCCTGCAATGATGACATGGTGAGCCGCACGCAGGGAGGGGGGGAGGAAAGGATGAGGAGGAAGATGTATGGTGGGGCCTATTTTATGCGCTTCAGTATTAGCATGAATTGTCGACACAGTTCGAGGCAGGGAGGCAGGGAGGAGGGATATGTGGTGGAGAGCAACTAGAGTGAGTCAGGCTGCATGTAGAAAGGAGGGGAGGGATGGGGAAAGGTGAGGGGAAGGGGGAGGGTGATGGGGGGGAGGGAAGGGTGAGCGGAGGGGAATGAGAGAGGGAATGATGAATGGTGAGGGTGCTTGTGCTTCTCCTACCAGCACCCCAGAGTTAAAACTCCGGTATACATTTGTCAGCAAGGTTTGGGGTTTTTTAAGTGTGCCTCACAGTTAGGGGCAAGTTCCTAAGGATTTTGAACCTAACCATTCAAATGTATACCGGAGCTTTAACATGTTCTCCCCTCAACAATGCCCTCTCATGTGTTTAGAGTCTCTCCACTGTCCTCAACAAGGGCTCCTCTTTAGGGCCCTCCTGCTGCCCCCTGCTGTGTGCCCTCCTTTCTTCATGTCGTGTGCTCCCCTCTCCTCTCGTGCTCCTCTCCACTCCACCCATGTGGCCCTCAGGAGCAAGGGGACGGCAGCAACAGCCATGGGGACGAGGGGGAGGGGGAGGGGGAGGGGGAACTGCTACCAGATGATCTCCCATTGGCCGATGACTTCTCCCCGGAAGAGTTTTCCGAGTTGCTATTTGACGGGCCATTAGGTGCTGATGTGGCGTGCTGACAGGGATGGGTGGAATGCGTGGAGTGGAGGTTTTTTCCAGAGTGTGTATACGTTCGCCCTGACTCCAGTATTAAGTGCGAATGGAATAGACAGCCTCTGCTGAGCTGCTGATGCTGAACCTAGTGGTGTAGGGTGTAGCCTTGGGTGTGAATTCAGTGTTCCAAGCTAGGAAGTGACCCGTTTGTGTGCCCAAAGGTGTGTGCGATTCACTCGTGCAAATGGCATGGTTTAACCATGTGCGTATATACTGTAGGTGCTCACTGATGTATTTGCCGGAGCTTTTTGACGTGTATTATCTATGGTTTGTGCATGTTGCGAAATCTGGCCGCGAAATTGTTACAAGTTCGATTCTCGTGTCTCGCACATCCTTCGCGACCCACCATTGATTCGTAATTCCATTTCGCTGCGATCGTCGCAACCGACCCCTATGTGGCTGTGGCGGGTCTCCCTCCGATTCCCTTATCCGTTTGCCTCGAGAAGCGGAGCGCACGCAGCAAGCACTACCGCCTCATTACCGCGTAGCCATGGCGGCTCTCGCGTCCTCCTGCGTTTCCCTGGGAGCGGTCTCTCTGGTGAGTCACTTCAGCCAATTCGTGTCGCCGTACCGCTATCGCGTCCAGAATTCTCATGCCTCTGTGTCGCGTCTCGGATTCCGCAAGCCCTAATCGACACCATTCCTTCCCGTACTCCTCGTCCTTTCGCCCGCTCCTTTCCGTATCGTTCCTGTCATTTCTGTCTTTTTTTCCCCATTCTCCCGCTCTCGTAACTCAACCATTCCGCGTTCGATCTTGCGTCCAGCCGTCCCAGGCAGTGCAGCCCAGGAGGGAGCAGCTTGGCGTCTCGCGACAACGACAGCCCTACCGCCGGGTGAGTCGCACCTGCATTGGCTGTCGCCAGCCCGGTTCCAGTTGCAATGCCGCTCGTTACAGTCACGTTGCTCCTGCATTGCCTCCATCCCACTCTGCTGCCACCCCTTCCTTCCACCTTTTCTCATCCTGTCTCTCTGCCTCTCTGTCTCTCTTCTCTCCATGATCCTGCTTCACCGTGTCCCCGGTCAATCCTATTCCTCTCCTTCTCGTGCCTCTCCCCAGTTGCCCGTGACACGAGCTGCAGCCTCGCCAGAAGGCAATCAGGCCTCCACAGCCACGGAAACGCCGCCTGCTCCTGCTGGTAACCACCTGTGCTCGCTTGTAACCACCTTGCTTCAGTGATGTCCGCCTGCCTTGCTGGTAACCGCCTGTTGTCGCTGGTAACCACTTGTTTTTGTTGGTAGGGGTGTGTTGGTGCTTCTTGTCCACCCGCAACTCCCTGTTGTCTCCTTGAATGTGCTTTTTCTTACGGCTTGCTCCTAAATTACGGATGAAGTGTCCATTCTGAACTCTTGTGATCGGATCCCTGCCTTGTTCCTTCACCAAATGGCCTCATGCCCCTCTTCAACCTTACCAACTCTGCACCATGGTTTGTTTCGCTTTCTCTGGATTTGCTGCTTGCAAAAAAGGACAGTTTCACTCAGTCCTCGGTCGCAATCCTTGCTTCGTGAACAATTCTGTATTTTAGATGCTACTTACCTGGCTCCGCCCTTCATGCCATCCTCTCGAGCATGTTCCTTTTCATGCCAGGGCTGCTAGGTCTCCCACTTTTAAGCTGATCCAGAATCTTTTTGTGTTATGCCAACTGAAACTACAGGTAGTAGTGAGAGCAGGGTCTCAGGAGATGTGTGCAAGGCGTGTGGCAGGACAGAGAGGGTGGGAGGCTGCAACGGGGAAGGTCGTATTCAGGTGAGGATTATGCCTGCCTCCTCCGATCCTAGTGTTGCTTCATGTCTCAACCTTGTCCCAGGCATAACTCGCATGCCTCTTCAAGTCACTAAACCCCTCATAACACCTTATTTGTGATACTGCTTATTGGTGCCATATGATGGAATAAAAGCTTTGACTCGACAGATCGTCAAACCATTTTTTGTCATTCTTTTTCTGTTGTATCCGTCGCCTGTTGACTCTCAGGGCGGCGTTGGTGCACTCCCGGGCTTCCAGTGGTTTCCAGTAAAAGTGTATCGACCGTGTCCCGCGTTTGTTGAGGCTGGGGGGAAGTACAAGCGCCAGGGCCAGAGCCTTGATGAGATGGCGTTTGGTACGAAAGCCGATGGGGACAACAACTGAACGCCTCTAGGGTTAACTGTGCACATTTTTGCTTGTTTTCACACAACAATAAGCTATTTTACCGTTGCTATTCATGCTTAGATGACCTGTATTTAAAGGAATGGCATGAAACAGAAGTCATGAATATACACCTTTTTTCACTGTACCTCCAATAGAACCGAGAGATTTGTAAACTTTTGTAGCCATGAAAGAGAGTGAATGGCCATTGAAGGAACCCTGCAAATTACAGCATAGCGCGTACGTTTGATGTTTTTTCGGTTGCACTTTTTGGCTAGCGACGTACCGCACATCGCGGAACACTCGTTTGGTTGCCATTTCCCGCCTCCCCAAGCCAGACTTCGCGGGTCCTAACCAAAGCGGCTCGGCATTTCCATCAATATTCGTGCATTTGGCCTTCCGCGATTCGGTGCTGGCTCTCTTTCGAGAAATTCGCCCTCTCCCGTCACTTTGCTTCCCCTACACCCACATCTAACTGCCTTGCATTTCCACCATTCCTGCTGTTCATCCAACATTTTCTCCCTTCTCCATACGACTTCCCTCACTTCCCCAACTCCAACCCGCAAACTCGGTCTCAACAATTGGTGCTTGCTTTTCGTATGCCGAAGATTTTCCAAGTTTAAACTCTAGTCGTTGCGACACAGCTCCGAAGCGCATCAGCAATGTTTCAAGCAGCATCTTCCTCCAGGAGACCCGCCATGGCTGCCGTAGTCCTCTCGTTACTCCTCATCTCGAATCTCCTACCGTACCAGGCCCAGGCAACCAGCGCTGCCGCGATAGCACCAATCCCCGTTTTAAGCGACATCGAATTAACACGGCTCAAAATCTACGAGGGGGTTCTACACCAACTCGCCATGAATCAACTGCAAAAGACTCTTCCGGGGAAAATCGCCGCGCTGCCGCCCACCCCGTTTTCCAACATGACCTCCCAAGTGATCGTCCTAGATCGCGCGTTCCTCGTCGCGAAGGGTTACAAGTTTCACGAGTTCGCCCTGCCGCCAGGTCTCGCAATCGACACCACGGCGAAGCAGGTCGCGCTGGTCTACAACACTCTGCCGAACGACACGGCACCATTCAAGCCAGCCGACGACGGGATCGAGTTCATGCCATTTTTCACGGGCCTCGATATTGTCGCGTATCCTCCTGTCGCGACACCGGGCGCCGCTTTCGGCAAGTCGTTACAAGTGACGGCGCCGGCAGGGTCACCCATTGTAATCACGTTCCCGGCCCCGGTCACGGATCCGAAGTATCCGCCGCAATGTGCGGTGTTTAGTGCCGCAGGAGGGCCTAAGTACCTGACCACAACGGTGAACGCCGCCGCGAAAACGATCACCTGCAAGAGCTCCACACTCGCGGAGTTTACGCTCGCGTCAGGCCCCTCCGTTCCCCTTCCGCCGACACCTCCGCCCACGCCTGCGCCCACGCCTGCGCCCACACCTGCGCCCGAGCCTGCTCCCACACCTGCGCCCGAACCTGCGCCAGCGGCTCCTTCGGTTCCGCCCCCATCTCCCGAAAAGCCGCTTCCCCCGCCTCCAGCGCCGACAGCTCCCCCCGCCAGCCCCAACACAACCGTCCCAGCAAACAGCAGCAGCTCCGCCAACGCCGCGAGCAGCGCAAGTACCGCCAGTACCCCGACCAGCAGCGGAAGCAGCAGCAGCAGCAGCAGCAGTGGCACGAGTGCTGCCGTGTATATCGCGGTCGTGGTAGGAGTATTGATATTCATCGCTTTGATTGTTCTGCTCGTCTGGTGGTGGCGCCGATCAAAGAAACAGAAGCAGCTCGAAGCCATGGCTCTCGCCGCGGAAAAGGCGGCGAGTCTCGAGACGGCGCTTATCGGCGCGAGTCGCACTCCCGCCGCTGGCTCGCTGCGAACAAAGGCGAAGCTGGAAAACGAAACGTTTTGACCGGAGTGTAACTGGCTTCTGGCGCGGCAGCATTCATTTTTCTGATAGTGTAGGCGTGTTTTGAAACTATGCGCACTTGAGACATGCTCGTGACAATGTGCCAATGCTTGTCTCACGAGTTAGAAACTAGTAGAGTGGGGTGCGAATCTTGTAGTTGTAGTTACGCTTCTGACGGGCACCTAGTATTGCTTCGGGACCAGCGGAGTTGTATAGTGAATGATTAGACAATACAGTTAGCACCCTAAGGGACAGAATTTTTCTGTATGACAGCAGGCTTTCCATGCATGGGGGCCTGCACAATGTAGATTCTTGGTGTCACACGGCTAGCATCGCATCTGAGGTGGTACATGCCAGAGGAATCGTAGGTCAGCTCACATGACAGATACCTTGGATGACTTATGATGGGTGGCATTGGTGTGTTTAGAAAATGACATGTAACGGAAGTTGCAACTTGCAACTCATCTGAGCAGAAACGTGGCACTACAATCAAATGACCAGCACCAAGACGTATCCCATTTCATGGGATCAAGGCCCTGCAGTAATCAATGCACTGATACGGTGCCGTAGATGGGTATCATCGAGAGTCCTCATTGGAAAGCAGGACTCGTGCTTCAGACAAAGCTTTCCTACTGTCCTCCCTCCCCTTCCTCCTCCCATCCTTTGCCTGAACTTATCTGCTGCCTCTGGTTGCTACAAGAGATTCGGAACCTGTGGAAACACTGAAAACTTTTTGAAACACTGAATCATTGTTTAGGCAAGTCAGCAACTCGTAGAGGGGCGGCAAATGGTTTAAGTGTTCGAGAAGCGGGAGCGTTTCAGGATTAGATTACGGTATACCATTGGCTCATACCGATACACATCACGGAGGGGACATTGCATAAGGGCTTGTGCACAGGCGCGCCAATCGCCGAATATGGTAAGATGGATGTGATTTGTGTAGTTCGACGGAGACAGCAAAACGTGGATAGGGTAGGAAAAATGCATGTATGGCTCTTGCTGTGTTTGATGTAGACTCACGCTCGAATGCCAACATCCTCCGAATCTAGTAATGTAAAACATCTCCCAACAATCACGTGAAATAGGTCTTGAATTAGCCCTCATATCGAGTATCACGGTGAATCAATCGCCCAGATGGCAGAAATCAAATTTCATAAAACCGCAAAGTCGTTTTTATCATATTGGTAGGTTACTTGATAGACAAGCTTTGTTATAAACAGAAGTCCTTCAAATATCAGTTTTGCTGACTGTTCTGTAAAGTAGTCAATAATATGGTTGATGGGAAACCGAAATTTACCACGAGAGCTCATCTTCGTTAGAAGGTCACATCAAATTACTCTAAACCAATGCATCGTACCTCGAGATTTTCCAAAGCGGATGACCATTCGTTGTTTTGGGAAGATTTCGACCTCCTTGGAGATTTCGCAAACCAATCCAAATTGCTTGGCGGAGATGCCAGAATCTCCTCGAAAGGATTTTGAACCAATCGTAGCGTCACGACGATTGCGTTTCCCACCAAATGACGACTTTTCGCGGTTGCGCTTCTCCTCGCCCCGCCTCCTTCGTTCCCCTTCCCATCGCAATTCAAAAGAAACACTCCGCAGGTATAGTGGACAAGCTTCAGCAACTCCAATCAACACACATTCTCATACATTTCAAGCAGATAGAAATGGCTGCCCTCGCCAACGCTGCTGTTGCTCCCTCCACCTACGTCGGCCAGAGCGCTGAGCTCGCCGCCAAGGTGAACAATGTCGAGGCCCGCGTCTCCATGAGGAAGACGGCCAAGGCCGCCCCCTCCAGCTCCTTCTACGGCCCCGACCGCCCTCTGTTCCTGGGCCCGTACTCCTCCCCCCCCTCGTACCTGACCGGCGAGTATGCTGGTGACTACGGCTGGGACACCGCGGGTCTGTCCGCCGACCCCGAGACCTTCGCCAAGAACCGCGAGCTGGAGGTGATCCACGCCCGCTGGGCTCTTCTCGGCGCCCTGGGCTGCCTGACCCCCGAGCTGCTGGCCAACAACGGCGTCGAGTTCGGCGAGGCCGTGTGGTTCAAGGCCGGTGCCCAGATCTTCTCCGAGGGCGGCCTTGACTACCTCGGCAACCCCGGCCTGATCCACGCCCAGTCCATCCTGGCCATCTGGGCCACCCAGGTCATCCTGATGGGCGCCGTTGAGAGCTACCGCGTGGGTGGCCTCGAGGGCTTCCAAGAGGTTGAGGACCCCCTGTACCCCGGCGGTGCCTTCGACCCCCTGGGTCTGGCTGACGACCCCGACGCTCTGGCCGAGCTGAAGGTGAAGGAGCTGAAGAACGGCCGCCTCGCCATGGTGTCGATGTTCGGATTCTTCGTCCAGGCCATCGTGACCGGCAAGGGTCCCCTTGAGAACCTGTCCGACCACCTGGCTGACCCCACCGTGAACAACGCCTGGGCCTATGCCACCAACTTCACCCCCGGCCAGTAAATGCTTTGTACATTGCTACATAATATAGATTAGGATTTTTCAAATATAATTTTCACGTTCCATAACTTCAGAAATCACACGAAACAAGTCTCGATGCATTTAAAGCTGCTTCCAGTCTGCCAGAAGACGGTATCTAAACTATGACAAGGTCGCAAACTATTATTGACGAGAGGAAGCCTCGTCTGTCGGTGCAAGCTAATGATTCCGTGGCGGAAACCGATTACGTCCCAAAATCCACTGTGTTCAGCGTCCTGGTTCGAAGATACCATGACCACCAACCCTAAGCTGATGAGATGGGTACGTTTTAGTGTATATGAGATTGCACCAGTTCACGTGATTCATTTGAGCCGCAGGCTTCAGGGGGGCTCCCTACGTACTGATTATTCAGCGAAAGCCGTCAAGTACTGTCTTCTGCATTTCCAAACGAGTTATCGCGTTGAACCGCTTACTCGCCTGCTTCTACATGTAGAACCGAAATTGTTGGGGCGAGTCATAAGCGTTCACTTTATTGCAGTGAAGTGAGATGCTTTTCACGACAGCGGCTAGTTTGAGTTCCTTCGAGTTTGGATAGGCCTTAGGGCGTATTCCTACGGCCTCCTATCAGGCCATTTCCTGTCAAGATTGTACATTTTGGGTTATAAATGGCAAGAGGTTTCGGGTTTATGGGATTTTCCAGTGTGAGCTTGATATTAGGTCAGATTGATAGGAGGATAGGATACTTCCTGAGTTCAAAATCAAACTCCATTTGACACCCTTGGTTGTTCTTTCATTAATGAAACGGGTGATTTCTGTACCCTTCACCGCATTTAACCACTACGTACCAGCATGAAGTGGTACATGTTGTAAAAAACATAACAATTGTGCTGTTCAGTTCATCTCAGGTTTTTATGAAGTTACGCTAGTATACTCATTTTCATGCTAGTACACTCCGTAAATGGTGTTGTATCGGGGATTTCCATGTCATCAAGGTTCCACGCTCGCTTTCTGGTTATGCTGACCAGTGTTCCAGCCGATGTCCGCCAACCACCCTGAGCCGCATGCCACTTTCCGCAAGTCCTGGATCTGTTGTGTCGTCTTTTGTTTCGAATGGGAACTTGTGTGCCAGGTCATCCTTAGCCACTCGCATATCCACTTCTTTCCATTTGTTGCGTGGACAGATGTGTGGCTGGATCAGGCGAGTTCGAACCGCAAAAGTCGTTCTCCACAAGGTGACAACCCAAAGTGGCAGCAATGTTCGGTTGGTGTGATGATCCTTCTCCGCCATGTCATCCAGTCCCTTGAGCTTTGCCACGTCAATTCCACCTGTCGTGCACACGAGGGTTTCTCCCTGCCCTGTGACCAGCAAAGTGAAACGCGGTCACCAATCGCACAACACAGAAAAAGATCTTAATTCCCGCGACTGCTCCGCACACGTTTCCTGCCGTTCCCCCATGTCCTCCTGTCCCCGCTCCAGTAGTTGTTCCAACAATTTCACCCATTTTCGCACCCTTTTTTAACTTCTTTAACCTTTTGTAACGTTTTGAAAATCTCTGATTCTCGTCCCTCATCCGCCCCGCACACCCTTCCCCCGGTTCCCATTGTATCTCCCCAAATCACGCATCCCCAGCCAAACCCAACTCCAACGGCTTGCTGGCTTGCAAGAGCCATGGCTGACAGCAACAAGCACTGCTGTGCTGAATGGTGATCGTTGAAAGGAAAACCTGTTCAAGCACGTACAGCACGGCACAGAACAAGTCTCTTTCCGTCCCATCAGCAGGCAGGCAGGCATCTACCTGCTCGTGTGACGGAACGTAGCACGAACAGGCCGCCTTGTTTAGTTGTTACAGCCTGCATATCTCGAAGCTAACAAGGTCGTTTAAGTGCCTTCCGACTACTCCCGTCGGGAGGTATGGCCGTTTCTGCTGCTTCCGTTCGAGCGGCTTTTTTGGTCGATAGGTCGCCACCAGAAAGGCCAGGTGCGCACCCCTGCAACCTAATAAGTCTCTCCGCTCACCGTATTTCTGAGACGGAAATGATTTAATAGATAGCTCAAATTTAGTATTGAGTTTCCGAACATTCGTCATCTCTTACAAGTGTCAAGTATTTCTCACCCGTTTCAATGCACTGTGCCTTCCCGAGTGCGTTCATCAGCTGTACTCAATACTTTCAGTCTAAACGATATTTCATGTCTTTCCGTTTCCCTCTCAACATGCAGGAAGCAGCCCAGCAATCGGCTCGTCCACGTCCGTCTTCTTCGTGCGACGGCCTCTCGGCGACGTCGCCGTTCCTGTCGTCAAGCCAGCCGTCGCACCCTTCGCAGACGTCGTGTGCTCGTCGTCGTCGTCGTCATCGTCCCCTATTCCTCACTCCGCGTCCAGTCCTTCTCGCGTCTTCCTTCGCCCTTCGTCGGCTATTTCCCTTCACAAGTGAGTCACGTATCGATCGTTCAAGTTCAGAACATCATGCTTCAATATCGCGAAAAACAATCCGAACCATTATATTCATAATATGCGTATACGATCTCTTCTCGTCCTTCCTATCCTGCCTTGCTCTCCCCTTATCCAGTCGCACCGATATTTCCCCTCCTCGTCGCGTCGATCCGCATCTCTCGACGCCCTCTGCCGCCTCCGGCTGCGTCGGCGAGCTCACGGATTCTCGCATGTCGCACAACGGCGTCGCACAGCGCAATGCAGTCGCACAGCGATTCGCCTCCACGTCTGACGCGCGAACGGAGTCGCTCGCAGCCGAGGCGCTGTACCTCGCTCAGACGGCCGCGCTCGTCGCGAAAGAAGCCGCGCAGCTCGCGACTATAGAGAGGGCCATGCTGCGCCAGGTGACAACATCGAAAGATTCCTCTAAGACGACGGTCGAGAGCAGCTGGCGTGATTGTATCGAGGTGGGGGAGGAGCTAGGACAGGAGGAGCTACGAAGCGTGTGGATGGCTGCAGGCGCTCCGGTTCCTCTCCTGAATCCGCTGGAAACTTCCAGGAACACGCAGTTGGATAGCGCTACCAGGAGCTTCCTACCGGCTCGCAGCGCTTTAATAGGCGACTTGACAAGCGTTGACTTGCTACAGCAGGCGCGTGGGTTCTGGTGGGATGAGGAGGTAGGGGAGGCGAGTCCACGTGGCAGCACCAGATTGGCCCGTTCAGCGTCTGTAGCTCCTGAGAGGACGAGCAACGCAATGCTGACCGACGATTGGTCGTTGGCGTCGCCGGAAACGTCGCCGAGACAGGGCGGCGACAGCACACTGTCCGCTCTTAGCGAAGGTGACTTAAGCGATAGGGAAGCAAGCGGGGACAGCGGCGATGGTGATAGTACCGAGGCAACCGGTCAATCAAAGCCGCGTAGTGTGCGCACGTTGATTAAGTCCAGGCGGAAAGGAATGCGCATGGAGCAGAGGGAGAAGGCGAGATTAAAGCGGTATGCCAACCGGTCTTCATCTCCCAACTCGTCACTAGACTCTCTCCTACTACTCACTCCCTCTCGCACCTCCGCGAAACCCGCGAAACGATCAGCGAAAGCCCCGACGAAAGAGTTACCCGAAGCCAGCGAAGAGAAGGAGCTGACGTTCGAGGAGTTTCGCCGAGTGTCGAACGATCCGATCTTCGCCATGTTCGAATCCGCTGGTGGTAACTCGCGACTCCTCACAGCCGCGGAAGAAATAGAATACTCCAAGGGTGTCCAGGAGCTGCTGCGGCTCGAGCGAGCGCGAGACGCGGCGGAGAAGGCGCTGGGACGCGCGCCGACGATGGCGGAGTGGGCTGAGGCGGCGGGGGTGTCGGTGGCGGAGGTGCGGCGGCGGGAGGCGCGCGGGCGCGAGTGCAAGAAGGCGATGATGGCGAGCAACATGCGGCTGGTGATCAGCGTCGCGAAGAAATACTGCCGCGGGGGCGTCGGTTTGCAAGAGCTCATCACGGTGAGTCGCGGGAAAACGCTTTGCTAGTTTCAGGAATTCAGTCAGGGCGGCGCCAGAGAGAACCGGTAACGCCAGCCCAAGAGATAACTGATAGCCGTGTGGGAAGCAGGGCAGCAAGTGAACAGGCAGTTTGAGGGCGACGGGAAGGCCGATAAAGGAAAACGCGAGAGTGGAAGGTGATACGCGAGTTGATGAGAGCACATTGCTGTATCACCCTCCACATCTTTCGCATGAGGGTGATACGAGTGAATGATGAGGCGGGCGACGCTCCTTGACGGGAGCACAGTCACGGACATGCAGACACGTCCACTCCCTGACACGGCCTCTCCTGTGTGCACGCCTCTTATCTCTGCATGTCTCTGCCTCTGCCTGCCCCTGTGCCTCTGCTTCCCCCTGTGCCTGTATGGCTGTGCGCGACAGGAGGGGTGCATGGGGTTGATGAAGGGCATAGAGCGCTTCGACCACAAGCGGGGCTTTAAGTTCTCCACGTACGCGCACTGGTGGATCCGCCAGGCCATCACGCGCTCTGTCGCCGAGCAGACCCGCACCGTGCGCCTCCCGGTGAGTGTTTAGCGTTTACGTGCTTGTAACGAGTGTGATTGTAGCGAGTTGTCGCCATGCTATGCCATCAACCTGTACCCCCATCACATGATCCCACACTGAGCGCGAGCACACCATGCCCCATTCCCTACCCACCATCCCTCTCACCGTCCTCACTCCATGTGTCACTTCCCCTCACCACCTTGCACCATGACATGGAAACCCCACATCACATGCTCCCCACATGCCACTTTCTGCTGATTCAGGCTCCATCGCACATGCCATGTCACATTGTCCCCTCTCTTTCTACTTCCCTCCAGCCACACAAATCAAAGCTGGTGTTGCGCAATGGCATAATGTGGGTTCTTTGTTGACTTCGAGATACCCTCCGCCCTCCTCTTTCTCGTCCCCTCAGGCGCATATTCTACAAGCTGCCACCGCGCATTGCCATTTCAAATGTATGTCTCACTTTCGCCCACCCTTCTCCCGCCCCTCTCACCTCCCAGGCGCACATCTTAGAGCTGCTATCGCGCATCGCCAAAGCAAGGGACCTGCTGTGGGAGCAGCTGGGGCGGGTGCCGTCAGACAGCGAGCTGGCCAGCCTCGTGGGGCTCACCCCCTCCAAGCTGAGGGCGGCCGTGCGCAACGTGCGTGCGCCCTGCTCCATGGACCGACCCATTTCTTCTGACGGGGAGGAAACTCTTGGGGTGAGTTGTTCATGCCACTCATCCCTCTGCTGCCTACCCTTCTCGTTTTTGAATCAAGCCTATGTCTTTGGTGTCTCGCAGCCCACAGATAGCATTCCCTCCTCTCTGAATTATCCCTTTTCACAAATTTCTCAACCAACATTGCAGTGCCCAGAGGAGCACATGATGCGGCAGCCGCACCGCTCTCCCCATCACCAATCCCTCACACAACCGCCCTTTCACCCCTCCTTGTCCCCTCGACCACCCGTGCAGGCGTTTGTAGAGGACTCGACACTGGAGTGCCCAGAGGAGCGCATGATGCAGCAGCTGCTGAAACATCCCCCAATCTCTGGCTTCCATCCCTTTCAATCATTCCTCAACCACCCCTGTCTTCCTTACCCATTCCCCCGAACACACGATCAGGCATTTGTGGAGGACTCGACATTGGAGTGCCCAGAGGAGCGCATGATGCAGCAGCTGCTGAAGCGCGACCTGCAGCAGGTACTGGGCACACTCACGCCCCGGGAGAGGGAGGTGATGTGGCACCGCTACGGGCTGGATGACGGGCGAGCCAAGACCCTGGAGGAGCTGGGGGTGATGTTCCGGGTGACCCGAGAGAGGATTCGGCAGATTGAGTCCAAGGCACTGTTGAAGCTGAGGCAGCCGGAGAGGGGCGGGGGGCTGAAGGGTTATGTGGATGGTTTGGCTGTGTGAGTGTTGCTGGGTTTGGGGTGGCGTGGAAGTCAGTGGAACTAGACTCAACGTCAATTTGTATGTGTGAGCTAGGCTCCTAAACTATTTGCATTTGTGAGCTAGGCTTACCGTATGTTGGGATGCGAATGCAAAACATGCAGATTATGCAAACCAATGCAGATCATTTTCCATACCTCTCTCTTGCATACCGTTAGGGAGTCGGAGCACAGACCTTTGACGGGATTTGTTCAAGGCGGTGAGTTGAAACGAGAACAAGTGATTCAAAGGACATTTGTGCCCCACAGAATATACCTTCGGTGATCCAGATTGCGAGTTTGTGGCTAGAGAATTGTCGGGTAGATTTCCGAGAGAATCGTCCGCCACGGGCAGATTTGAACGTGTGGGGCGTGAAAACGGTGACCTACGGGGGGATTGGGAACCTCACCGCCACACTAAAGATGTTTTAGGGTGTAGACGGATTTGGTTGTACTGCTGTGCCTGACAAATAACACCGACGCTACGTTAATGCTGTTTTCGGAAGCCCATTAAAATAGGGCAACTTTTACGTTTTGTACCATTAGAACTTGGGCAGTCACCAAGTATCATCGATCCGATATGGAGTTGGTTTCGCGCAGCTGGGCCTAGTTGGGCCTGTGTGTGGAGTATGGGTTTTGCATACAAGCAGCCAACTGGTGGCAGGCGCCCACCCCCCACATGGTTTTGCCTGGCTGGTTGTTGGTCAGGAGCACCGACGCGTTACGTCACGACAGCTCGCAGGGCCACTGGTTGAACCTGACTTTCGTACGGTACGGATTCTACTTCCTCCCTCACAGTGTAGTACCCTCGTTCACACCGGCGTGTTCTGCCAACCCCCAGACCGGCGTGTATGTGCTACCTGGGAGTGTATATAAATGGGCAGGCGGGTTACGTACGACTGACAGCCGGGGGTTTCCCCCCTACCACACCTTTACCTGCCTCGTTCACACAACGTCTGTCTTCCACGTGTCACCCTTTCACTTCCACCTCACTTCGTTCGAACACTTCTCACACCAATCCCCACCCAACTCATCGCCTCCCCCGTACATACAACGCTCCAGTTTCAACCACCAGCTCTCCTCTGGCATTCCATGCTTACCCTCGTGTATTCAGCATCCCGCCAGTTGCGGCTTTTGGCGAGATGTCGATTTAAAATCACTCTCTGTACTAGGCTAGGACCAGCAAGCAACAGGTCCTAGGATTGCGCTCTCTGCGGTTCTTGGGTCTGACTCTCTCCATTCTTGGCTGCTTAGAAAAATGGGAAATCACAAGTGGCCTGGCATTCTGTCCTTCGGTCCTTCACTCCTTCAGTTTCATTTGACAGCCTAACTCACACAACACGTGAAGTATTTTCTTCCACACTACCTGACAGACACTACGTGAAGTCTTTACTACAAGTAACATCTCGCATTCTACTGCTCGGTGCCTTTCGAAAGAAAATCAATCCTTTTCATTCTATTGACGAAAGTCCAGTGTTGAAGCTTCAACCATGCATTCCGGCAACAGCCCGTTGATGAGCAGCCCCCCCTGCGATACGGGGCTCAAGGGGAAGGAGGATTCGTCGCCGTGGTTGCCTGACGACATCGATATCGACGCCATCATGTCATACGACGACACGGACGACGCTTGCGACCCAAAGCCGTCGCCAGGCAGCAATGACGTGCGTGCGAGCTGCTTGAGTAGCGGCCGTTGCGACCAGATTCCCGCAAAAGCTGCTGACTCAACCGCCAAGGATGAGATCGCCAACCGTCGCACAGGCGAGAAGATTGCGCCTTCCGTTAAGACGATTTTGCCTGTTCCCTGCGACGTTTTCGCAGAAGAAAGCTGCTGCAGCAGCGGCAGCGTCAGCGGCGGGGGCAGCGACAGCGGAGAGTGCAGCTTTCGCAGCCTCGGAGTTTGGTGCGCAGACGGCGACAATAATGCGAAGCTGCGACGCGAATTCTCACGAGAGCAAGCGACAGCTTGTAGCGATGCCGACAGTGCTTGCAGCGGGACAATCTCAAAAGAGCGTGATGTTCTGGGCGTCAGCAGCACTTGCGACAGTCGCAGGCGAGAAGAATCGCCCAGGAGTCGCACAGGGAAGCATCTTTCGCCAGTGTCAAAACCCCTGAAACGCTCGAAAGCAACGGGGGGGAGATGGTACACATCTTTGGATAACTGCCACCCGTTACAAGAACTCCCTGCGGCGCTGGAAGTTCTAGCGGAGTACGATCTGCTGAGTCAGCTCATCATGATCACCGCCTCGCGAAATGCACGAAGTTCGCACACTGGGTCAGATGACGTGACAGGGGCTCCCTTCAGTGATGTTGCTGCTGCAGCTAACGCTGCATTGAATCTTAGGTAGCGTGGGGCAGGCAGCTCCACTGTATTGGATCTTAGGTAGCACTGGGTTGGTACGGTAGCTCCTTTGAAGAGGTACTCGTTGTTTGTAATAAGGACAGACTACTCTGTCTGGTTATCCTCCAAGAAAGAGGCATTCTGTTCTTGAGTGTACTCCATTTCCAGCATACTCAAATAGACCATGGTTTAGTATACAAGAGGCGAAGAACAGCTATTTACATATTGTT